GAGTGGAGTTCTAGCTTGGGATGAGAAGTATGACACTGATACGACTTTTCAAATCAACAGTTTAACAGTTTAGCTCTTTTCTTAAAATTAGTGCAAATCAAGTAAATCAAGTTAAAGTACATAATCTTAACTTACCATTTTCAGAAAAGCTTAAATTTTAGACGAACGCCGGAAATTATTTTTTTTTTTTAATTTTACTAATAATCTTTTGAAAAATTTCAATGAGAGTTAAAATTTTTATTGTTTTCTTTTTTATTTAAGATTTAAAACCAAAATTGTTTACTTTGAGCCAGTCCTAGCTTCCCGCCCAACTCGGCTACACGGAGTGTTGGACAAATAACACATCAACGCGAGACAGACGACAAATACAAACATAATATCGAGGATGAAAAACATTCCGTCGTTGACCATACTGCACAATGCACATTGCACACTGCTAGTCATCCATTGCACCAATTCACACATATTCAATAGTCTAAGCTTTAGTATTATTATTATTATTATTATTATTATTATTATTATTATTATTATTATTATTATTATTATTATTATTATTATTATTATTATTATTATTATTATTATGAAGGGTTCCAAAAAAAGAATTTCTAAAAGTTTGGCGTCAAAGTCTAAACTAAAACATAAAAATAAACTGTAACACCTCATACAACTTTTTGCTTTAATCGCACACAAAGGGTTCGGACTAGCTGGATAAATGGCATTTCGATTTTGAACCCTTTTTTGTTTGCACGCACAGAAACTATGAATAGCCAAAACGCTGATATTGGAATTTTGTTTGAAGAAAAAGTAGAAAACAATACATCTTTGTTTAGCTTTGACAAGCTTTTGTTTAACTACAATCAATATTTGGTTTCAACGTTTTCGTTGTTTTTTTTTTAGTGTTAAATATGAGAATATTGGCAATGAATTTAAATCGAATTAGTAACATCTGTTTCAAATATGATTTAAATAAAAATATTGACACTTGTATGTGTCCATATGTATATCAATATATAATATAAATATTCTGTGCGAGATAAAACGGAAAAAATAAAAATATTCAGTTCAACTATAAGTTTTATACTCGAAATGTTCTCTTGAATTTACAGTTTTACACGAAAACTAATTCAATATCAAGTATTTTCGGTTAGGTGAGGTAAGCTAGGTGAAGCCGGTATTACGAATATTAGAAAAGTCTCTAAATAGTTCAATTTTTTAACCGCTTATGTTTAGTCAAATATTTATTAAAATTTATTTTTATTTTTTGCTATCGAAAAAGAGAGAAAATTGTTTAACATGACATTTTCACACCTCACAAGCACAAGTTTAATGCCGACGCTAAATCGAATTTACAAATATTTATTAATTAATATTTTTTTTCGCGCAAAACTCTAATGAATCACCTCGCGGAGGTCAAGTCCCTCGCAAATCCGATTAGAGCAATGACGGATGTTGCTTACTATACATATTGTGATCCGCTAGACATCCACTTCATCCTTACTGCACGCTTATGTAAGCGGGACACAAAAATGTGAAAAAAAACATAATAGAACGGAACCAAGTAATTTTAGTTTTGGTATTCGAAGCGTGACAAGTCATTGCGGAGCTTAGTATCTTTACCGAATTGTCTGTCGATCTTCTAACTGCGTATTCAACACCAGCCATAACAACAACACTAACAGCACCTGAGTGTATGCAGAACTCATGATGAAAAGGTGCAAAAATATGGTTCATTTGTTTCTCTTCCATACTTTCTGCCCCCTTGAAGAGCTGCCAGTGCAGAAAGTAAAAAGTGTGAAGAATAAGAAATTTTACGCCTACCAAACACTTGAGAAGCTAGCATCTACCATCATCCATACGCATGAGCTTCATCAATTAACCCAACAACTTCACCATATTCCGTGGTATACTCAACAATGTAAGCTTAGTGCATAAATATGGATGTTCCTATCCAGCTTGGGTCTATCGATTGTGTATGGATAGTTGAGTTAAGGGCAAAATGTGTCTTTAATTGTTGGTGTCTTCATATTATTTGATAGAGAATGTGTATTATGGTGGACTAGATGATGCAAATTTAATGGATAAGAATTTTTGCAAAAAAACTGCGGCAGTATTCTTAAAAGTAAATATGTAAATGTTATTGAATTTTAAGGGATGAATTTCTTCTTCTTTTACTATTTATAGCTTTTTTTGTTAACATGTTCTCACACGCAAGAAAAAGCATAGGAAAGTTCGAAATGAAAATAAAACTTGCTTTTTTCTCCACTATACATACGAGGTGTGTACAAAAAGTATCGCTAATTTTGAATTATCGCGGGTTACGTATAATCGAATTTCGATTTTTTTGTGACGTTATGTTGGTACTCATGTCTGTCACTTATGGCGACAAGCTCGGCCATTTTGAATGTTCACTTAATTGTTGACAGCTGCTTTGCTTGCACGTGTTTTGGATGGTCTTCGATTTTTACCTATTCAAAAAAATGGATCAAAGAACCGGTATCAAATATTGGGTAAAAAACGAAATTAAGTGCGCGGATGCATTCCGAATGTTGACTGTGACATACGGAGAAGTTACCTTGGACCGAAGCAACGTTTATCGGTGGTTCAAAATTTTTTCAGAAGGCCGAGAAGATGTGAAATTGGCTTTTGCACCACGATAACGCCCCTGCTCACAAAATTCGCGATATTTTTTGAACACACCTCGTACAAACATTCGTGCCTCAATTCCACTCTTCTTCTTATGCCTTAGCACTAATTTGTTTGCCCATTTTTATGTAGTATTTGTTTTGTGCGAAACGTTTCTACAAATATAGCCTGGACTGTAAAATGTATATGTATATACATGCGAGTATATACTTGTAAGTAAGAGGAAATCTGAATATCATTATGAAAGTAATACCAAATAATTTACCCGCAATAATCTCTGTTTATTTTTGTAGTTAAAAAGGAGAACACGCTTACTGATTTAAGGCTCTTTCATTGACTTTTCACTGTTTATTTTTATTTATTTATTTACGCATATTTTATTGAGATAATGTTTTTATAAAAAAAATGTGCTTAAAATGTACTTAAAACTATTGTATTATATGTATGTACGCTATTTACATACAGACATATGGACATGCTTGTATGCTAAGATATTATTTATTTGTAAAAAAGAAATAATACTTGTTACCATTTTGAAACTTTTTTAAAATATTTTTATTATTAAAAAAAAAAATAAGAATAAGTAAAGCATATGTTTTTATATTTTTTTCGCTTGCTTTTGTATTATATTATCTGTTACGTATTGTAAAAAATCTAATTTTTAAAACATAAGTTGTATTTTATAATTAATTATTATATATATATATATATAAATTAGTTATAATGTAAAAACAGACTATTATTTTTACTTGCAATTAGCATTTGACTTTGTTTTTGGAAATTTTCGAAGATCAATGGTTTTTGACTCCTTTAATCGAGTCAAGCGACTATTTATTAATAAAAATATATATATGCTCATGTGATGGAGAATTTGTGGAGATTTCATAGGCAACTGAAATTACGCGTACAATCTCACCGTGCATTTTCATTCTGTAAACAGTCGCCACCACGATACAACTACATTTAACGAGGCCTTAAACGTTGCAATATCGAGCACAAAATGTTCAATATGATACGTGTATAACGGTTGCAACGTATATGCCTTGCTTTAGACTTCAAAATAATTATAGTTTTTTTCGGTAACCTCATGGGTGAGGCAAATCCCCAGTAAGATTAGTAACAAGAGAGTGCACTTTTGACAGCTGGAAGAGAAAGTTGCGCTGGGGAAACTGCAGCCGGTGAAAATTAGCAAGTATGAAAACAGCCGATTTGTGATCATTTTTTTGTCTACAGGCCAAAATTGATTTAACATAAAAATATGTAGTATTATGAACTTCAATATAGATGATAGACACACAAAATAAGTGCACAAATGTAACTTTGTAAAATTAAATTTACTGATATTAATGATTCAATTAAATAAATACCATAAAATGCCAATTTTATTAAAAAGCTTAAAAGCACAAAACAGTAAACTACAGAAATGAAGGGATTCCAATATAATCGCCAAATAAATTGTTTTTATAAAACTTTCCCATTTTGGATGAGTAAAATATTTTGCTCTCTCAATTCCGTTACCGGCTAATTCTTACTGACATTTCTTATCGTTCAAATAAATGCATAGAATATTATATTCGAAATTGAGTATTCTAATATGGGAATTGCACTTGTAACACTTTACTATGGTTTTTAAATAATGAGATTAAGCCAACAGCATATCAATTATATTCTTAATGAAGAAGTCGGTTCAATTTCGTGGGTTGCCAAGTCTGATTTATTTTATTCATAAAACTTTGAAATCAATTAAAATTTTAATTATATACATAAGTTTTTCAAAAATTTTTCAAAATTCATATTTTAAGAATTCATATTTAAAACTTTTTCCTCTAGTAACTCTACCACCGTTAAGGATAATATTAGACGTTAGAACTGAACTGTGCTGTTAATATCATAGCAAGCAGGCATTTTAAAATTAACGCTCATCGCTAACGTTTGCTCGATTTGAATTTGATAACGTGGCGCCGAAATGAAACAGAATCATCTGCACTGTTTAGTAATTTAAACGATAAACTATTTGATTTGAAAACTTTAAGTTTTGGTATTAAGAAAAGGTGAAATCTTCGAATAACTAAATATATAATATATAAGAAGGAAGTAGACCATTAAAAAAATGGTTTAGTTTACATTTTAGAAAATCCTCACCATTTATACACTGTTAGGTTCACATACACGTATATATTTTTTAAACAAGCCCCCTTACTTTTTTTGGCAATAAATATCAAGTCTCGTTCACTGTAAATATGACGAAGTTGGTCTTGTATACTATAAACTTTGATGAAAAATTAATGAAGAAAAATAACAAAAAATTTAAAAAACTCAAAGTTATAACATTTGCAAAATTCTATGAAAAGTAAGTAGAAAGTATATATTCCTTAAAATATTTTGATAACATATTTTATTTTATTCGTTTTTTGTTTGTCCAATAGAAATGTGTACGTTTTCATGAAAATCCTTGGTGCTAATTGTAAATGACTAAATTAATGTTGTTTTTAACCTATAAATGCTTCACTGGTAAAGTTTGCCCTCATACATTTACACATTCATCAATGCATATGTAATTATATTTATGGCATATACTATATATGTACAGTTCAATTTTCATTACGTCCGCTTAAAAATGGCTAGTAACTTAACAGTTTTAGAAGTCTCTTATAATTTATTGTAAACTATGTTAATTATACATATGAATAACTTAAAATAATTCGTTGATGATTTTTTCACTGTTTCATTGATGTGTAGACTTAAATAAATATATATGTACATATATTCATATTCCTAATGAAAGTATTATGAATGCAGATGTCACTCGTAACACCATAAATATATGTATGTATTGTACATGCATACACAATCACAAGTGTGCATGTATAAATTTGTGTTTCACGTAAAATGAAAACTTGATTGGAAGTTTAAAAGCAGAGTTAATTCTAATAAGCAGTTTCGTATAAAACGATATATGTATGTAACAAATGGCTGCTGTTCCGCTTGAATATACATACATATACTTACGTATATTACATACATATGTATTGTATATATTTTTTTCAGTTGTTATTTACTTTTCCACATGGTTTTACAAAACGAAACCATACATAAATATATTTTTTAAATACACTTAAATGTTTTTAAATATTTTACGTTTAATTTCTACGAAACTTTAGGCTGCACTACACTTTCCATTCTACTTTTAACTTAATGTGTTTAACACATTTTTATATTTTCTTTCAATAATTTAACACAATTGATAATACAAATTTATATTATATGTATTGCGAACGCAAATTAGTTAATGGGTTAAAAGAGATAATTATTTCTAAAATGATTTAAACTTACCACTTACCACTTACCACCACTAGCGCTCCTCAAAGAAAGCTATGCAGCTATGCAGCTCATTATTAGTACTTAATTACTTATATGTATGTATGTACATAAGTGAAATAATTTTATAAGAAAAATTTTAATTAATTTAACGTAAAAAGATCATATTTATTTATCACCGTTTTGCATTGCTTTACTCAGAGCTGAGCAGAGTTGACTAAATGAGGGTCGCTCTTTTGGATTTGAGTTCCAGCAAGAGAGCTGAAGGAAAGGAAAAAAGAAGAGAAAAGGCATTTTATTAAGTTTGTGTTTATCGTTTTCTCTGAGATTTGAATTTTTATATTGTTATTATGACCGATTCGAAAAAACTATTTTTTACAAGGAAATATTTAAAAAAAATACGTAATATACGTCAAGTATATTTCAATTTGTTTGGACTATTTGGTTTTTAAGAAATTGCAATACTACTAAAAACAGCTGCTATTTATCTTAAGACTTTCTTATTTAAAAATTTTACAAATTCTGTTTATTTAACGAAAAAAAAAACTTTAGGCGGTTGAAAGCACTTTACAAAAACATTTTCTAATTTATACTGTCTTCATTGCGACTATAATTAGTTTGATTACCAAGATATCTTTTTTTTTTCAATTACTCACCAAAATCTCCTTCAGACCATCCGGTGTCCCTGGTGCGCATGCCCAATCCAATTTGCCCGATTGGCTGCGTTGTATGACTTCTTCATTGCTCAGCTCTTCAAATGGCATTTTCGTGGCCTGGCTGAATAATTCCCAAACAACAACACCAAATGCGAATATATCACTCTTTGTTGTGTAATCATCTTCTTGTATACATTCCGGCGCTAACCAACGGACAGGCAAAAGAGTGTTGCGATGCTTGTGGTATTCTCGACAGTATTTGTCCTTCGATATAGCGGGATATGAGACTTTGACAATAAAATCACTGGAGATGACACAGTTCCGCGTGGCTAAGTCCCTAAAAGGGAGAGAAAGAAGGAAAGAAGGAAATTTCGATAAAGATTAACGATTACTGAATGAAGTTCAAGATAAAAAGTTTGGTGACAATAACAATAGAGGGGCTACTTTCCCCAAAATATTTGGTCCTGTACCTTTTCTAGAACCCTTCAATACTTACTTGTGTATAAATCGTGCTCGGTAAATGGCGTCCATGCCGCGCGCAATTTGGTAAGCTACGGCCAAGATTTGACCCGTCTGCAGTGGTGGCGGCGACTGAGCGGAGTTATTTGAGGTATTCACTTTACCAGCAGTTGCTAGAAGGAATTGCTTGAGATCACCCTAACAATCAAACGAAAAAGAGCTATTAATTAATTTTTACTTTTATTTTCTCTCTAACTCTCTACCCACCCAATCTGTGTATTCGAGCACCATGTAATGCGGATCTTTCTCACGGCATAAACCAAACAGGCGCACTACACCTTTATGTGAAATAGCACGAAACATATCGATTTGCCGTTTGAACTCTTGACAAATATTTTCATCCTTAAATTTATTTAGCGCCTTCACTAACACCAATTTATATTCATCTGTTGTCGTCGAAGTTGTGTCACCATCGGCACTGCCTGTCTCTTGCTCTTCACGTATCTCTTCAATGTCGTCCATGGACGTTTTTGAGCGTCGCTTTTCGATTGAAGTTATGCCACTATTATTTTCACCGTTATTATGTCGCTCCGATTCGCAATCTTTCTCATCCACTTGACGTATGACAGACGCCTTCACTTTACCTACAAACACATCTCCAAACTCACCGCGTCCGATTTGTATTAACTCACTAATACCAGCGCGGGGTAGGGAGAGCTGATCTAAAGCGTGCGAACGTTTCGAGCCCTTGGAGTGATTGCTGCATGCAGTGTCATCAGATTTCGCTGCTTCATTGCCACTGCCACGTGGATTATTGTTGCCATTTACTTTGCGTATTTTTCCCGAGGAGCCGTGATCTGGTAGGCAAGGCTCATTTTCGGGCAATTTACCCATTTCACCAGACTCGGGATTATCCTTATTGGCTTCGTTCAAGCGTGCCTTGCGCGCTTGGCGACGGAACCGACACCAAATCATTAGACCGACAACCAGAATAATATAAGCAAAAGCGACGGTCATGGTGATGAGTACAGCACGAGTGATGAGGAAGCCATCTCCGCCAGAGTCTTCGCCAGCAGCGCCATCGGCGGCTGCAAAGTGAAAGAGAGAGAAAGGGAGAATACATGGTAAATATATTTACAGTAGCTTGCAAAACCTCAAGCGACGGCAGGAATTTTTATTAAAGGAAAATTTGCTTAGGAAATATTGAATAAACAAATGAATTCCTCCACACTTACCTTTCACAACGAATCGCACCTCTTCGCGCTTCAAGCCAGCACTGTTGCCTATCGTACAACCATAACGACCCTCATCGTCCGGTTGCACGTCACGTATTTCGAGCGTGCCATTCTCAAGGAAACGAAAGCGTGTCTTGTCAGTATTATTCTCACTTAAATATTTTAAGTCTTTATCCCATTTTATTGTAGGCTTGGGATCGCCAATCGCCTGGCAATGCATTACAGCCACCCCCATTTCACCGGTTTCTATGGGTCCTTCGGGCGCGACGGAGAAACGTGGCGCTACCACAACATTCACCATGACGGTGGCATTGATGAGTCCTTGTGAATTGCTCGCCATGCAGGTATAATTGCCGCGATGCTCGGCGCTGACGTTCTTGAATATTAACGTGCCATTGACGTCGTCGACTGCCTCGGGTAATTGTTGATCGGTTTCCTTAAAGTAGGTGGATGGGAAGACAATTTTTGTTATAATGTGGAAAAAGATAGTTTTTTTTTAGTGTAAAATGGCGTTTTATGTTATTTAATATTTTGTTATTGTTTATTTATTATCTATTGGCGGTTTTCCCGTAACCCATAGCTTAAAAAATACATAAGTATGTATGTATATAAAAAGCATTATATTTTTAATGTGATACTATTCTGTGACCCAATAGCCGAGTGATTAGCATAGCGAACTGCCACTCGGAAGGCCAGGGTTGGGGTCATTGTCCGGCCAACATACAAAAGTTATAGAAAATTAATTTAAATAGAATTGAGGTCGCCCCTCGGCAGGACATGTCAATCCCTCCCAGTGTATTTCTGACATGAAATAAAGGCTCGTAATAAAAAAAAACATCAGCTATTTGGAGGTGACTTAGTATAAACGGGAGGTCCTTTTATTTGTTGGAATAAACATTAAGACGCCAAAGTTACAAACTGGAGCAGGAGCTCGGCTAAAAATCGCTTCAGCGGTTACAAGGCACCAAATATATATTCTAAATACAATATATACATACGTTTTATTTTGCACTATGAGATTTGCTTTGATAATATTTTATCAAAGCTTATAATGTACATACTACATACATATATATGCACTTGTTTAAAATTTAGTCTTAGTTTGAGTTTAGAATAAAGCAGAAGGTAGTAACATTTGCAATGATTTTCTTTTTACCAGACAAACGTTTTATTCAGTTTTTTGTTTGATTTTGAAGTATCCCCTTCAGTTACCTTGAGGCACACTTGCATACATATATTGGCGCTTGTTTTGAAATCGAACACATATTTGATTACCTCTGATCCTTTTAGAAATGCATACATACATATATATGTACATATGTGTGTATGTACATATATGCTTGCATAAATGGCAGATAAGGCCTCCGAAGCTGAAGCGTATGAATTATTGCCTGTAGGTTTTTCGAAATCACATTTTTTTATTTTTTTCACAGCTACCATGGCCTTACACTTTGTGGGGCAGTCAACCCCAAAGTGATGCCTTCGGCTTTACCATTTCCACTTGCACTATTGCAAAGGACTATTAGAAAAAAAATTGAAAGCGCAGACACTAATGGATTAGAGTTTTGTATATGAAACACGATTTTTTAATTGAAAGTCTAGCCTTTATGTGCATCAATAACAATATTATTGATATTGATATATTTGATATTGATGCACATAAAGGTAATCCAAAGTAAACGGTAAAGCCAATTCAATCAATGACAAAAGCTGATTCACTTTATGTTGAAGAATTATGGTGTTGTATTAATTTTAAATTGCCTTTTCTGAAATTCGTTTTAGGTTTTTTAAAAACAGTTGAATTTTTTTGATGAATGTTAACTGAGTTTTCTAATTTTTCTAGAAATTTATTTGGTCGTTTCAATATCAGGTGTCACTTTTCCTTATTTGTATATATTATATTAACTTTTGGTGATAATTATATATATTTAATTTTTTATTTTATATTATATTATTTTATTTTGTTATATTTTACTCTAATTTATTTCTCTTAAATCATAATGAATTTTTTAAACAAAGGCAAATCGGCAACTGTGACCACCCTAACGCACATTCGCTATACCAACTTCATATACACGTATGTACGTATGTAGGTAGATAAGTTTATGGCATTCGTATTGGAATTTTTAATTTTAGATTGATATGAGCGCATATTTACAACAGAAAATGAAAAGCTCTCCAGTTGTTGTATCATTTCGCTAACGTGAAATTTATTATATAATTTTTACTAAAATCTTTAAAGCTGCTTTAAATCAAATATTCTGTGTTCAGAGAGCATTAGAGGAGAAGTAGTGAAGTTTATTCCTTGGAGTTTCTTTAGTCTTATTTCCTACTATTATCTTCTACGCTTTCTTTGTGCATGAAGTAGACAATTCGCCAAGTAAATTTCAGTTGAAGTGGACAATGGTAAGTGGCAAGTGGAACAACCGCTGATCTGCGCTTTTGTGCCGCTGCCACATTGTTTGAACATTTAATATTTCAGCATTTTGCTGTTTGCTGTTTGCTCTTTTCAGCTTGTTTTCTTTGCATATTCTCATTCTAATGATTCTACCAACACGGAGCAAATTTGTATAATGTAAGTGTATTTGAAGCTATATTATACACGTATGTGTGCGCGAGTATTACATGCAATTTCTTCTACTCACCCGTATCCATTTGACATGCGGCGACGGTGTTCCCTGCGCCTTACAATGCACCTTCCCCACGCTACCCAACTCCAGGTTCTTTGACGTTGGTTGTGGCACGAACTTTAACTGTTCAATGACTTGTAAGTCAGCTGGCTGCGAAGTAATCGGCCGATGACCCTCTACATAGATTTGACAAACATATTGTCCGGCATCGTTGGCGAAAACGCTACTAAAAAGCAATGAGCCATTGGACCGACTAAGCACTATGCGTGAATCTTCGCGTAATGTCAATTCCTTGCTCGCCTCGGTGGGTGTAGACGTTGAGTCGGCTGTCGTCGCTGTGCCACGATCTACTGTTCGAAATAGCTTACCATCTTTGCGCCAACGTAATTGCACTTGCCGATACTTGTCAGGCACTGTGTGTACGCACTGCAATTCAATGGGTTCAAATTCTTTAATTTTTCCGTTGGTTGGGCCCTTTGTGATGGCAACATCTGTAATGGGTGGTAATTTATCTTCGGCCGGTTGGCCACCACGCTTGCCACGGCATAGAAATATTTGACTCATTGCTTCTATGGGCAATTTTTGATTCTTCTTGAGGCGTGGTACGCAGCCACCACTTTTGCCGCCGCCAGCACCACCACCGCCGATGTTATCTCGTTCAGGCAAACCTTTCGCCTCTTTATCCGTCCATTGCAGCACATATCCTTTCTTACTCATCACTCGGCCTGCTGCATTGGAGGCGATGCAGCGGTAGAGTCCGCTGTCTGCAGCTCTGGGTTGGCGTATAATTAGTCGATTTTGTTGCAGTTCAATATTTTTGAGAGTGCTTAACTTTTCGCTGTTGCGAAACCATTCAATTTCGAGCATCCCGTCGCCTGAAGAGCCCTCCACATGACACTTGAGTGTGACTTCATTGTGATTGCCGCTTAGCAGTTGTACGGCGGCCGTTTGAATCCCTGCAGGAGGAGAACGAGGCAAGATAGGTGAGTAGGAGGTAAGACAAAGTAGTGGAAAGTGAAGTGCTTTGCAAATTGGGATCATTGGGATTTTTTTGTTGATTGATGATTTTGATTGATTGAAAGTTACTTAAGTATTCTAAATTTTCATATAAACTCCAACTCAAATAGCGAAAGTTAAATAAAAATATATGTGCGAAGCAAACTTGAAATAAAGTTAAAGTGAAATAATTGCAATATATTTTAATCCTCGATCAATGTTTGGATTAAACTTAATAAAAAATTAATAAGATCTAAGGCTGAGATCAGGTTTGTGGCATTTTTAATTCCTGAACTATATTAGAATATACAATAAAACAGTATTAGAACTGCTAAGTCATTTATCTTAAATCGTTTACATAGAGAGTGGTTTATTCGGTTTGTTATTTCACACCAAATATTTGTTTTGTACTCTTTCTGCTTGTGTTGGATACAATTTGCTATTTGTATTTACTGTTTATTTCTGTAAAACCGTATGTACATAGAACATAAGCAGAGTGCCAGTAGAAAATTGTGTAGGTAAAAACGTTGATGTTTTACAGTAGTCTCTTCGCTTAGAGCCTTAGCATGGTCTAAGGAAATAGAAATTGATTTAAATTTACCCAACCTAAAAGCTGCTGTCATAGATAATCAGAGTTAAAAATCAAAATGATATCGCACAGCCTTTCGCATTTCGTTCGCTGATTTTGGCGAACCTTTTGCAATAGTTTAGTAAGATTGTGAGGTTAAATTAAATGACATAAATTTCAGAAAAGGAATGTTTGAAATTAAAATTTTACACAGGTTTTTGAGGAACAATTCACGAGAAATTATGCAAACGATTTTTTTTTTCAATCAAAACTATTAAAAAAAAAAAACTGGAGCAAAAGTTTGAAAATTTCCTTTTTATTTCTTCTTGTTCAAACTCTAGTTTATGATATTAGTTAAAACACTATTTTGGGATAATTTTTTCATAAGTTCCACTATCGACAAAGATCACGGGAAATGACGTCACAATAGTAGAGTTACATTAAATTTTGCTAGTTGCAGTTTAGTTTATTTCTCAAATGTATACCTTTAAGAGAGTAAATACTTTGAATAAAACGCTTTACTTTTTATAAGTATTAAAAATGATCAAAATAGACATTTTTCCCAAAATAAATCCACATAACCCTTCAAACATAACCCTTTAACAAAAATATCTGTTAGATACAATTACAAAGATATGTGTGTACATATGTTAGAAAAAAAGGTGTGATATGAAGTGACAAAAGAAGATAACACCAATTAACACCTCCATGCAATGTAAACATGGCTTGTACATACATGCATATATATATATATTTGGTATTATACCGATTTTTGTTAACACAAAAGAGTTGAAAACAAACTGTCGAGGCAATAAGAGTTAGTATCAGGACTAGCTCCGCAAGAATCTTTCAGTTATATGGGTAGCTTAGCTTATCTCAGCTAAACGGTAAACTACTCGGTGGTCCATGTGCAAACAAACACTCGGACATATTTAAACTAAAAATATCCTAGGAGTTCTCCTTCTATGAAAAACGTGCTGCTACCATAGACTTGTCCATATATACATACATACATATATTTATATTAATTTCAGAATACTAAATAAAAAATACATATGTATGTATATAAGTTACTCGTCAATACATACATCAATTTGCCAGAAAAAGTTTAGTTTGTGTCGTTAGAGTTAAATGCGGCATTTCTACTTTGTAACGGTATAAAATAAACACAAGAATGCATTGAAGTTTATTAATCAATTAAAATATTTTGCTGCAGCAACTGTTTGATTGTACAATATGTACATACGTGTATATATGCACATACATTTATCTGTATGTCTGCATGCATGTGTGTAATTAACATGGTTGTTTCATTTTTAGAGTTGTGATAAAATTGTTTATATTTACTCTTTGTCTGTACGTATGTATACAGTGCGAAGAATATTTCACTTTTAATGTGTGAAGGCAAAATGGAGGTGTAAAAAGACGGAAATAAATTTAACACCGCATACACGTACATAAGAGAATACATTCCAGACTCTGCCACAAAAACAATAACAATAATATTAATAGAATTAAGATCGTGAAAGAAGCAGGAGTGCAAGTGAAAAAGTGAGTTCAATTGCCTTTCGTCTTGACACATACAAGTGATGGTAATTTGTTCACGTTCATGGAGAATCAATCAACTAAAAACGCGAGTAAAAAAGATCATGTTTGACTGAAAAGTAGGTTCCAAGCAGGGCCTATTACAAGGTGCACTATCATCTAGCAGACATCAATTTCCATTTTTGTACCAAATGCGTGGCTCTAAAGTAATTTTATTATAGAAACAGCCTATAAACTTGCGATTGGTGAGCTGAAAATTGAAATTGTGGGTTTATTCATTTCGCTTAATGCTTTCACCGTTTTTTTAGAACGGTTTAAATAGGTTTTTAATCTGACACAGGATCAATAGTCATCAGATTTGCTGAGGAAAATAACTAATATGTGTGTATTACAGGCTTTAACAAATTGCTAAGTATCTATTGTTTGAATGCATACTTACATATGTACTCGTATAGCCACGCACTATAATTAGACACTTCTATTTTATCAACCGAACAGAGAAAGCAATCGTTTTTGTTTTCTCTTGAATACCTAATTACTTTACCGTGAAGTATCTTGTTTGTGAATAATCTTCGTTTTGTGCAACATTAACAGAAATTACAACACTGTCACCCCGGAAAAGTGTGGTATGCGACATCAATATCATCTCATGACTTTCATGCCTTCGGATGGTACAATTGTATACAAAGCAGTCAACAAGACGTCAACCTACGCATAAATGTAAACAATAAACGTCAACAACAGCAAAGGACAACAAACAAAATAACAACAAAATCAATGCCTTTCGCAATTCTATATGTATGTATGTACGTGTATGTATGAATGAATGTATGCAAGAAAACGAACAAAAACAATAATATTTGTCTGGTAATGAATAAGTGGCAAGCAAGCGAAGGATCCACGAAATACCGTTGCTGAGTAAGAATGCGGAGGACATTGGAACAATCGACAACAATCGCTCTAAAAATAATGTTTGCAAAGTCAGTCAGTCGTTCTCGACTTAAAGGTTGAGGTTATTGTTGTTGTTGTTGTTTTTGTGTGTCTGCATCTTGAGATTTGGAATTCGTTGATGAGAACACATCCACTCACCACTCACCACACACTACCCACCACCCACCACCCACCACTACACTATGCGCATCAATGATGAAAGCGTTCGTTCTATTTTACATTGTGTCGTGAACCAACATGGTATTTTCGAAACCTGAGTGCGCGTTCCGGAGAGTAATGAAATATGCTAGGGAAATGGTGAAAAATCATAACATTTGGATTGTACATAAAAAGAGAAAACATAAAACGGGAATTACGGCATTACAACAAAATACACAAATACCATATACATATGTACCTACATATATATGTATGTATATGAACCCAGCAGGCAAATGAACTAGTTATAGCTACATACCTCTAAATTATTTTTACAAACAACTGTTACTGACTATGTAATCAACCTTACCAGCAAATTGGTTTCTATCTTGGTGTGGTCTTAAGGAAATTCTCTGATTATATTGAGCAACATAAAAGTCTCATACTACTTCAATATGGATAAGAAAATGGCTTCATAATTCTCTAACCCTAATTTATAAAAAAAAATCTCATAAAATACCGTCGTCAGTCGGAATAGTTTGTCTTTTCGACAGTCTTGCCTTCTTCGGGCTCGTTTTATATCAGGCAGGACATTCTGACAGCGAACTAGTGTTTTTCGGGCCGGTTTCATGTTCACTGTATGGTACTTTCAATTTAAATATATGTAAATTTGGGGTGAGCCCGCCAAAGCAGCGAAATATGGGAGGAAAGTCATTAAATGCATCAGAGCGGCATGAAAACATAAAAATGAAATAAAAAGGCAATGGTTAACAACAACGCCGAACAACCGCACAGCAATACAAACCCAAACAACTAACGACATAAACAATTTAACCACCCTCCCAACTGGTCTATACACCATCCATACAACAGCAAACATACATTCATACGCATTCTTTCTATATAAAATGTACGAACGTTACAGTCGTTTACAACATTCGCACCCCCAGTTCGGGGCAGCTCGTCTCGACACGGCTACCGGCAAACTTGACTTAAGCATTTGTAGAAAATTGTATGCGTCAACTTCCATTTCATCTTCATTTTCAACGCCGGAAAAACGCATAAAATTTTACGAGCAGCAGCTGAACACAGGCGAATATAATAACAGTGGCAAGGCAGCAAACAACGTAGACTATGACGGCAGTGGTGTTGCCTTCAGCAAATCACGAAATAAATTCGACTTGCCTTGGGTTACTATGAGGGAGAGCGAGATAAGGTGGTGGCTTTGTAATATTATAAAATTTTCCTAAAATTGGAATACACGATTCTCCTATTCTTGACATTCTTAAAATAATTCATTTTCATTCTGATTGCTCATTGCGAGTGGCAACAATGGTTTCGGCAATATAACTTAGAAAGTACTCCAGGTACTCCAAATAACTATACAAAAAGAGAGACTTAAAGAAGCTTTCGACCTAATTGTTCTAAGAATACAGAAAAACATATTTTGAATAAAAACTATTCAGTTTTTTTTGGGAAGCCGACTTTCTCTCGGGACATATCTATGGCTATTTATGGCTTTAAACTAGAATATAATTTAAACATATGTACATAGTATTTGTAAGATTCCCTTGGCTTTGGTACTAGTGTAGGGGAAAAAATTAAACCACAAACAGCAGGCAGCACGAGGGGCAATTACCGTTGAAAAGACGGTTGCACTCAGTATAAAGTAAACAAAACGAAAATCAAATCGACGAAATCGAAACGAAAATCGGAAATCTGTGCAACATATGCTGCTCTCCAAGGCACATATGATGGATACATCTCCTATGTTTTTTTTTTTTTTGTACACAAATTTCGTATTGCCACAAGTCTTTCTGTATACATGTTGACAGCTGTTACCCATGACGGTGCAATATTTTTAAATAGCGGACGCAAATCAAAAGAAATTAATTATTCTTTTAAGTTAATTAAAGCGGAAAGCAAATAATGGTGCATAAGATACCAGGAAAGTATTGATGAAAGCGATATTTAAGAAATTATGCTAAAGAATTTTACTTACAAATTATATTAAGTCGGGCCGGAGGAGATGCCTGACGTGCCCCGCTTGTTGCGGTCGTCGCTATACAAACATAATCACCCACATCAGTCTCGCGTTGCACAGCCGCTATACGTAGTTCCGTACCCAAATGTTGGACGCGTGTCGTATTTTGTACTGGAACATCTGAAATCACAAATAAATGTTGTGTAGTTAATAAATGCTCGCCAAGTAGTATTTACATTGCATGTGTATAACTTTCTTTGCGAATTCTACTCACTATTATGCAGCCAAGTATAGTTCAGTCCATCGGTAGAGGTCGCACGGCATGTGAACAGAACTGGTTCACCCTCGACGATAGTTTGGCTCTGTGGTGTGGTGATGAAGCGAGATGATTCCGATTTGACTGAAGCTAAAAATTATATAAAGAAAAAAATACTTTAGTAAGAAGTTCAACAGATTTTGATTCAGACTTTAGTTTAACTCTTTTAACCGATGTTCTGGGTTTCTGGATATGTCATTTATTTTGTTATCCCCTTACGCCCGTTTAAATCAACCAAAATGCATTTGTAACTGCCGTGCACGAGGAATTATCCTTCGGAGCCCACTATTCCCGGCATCCCCAGCGCCCATCCCTATGCCCTTTTTGGCATAAATTTCCTTAGTCGATCGACTACTTAACGGCGGCCGTTCGAGCTAACGAAATTTCAATCTTAAACCTCGCTCGCGCACGGCGGATTGCCAACCAATGACACTTGTGTTCAAAATCATTGTATTTACATTCTCGTTAAAAGTTAAATATTGTTAAACGGAATTCAATTGAAACATTGTGAAACAATTTTTAAAATGAGACAATCTTTAGAAAAAAATGCGTTTTTTATTTAAACGTTGCGTACGCTCGACAGACGGCACCCCCTTGCTTCCCCAAAATCGTGAGAGTTTTGATTACCCTGTTTCCAGTATTTTTTCTGTACTTTTTGTCCCAGTATCCTGTCATATAGTAGCCTGTTCTATTTTAATATAGTTTGCTAACAGTCGGCAGCGTTAGATCACGGATTCGAATTTTGTCCAAACCAACATCCAAAATTACAAACAAAAATTATTTAGTAATATTTTCCACCCTGGAGAAATCTCAAACTGTTTAAAATGAATTGGACATTACCTCATGGAAATGCACTAATCGTTTGCGGGCGACCTAGAAAAACCTGTAGTTACCTTCGGCTTGTTGCTCAACAAATATTGCAAGAGGAGCCAGGCTAAAAATCTTCTGGGACGAATCGAAATATTCAGTTCCAGCTGAGCTCGACACTTCTTCAAAAATGAATACACGTAATTTACTTATGTTGAAGGAAAAAAATAAGCTGAAAGGAATTCGTTTTAATGATGCTTCCACGAGTATTTCGCGAAAGTTTCGAAACTCATTTAAAGCTTAACAGCGCGCAAGCACTTGTGCTTGTTGCAACAGTCAACAATATGGAACAAATAATCAACCTTTCCGTCGCAAGAAGGGCGAGTAAGATCCTTAGGAACAAAAGAAGAACAGTAATGGCAAACCAAACACAAAAAATGCAAAAAAAAAAATGTAATAAAATACAGAAAAAACAGTCGAAGTCGATGCTGAATGGCAACAGAACACGAGCGTAAGCCTCCTCTCCTCTCATTGCGGGCAAATTGCAGAACAACGCCACGAGTAACGAAAGTAACAATAATAACAAACAACAAGGAGTAGAAGGCCGCGTCTGCATTCAGATAAATAGCGTTGGCAGACAGGCAGACCAGCAGACAGAGCGTGGCAAGTGTGTCGGAAGGAGGCAGGGAAATGCACCGGCAGACATCACAGCAACGAAGTTTACAAATATATGTATGCATGAAATATGGAGCTGTCCGGGCATTATATGTACATATGTATGTATGTATGTAAGTATCAGAATACAAGCTTAACAACAGTGTGATTGGGCTTACATACATATGTATATGTATACTTATAAAATATATAAATGCACTCTTGCGCTGTATTTGTGTGGAGAGTATTTGATGGAGGCCGTCGCCATCCATAAATGGCTGGAAAAACTCTACTTTCAGCGGTAATGACACACAACCAAATAGACGCACATACATACATACAGACACACGTTCATAGCATGACAGTTGCCGGTTTTGTGATTTTTGTTACTGTTGTTGTTGTCATTGCTGCACCTTTTTGTAAGGACTTTTTCACTGTTTTTCGATCCTTTCCATTATGTGTCATAAGCCATAAAGGCAGCTCAACCCCACCATTTCCACTTCCAATGGCAGACAACGGAGCCAACAACAGTTTTTTATTTGCAATTGTCTGCAGCTGCCAACGTCCATATATGTACGTATGTATGTTTTTAAAAATATGTATTTTTCTAGTTGGATAGACTCGAGTGCAGATGATGTGCGTTGTTGCACTCTTCATCTCAAAGATAGTTGTGTACCACAAAAACTCAATTGTCATCGCAGTTATGGGACCACTGTTTTACTTAATTGTTATTGTTTGTTACTAACGCTGCTGTAGTTCTTACGGAAAATATAATATGATAAATAATTTTATTTGTGTCATCATGTATTCAATATTTCTGCGTGGCCTTAGGGGCAGTGCTCTCAGAGCCTTACTACTAATGCCATATCAGTGCGATGTGGAACAGAGATTTCAGTTATTTTCAAACTGCCATCGTAGATATGAATGCCAGCCCCATCTCATGTGAAATCATCAGTCGTTCGGAGGCGGCTTAGTAGAAATTCTCACTATATTAGATAGAAAAACATAGAGGCGCACACCACAAATCGGATGAGGTGCTTGGCCGAAAATCGCTTTAGCAGTTATATACATATGTACATATGGTGCCTTAATATTCCGTTTCATGTACATGAAAGGAATAAAAAAATTAAGTAAAATATAATAAAAAAATTATTATTTTATACTTTTTCAGTCTTAGAAAAATTTAATTGTAGCACTTTTGAGTTGGTTAAAAGATATTCCTCTGCAACTTATGCTTTCAGTGCTCGTACGATGGCAAGGTGCCGTGCTTGGATGAAAAAAAGCGACATGTGCCATAGCGGCCACATACATATATGCACAACATATGCATACATATGTACAATACATATGGATTAGTGTTCACACATATACTCTTCCTTTGTTAATCCACCGTCGCTGAAGGCAGGTACGTCATGGCTTGGTGAATAATCGATTTCATACTTGGCATCACACAAACGGTCCGACAGACAAACACTGAATGGCTGAGCTTCATTCCAAACCGCACACACTCCAATACTTAATGCTGCGATTTGTGCGTAGAACCTAAAAACACAGATACATATACATATAAATACGACTGCACTGCTCATATGAGTACTTTCGGTAGTGGTTTTTGACCAGGACAGCAAAAATTGGTCGCTAAAGCTCACGTAGCAGATGTTGTTATTATTGTTGCGAAGTCAAGTGAAGGAGCGGTTGGAAAAATGTATCAGATATTGTGTATGATAAGCTGAGCATTATGAAGTAAACTTTAAGTGTTTTTTGTGCCTGTATACGCATTACCTGCGAAGAGCGTGAACCGGACAAGATCTATAACTGAAAACGGAAATTTTGCACGCTAGAGGGGGGAAATAAGAGAAGTGAGCCAAAGTTAAATTCCTCAAAATAAAAATATGTAGAAATTTATCTGAAAGTTGATCTAATCCAGGGCAACTTAATTACCAGTTGATAGCGCACTCCCAAAAACAAAAATTCACATATATTTTGAGATTGGCAAGGCTATTAAAAATTTCTATCTACAAGATTGAACAATCGCAGCGGCAGTGTGTATAAAAATTTAGAATCAGTTATTCTGGTGATGCAACCTGCTAATTATTAAACCCGCGCTCCATACTTGCGAGTACGAACAAAACAAAAATTTCGATAACAAACACTTTTGACTCGCTGTTAATGACTTGTGCTTGTGGTCGTGTTCGTTAAAGTTTTCTTTTCAGTCACATGCCTTGTCTTGTAACACAGGCGCGACGATGAAATAGTTCAACATAAGTGCAGTAGACACCGGATAATTAGGCTAAATTGCAGGGGCGGCGACCAATTGGCGCACGGACAGTCAAACATACAGACAAATCGGCAAGATGAATGTGGAAGAGTTTGAAGCTGGAGCAGCATAGGGCAATTTTCGTTATATTCGCTTAGACTTGTGCATTGAATCTGATGTCTACGGAGAGACGTGTACTGCCAACTAATTGATGGCGCATATACACATGTGCATACACGTACATATATAAATGTATATCATCATATTCTTACCGTCCAGCAAAATTTTCCCCACACACATTATATGTGCGTGCCCCTTCGCCATGCCACTAACTTGTTCAAACTTCTACACGTTCTAGAAAGAGTTGGTAAAAGTCCAGTAAAAATTTGCCAACAACAAGAACAGGTGATCAATTGGTTCCTTCCCTTGAGAGAGTATGATATCGTTTTCTCTGGATTTCATTGTTCCCTATGCTTGTGGGTTTTTTTAAATTTCGCCCAACTCGACTAAAACCATTTGATCAATCTCATGTGGAAATAAATGTTGAAACTCAGCTTGAGTATATGTATATACATATATTGTTTTTGCCTTTGACATATATATTACCTCAAATAAAGTACTTTATTCGTCGAAAATAACTTTAACGGTGTGAATACCGCTGGAATTGAAACTATCAACGTATTCTATTGAATTTCTCTGTCATTCTGTATGGAGCGTCGATATTTTATGAATACCCTTTTTTACATTTTCCTTTTTTACTTACTACTAATGTATGTATGTATGGAATGTACCTTAACGTTTCAGATTTCAATTGCAAGAGCGCACAAGCGAGAGAATTGGCGGCTTATAACGACCAAGCTGAATCGGCGCCGTATACTGCCTGCCGTTGCATCTGACAACTGCAATGCGGCATTAATGACAATCAGCATTGTTGTCCTCGCTTTTATTGTTGATATTGTTGCCACTGCTTCGGTTGCTGAAAGCATTTTACTGTTCTTCGAGATTCGCCAAAGGGATTGTAGTGGCAAGAATTGCAAGACAAAAAGAGAAACCAATAAAAATTTGCAATATTTAAGTCGGAGAAATTGGCTATTAAGCACTCATTTCACATACATATATACATACATACATACATACATACTCTAAGTTTAACCATGTGAACATTGTCTATAGAGATAATCTATAGCTTTTATGGAGTTTATTCATTAATTTTTAGCGAAGTTAACAGAGGGCGCGCAGCGTTTCATTGTGAGGACTATGCAGTTATGATGCATATTACCAATTTAGTTTTCATTCAAATTGATAAAATAACTTCTCGACGCAATTTTTAGTTACAAAAAACACGACGTTTCCACGAAAAAAACTGCAAAGTAAGTTTGAACGCGAATGTCAGCGTAACATGAAAATAAGATTATATTTCAAATCAGAAATAATTCCGAATATTTCACAAGCAAATCGTATAAATTTAATTCCAAATGTGGCCCTTTAGGTAGATTTATCCAAGTAAAAGTATAAATAAATTCAGAACAACGGGGTACACGCAACATTACACACATGCAATTACTTCTTAAGTGGCCATTGGTATTAGATGACAAATAGAAAGATTTTTGTTTCATCACCAAACGTGAAAGATCGGAAGGACAATAAAGAAAATGAAATTGGGATAAGATTTCCAAGGGTATTACGAGTGGGTAATGGAGTGCATCAAGTGAGACACACAATGTGTATGTATGTATGTATATTAAGCTGAATCAGTAAACATCAAGCCTTGCTACTATACGAGTACACAATACAACACACAAAAAATTAAAAATCGGTAGCTAAGGAAATGATTTCTTTAAATTTTCAGTAGAGCGGCAAGATATCTATAATACATCCACTAAGCGAATCGAAGCGTATAGAAGCAAAAGAATGCAGATTCTCTTCAAACGTTGTAGCCTACATGCCTTAGATAGAGGAATTACTACAACAAAAGCCATTTGTTAATATGTATACATATACTCGTACATTTGCATATTCTTAAAGCAACACCATACGTACATAACATATTTATCCATCAATATACATACATATGTACATATGTTTGAACAATATATAATGTGCTCAAAACAATTCCCAGCAGCAAATGATATAGCTTTGGTGCAATTGTCTGAATTCACGCTTGGTTCGGTTTCTAAATAACAATTCTACCAAGTGAATTGCACTAAAAGCCTCTCCAAACGCTGCACTTAACCTACTACCATTGGTCTTAGATGAAATTTCAGAATTTTCGAGCGGCTCGTCAGCAGAATTGATGGAGGTGTTAGTAGCAAAGATATGTGCAGGAAAACAGGCAGGTAGGATTAAATCAGACGTTGGCACAGCTTCTCATGAAAGCTGGAATTAAAGGAGTCAGCAGGAGCCAGTACAAACTTTGAATAAAAAGAAACTGTTAAAGTATAAAGCATTTGCTTCCTAAGAAAGATAAAACTTGCTTGAACTATTTTTGTGGTCAGGGTGTTGGTGTTCCCGCTGCCGATCTGGAGTAATGCAAAAACAAATATACTTATCACATTTGTTTGTTCCCTTCAAAGGCTTCGCCACCTCAACATTTCAAGCCTTCGAAATTTTGCTGGAGGGTATAAGAAGGTATCTGCTCTTCAACTAATGCTATTAGCTTATACTGTTATTTGTGTGATTATTTAAAACTAAATAAAATAAGTATATTTCTACCGACATGCCCATATGAGCATGTGAAAGGGAAATAGGTAGAAAGTAATTACCCCATTCAAGAAAGTGGGAACTGAAACTAAAGTATCCCATGTTATAGACGCGCTAAGCAACCAACAAATGATGCGATGAGTACCGCAGTTACTTACACCTATATATGTATGTATATAGATGTATTCACATGCATAAGTAATACGAGTAGTAGGGCGTATTGTCTACGTTTAGACCGTGACTTCATGCAAATATATGTATGTATGTAATTTGTGGCACAATCGCTTTAGTGATAGATCTTCACCGGCACACTCGCCAGTGGCACCTGGCCTACGTTGAGAAATATTGAAAAATGAAGTAAGTAAAAAAGTTGCTATTTGTAATACACACATACATACCTATGTGAATATGTTAAATGCACGTACGCATGTGAATATTTAAAGCTAAAAGTTCTATGAACTATGAACTGAGTACTAACATCTATTATATTTATAAGTACACCTATATGCTCTCTAAAATTAGTAATAACAATGATAAGTTCAACACCAACAAAAAATTTAAACCAAACTTTAAATACGCAAAAATAATCATACGAAAATTTACAATTCCACAATTCTTTATAAGAATGAAAAGCACTGACATAACATTAGTTTTCAAATGAAGACTATTAGCCTATAAAATTAGCCATGAAGAACATTGATATGCGTTCATTGGCATTGAAATGGTGGGAAATATGCAGAGTACAAAGTGTAGAGTTCAAAATTTTAAATGTTTTCTTAAAAATGCTATATACAATTTTTCGATTTGATTGTTGAAATTTTTCTACATTGAGGAGCATTTTTTGACATGCATCAAAAAATGTATTTAATGTTTTTTTTAATTTTTTTTAAACAAAAAAAAAAAACAAAGTAATTTGCACACCCAACAATTCTTTTAAAAGTATATGTATATTTTTCTTTCTCAACTTTGTATTTGCATTTTAATCATATTTTCGAAATAACTAAACCTGAATTCCCATACTAAATAAAGCGTATAAGCCGCTTTCCGGTGAATCGTGAAAATGGCTCGAAGAGTGATGGGCTGGTTCGATCATCTCAACTTCATTACGCTGACTTTGTAAGGTAAAATCACATTAGGTTGGCCAGGGTTTGAGTCCTGGTTCGACCAACATCCACAACTAAAAAATTCATTTTTCCAAAAGATTCTCATAAAAATCCCCCGCCCGTTGAAAGAGGGGTTCGGCCGAAAGTCGCATCAGCGGTAACAAAGCGCCAATTACACTTAACACTTCCCGTACATCTCCTGGACCCAATCTTTTATCAACTGGTTAAGAATTGGAACATACATTAAACTAATGTTTAAAAGCAAGACGTGGTGTGTGGGATTTGGTTTTCTTTTGTTTATAAAAGGCTTAACTGAAACTTACCTATCACTTGGAGTGCACAGAGCACTGCGGCCAACAACCAGTTTCCGTTGCGTCGACAATCCATATCGGTGTATGATTAATATTTATTATGTACAAAAAAAAATATCAAACGGAGAACTATGGACGTGATGACCGATTTTTTATGTTTTAATGGTTTTTCACAGAAATGTTTACTTTTCACAAACGGTTCTAAGAACGATGCGTGGGCGAGAAAACCATACCAGTAAGTATGTGAACCTATGTACTGGTTTGGACTCCCATATGATGGGTCAGAGCCAAGTGCTGAGTAAAACAAGACCACACATACCCAACTTGGAAATCATTCACTTCACTTTGCACAGAATAAATAAATATTTGTTGTTTGCCGAGTAAAAATATTTGTTATGCCTTATGTTGAGTGTACATATGTATGCACAGGTAATTAAATAAATGGCCAAATGCACTTTAGTAATTTTGCACTTTTTTGATAGATGTGGCTAGTGGCTGGAACACGACAGACTATGAGTTAAAAGCCGCAAGTTGCATAACGCTGCTGCTGTTGCTTAAAGTTGTTTATTTTCGGCGTTGTAGTTTTCAAAGAGACGCGTTTGTTTTAGTTTTTTTTGTGTATGCACGTGTACATACATATGTGAGACGTAGAGGAAGTCATGAATTGCATTCAATATTTGTGTATTTTACAAAGTTATGGCTTTATTGTTGTTGTTGTTGTTGCTATTGCACACATATTTTTTCGTAATCTTTTTATGATTCTTGTTGTGTTATTTATCTTTGATATCGACGCGCACAATGACAAATGGTAGGGCTAGCCGAAGCTAGCTGTTGACGGCAAACAGTCCCGGTTATGGATACGATAAATGTGCATGTGTTTGTGGCCCGAGTGTGATAAAAGGCGGCGTGCGGCTCGATTGATGCCACACTATCGTTTGTATGGGATCATACCGTCAACCATCAGCCAACCGACGTAAAAAAAAATACTCGTCGAAACAATGGTTGAATTATTCTCTGATATCGATACGCCAGTATTACCAAAGCCAATATGTGTGTGTTGGTATGCGTTGTACAAATGCAACTAGCGGGATGTGGATTTTGTTACGCTATCGGAATATAAGTTTGTAAGCTTATTCGCCTAATAAAAGTATAGCGACAATGTAGATACATATATAAGTATGTATGTGCAAATATACGCGGCGTGTTAATGTCTATCAGCGAGACCAAATCTTTAACTGCGACAAATAGACGCGAGACAGTTCAATTACCTTTGGTTATAGTTAAAGCCCCTTTCAATGGATTTTCGTTGTATCCATAAACTCACCGATTTTATCGGAAAGTATTTATCTATATATGTATGTATGCAACTATGTACTTATATAAATATTTATTATTATTTTTCTCTACACATATAAAATAGAATGAACATTGCGGAAAGCTTGAATTATTTTTTTACATTTGTATCCTTCTTCAACTGATGCAAAGCACTACTTCTCATTCCCAATTAAACTATGCGTCACAAACGCGCGAGAGTGTGCCTCACAACCAACTTAACCGTATTCATTGAGCGCTCGACAAGAACTGAAGTTGAAGAACAGGAATATTAACGCCGTGACCGCCGGCAACGAGCAACGAGCAACCAACGAGCACCTAGGCGCTTGATATAGTCATCCATCTACCCCTCGGCAGCTATTCTATTGGAGTTGGCCCGGCAAAAGCCGGTTCCCAATCTAGCTCTCCCAATTTCTCTATACGTGCTCTAAAGCAATGACGAATGAATGAGAGAACAAAACAAATGCCAGAAAGACGAATGAAAATTGGTATGTGAGGTATGTATGCGTGTATTTATGTGAGCCGTAGAAGTACTCTTCGTGAACGTTTCGTACAACTCATATGAAGTAGAAGAGAGTAAGGTAGTTTTAAGCAGAAAATATGTAGTGCGAGTTGATTTCTGACTTTTCATAAAATACAAATCTTTTTTTCAGGAAGCTTTAAGATCGTTAAGAGGAGCTGGAATCATCATTTTTTTTACATATTGTTTTATATTTATTTATTTACATACAAGTGTATTTAGATCAGTGAAAAAGTCGAATTTTTTGAATCGCTGCACTTGCCACCAAGGGTTGGAATGCTGGCGGTCATCTCCCGTTCTGTGAAGTGAAAAACATTTTCACAGCCTAGTTTGGATTATTTTCGTTTCCTTTTCTTTTGTAAGCACATCTCAATGAAATGTATATGAAAAAGTGTTTTCACGCTTTTACCAGAACGAACGTTGTAAAAACTTTATATACACGCGTAACTAAAAAAGCGAGAAACCTACAGTTTTAAACCGCTTATGATACGGCCAACTTGCTTAAGGTGACTCTCCTTTGATATTGTGCAAAAATCAGGCAAAGTTTGTATTTTTTTTTTTGTGGAAGAATGGAAAGACGCACTTTACGTTTAAGACGGCTACAAAATTGCACTTTCCGTCGGCCTCTATGCAAAAGACATGGCCCAATAACTTCAAGGCTACAGCTCCTTGCAGTAGACTGAAATCAAAAATCGTTATCATTACTTGAAGATCATGAAATTTTCTACGTCGTGAACCTCAATTGCAACAATTTTAACGATAAATTTATTGCATAATACTGATTGCACTTATAAAGTTAAATTTTTTGCTACTGTTTTCACTTCAATTACATTCAAAAAAAAAATTAATAATGATACTAATGTTAGGTTAGAGACGTACAAAAAACTATATACTTTGAAACAGTTTTTAGATCGGGAAGCTTGGTTTCCGGAAAAACGCGTTCAAAGTTTTTCGAAAGTTCGCAGCTTGCATGAGACAGGTGTGCTCCAGAAGCTGCCATTTGAAAAATATTCATCCTATTGCAAAATCCCTTTAAACACATTACTCTATAAATATATAGGGAGGGTGCCCTTAAATACCTCAGTCAAACTATCGACCTTCAGAATACAAAGTTTTGATACTATTCGATTACAGTGGTTATATAAAGGAACGTGATTGACGATTTTATCGACAGAGTGAGTAAAGAAGGTGTACTCGCCGCATCTTTCAGAAAATTTAGAATCAACGACGAAATCGCTGCAGATGGTCTGAGTCTGATCGATTTCGATGAAATACAAGAATCCAGTATGAAAAAATCCCTCTAGCTACGTGGTTGTCACCGGATCGAAAGGCACGAAACCAAAGCGACGGTGACGGCGACAGACGAAAAACATGTTTCCAACAACATATGTAGTTAATTATTTGATTATAACGCGCCGACTGGCAAAGGCTGAAAGTTTCCAGATATGTATTCATTGTCGATCAAAAAATCGCTTTGGCGATTAAAGAGCGATTAGAGAACCTCAGTTAATAGTATACAAATTATCGATATGGAGAACAAATTCATTTTAATGCAACGAAAAGAACGATCATATATTGTTAACATATTTTTATAGCTATCTTAAGCGGAGATGATAGCCCAGTTGTTAGCTTTGCATACTGTCATTCCGAAGGCAGATGGTTCAAATCCTGATACGACCAATAAACAAAAGTTATAGAAAATTAATTTAAATAAACAATTAAGTTAAATTGTTGGAAAAACATGAAGACATGCGGCCGACCACACGTCGGAGGAGGAGTTCGGCCGAATATCTTAAGCTTTTTGGAAGAGCAGCTGGAAGAAGACCTGGCTTACTTGGTGTATTCCATTGGTCCCCAAAAGCGAACAGAAGAAATGACTGGTGCACTATTTTTCACCCGGTTGGGATCGCGTAAGCAGTGCCGACACCAATAAAGACGAAGAAGAAGATTTTTTTTTTAATTTCTTTGATGCTTCCAATTTATAATAAGTTTTTTTTTTTTAATGCAATAGCAGTACAATTAACGGTCGTAAAAATGAATGAACTATTAACAGAAGTTATGGAAAATTAATTCTAAGAAAATTTATTATTTCCAATAGGAATATGCTTAAGTCTGCACCCATGCATACAGATGTACATTTGGTTAATATAGGTATGTAAATTTGGTTAATATAGGGAATTTTATGTATCAGTGTCAAAAAACAGTCTTTTTCCTAAAAAAGTACACATAAATATTTAAACATTTGTATATATGTAATTGCGAAAGTACAAAGGGAAAATTATTCATTGAAATATGATTTCGGAATATTAAGAGCTGCCCATTTACACCTTGATCTTTGCGATCACTTTGAACTCGCTGCCTTTAAAAGCATATCACAAACAATTTGTTTACTTTCACCCGCTACCATTCCTCCCTGCCCAATTACGGCGCATGTACATACACATGTATCTCAAACATTAATACAAAGTAATATTAAAGTAAGAGAATGTGGATATTGTCGTATCACAAGTGCTAATTTTTAATGCCTTATTAATGCGGCCACATAAAGTAATGAAATCAACCACATCCAGTTTGATCGCGTTTTTATTGCTGTTTTCAAAATCTAAAAACAAAAAAACGCGTTCTGCTACAGCCTTCTTGAAACAAAATTTACACAGAAAATATTTTCTCGCATATTTTATGGCAAGTTTTTTAGCCTTCCCCTTTGTTTGTGTGGCACACAAATAGTTCGAAGCATCACAAGGCGCAATCGGTGTACTCATATGTAGATCTAAATGAATCTTGGGGCGGGCCGTCAACTTGTTTACTTGAAGCACTCGTTGTTGTTCATGCAATGTTTCCGTTCTTCCTGTGGCAGCAGCAGCTGCCATTGATGACGAGTAAGTTCTTTTGATGTTATGAAGCCGTTGATCACGCATTTGATTTTTATTTTTGTGTTTATTACTTTCTTTTATGGCTATGCTACCGAGGAATGAAGTCACTCGTACAGAGCGTGCTTTTGCCAACAAACGCGCACCATCCCCTTCTCTTTTAGATTGTCTACACTTTAGTTACATAAGCAAGGGAATACGGTTGAATTCTGTTGCTCGTAGGAATGATATTGTTTTCTTCATAACGCAAGGATCATTTTGATTAGAGTTAGGATTTATCATAATATCATCGAACTAGATGCCTCGCACTTTCAAAGGTTAATGTGACTTACTTTCTTCATGAAATTACTCGCTTTTGAAGTACAGAACTTCATAAATGTACGTTAGAGATTTGAGAGAATTGGCGGCAGCGAAACGATTTAGCTATACTTATTCAGTAGTTGATAGATGAGATATATAGAAAGTTGCTTATTGCGTAAAATTGCAAGTAACTCGGATATCTTGACCCTTTGATGCTTGCGTTACATGTTAAAGTCATTTCACTGAACGTGTATGAATGTATGTACATACGTACGTTATAACAAATACAAATCGCTATAAGAGTATGCGTATCATTTAATAAACAATTTTATGAGGACAAAACCATAAACTTTGTTAGCAATTTTCCCCAGTTCCGTCAGCTTAATTAACATGCCACATAGTCAGCGGAATGGAGGGCATGAGGCGTTGGCGATCGTAAAAAGTGTGGCGCAGCGCTGCAAAGTTCATTCCACTTTTCATTGGCAAACTTCAGTACATGAAACATAACATACATACAAACATATGTATATTGTTTCAGGAGCGGAAAGCAACTTTCTAAGCGTCAATTTAAGAATTTACGACTTTTTTATTACAGTTTTTCATGAGGATTTCGTGTTGCAAGCGGCTGATAACAACTGTTTCGATACACACAATGAAAGTGAAAAGGACTCAGACAAGAAGTCTTCGTGATAGGACACTGTTGACTCGTAAACCGTATAAAGCCGTTTTACACACAAATACTTTCATATATATATATATATGTACTATAACCAAGGACTGCAGGGTTGCTGGGGGTGAACAGGGTAAACAATGTTGGGGGTTAAGCTGAGCGATAAAACTGCGTAAGCTTTTTAAAAGTAGTAAATTTGAGCACGGAATTGGTGCACATGTTGTATGCGGTAGTAATGACAGAAGTGTGGGAGTAAAGAAGAGAATTTATGCGTTCTGTCACTGCGATTTGCTTTGTATTTAGTAAGGTGTGAAACGTAAGACCGCTGTGGGAGCGGAATTTTATGACGAACTCGTGGCAAATGTCGACAAAATAGTCGCACATATAAATACATACATATATATATGAGTACAAATGTACGTACATATACTATTATATATATCTGGCGTATTTAATCCAGCAGTCAGCTACGTTAATGATCATTTCTCATAATAGTCGATAATGATGTTCATAGTTACGGGCGCCCAGTGCGCAGTGTAATAGATTTTTAGTTACTGCATACCCCTGTACCATGCGTCAGCACGGGATGTGGCGCATTAGAAATACATTCCAAGTGCGGCCGCGAAGGCTGAGTGGTTGGTAGTGCGGTTTCAGGTTCTAGCCCGACCAACGTCAAAAATTATGGAAAATTAATGAAAATAAAAAGGTTAAATTAGTTTTTCTAATTTCACAGGGAATATACATACATATGTATTTCTGACATAAAAACCAAACCTATCTGAGGCAGCTTAATACACACTGTAAGTCCCCCTATTTGAAGGAAAAACACCAAGACGGAGACCACAAATCGGAGGAGGAGCTTACTTTGCTGCTTAGACTACTCAGGAAATATACTATGAGCAAGATTGCGGTGGATAAATAAGATTAAAGAAACCACAAGATAGAAGGGATACTCATCAAAGCTACTGCTTTTGTAGCCTAGTGTTTTGAATTGAAATGCTTCTTTGAGACCACTTCATTAGTAGATACTTTCTTTCAGCCAACTTCAGTTGCACCACCGGGTTGGCACGAATATGTATATGCGAATAACCCTAACCCACACAAACGAAGTATAAATCTTCAACCAGGGGTGGTGATTACTATTAAACGTATTCACAATTTTACCAACCAGCTCTATCCTGAGTACTCTCCCGTTAAGCTGTCACAAAAACAACAATAGCCAGTAATATTTATACGAATCCTTCAGCATGTCACTGTGGACGTCGCTTCATCGTCTTTGCTCAACGACGATTTTTGCAGTTTTGCCCGACATTTATTGATGCCATAAAGTTGAAGATTTATGATACAACCGCCCGACGAACCAAAGAAATGACTTTGGTATTATTTTTCAAATAGTGTTTCGAGGGGGTTTCACATAGACTACCCTGAACTGTACTTCAGCGTATGAATGTAAGTAAGTGCTATATATATACATATAATATATAGGGTGTGCCAAAATTAACTCAAGAATTTAATGCAATTGTAAACATACATGGCTTTCATTGAATCAATAAGTTCATAAGAATCATTAAACATAAACAAATCTGTCTTTGATTTTGGTACACACTTTACATATTGAAATTGAAAGAGATGTTTTTTGTTCATAGAATATTATAAATTAATCGCTCGGGGTCATCCCAAAACTCGATACAGTAGTATATTTTGGCTTTTCAGACAGCCTTAAAACCTTAATAAATTGCTTACACAAAACAGGACTGATACACCACCTTAAAGTACTGACACATAAAAAATTGTTATTTGTACTTCTTTTTTGAAATATGTGCTTTATTAGTTGACATGCTGTAAGTGGTATACAATTTCTTGAAGCTGGATTGATTTCGAATCCAATTTGTTACATTAGAAATCGAACACATCACAACAGCTGGTGAATATTTTTACTTATGTGCGGTTGTAAAGAAATACGTTTTGTTGCAAGCAAACAAACAAAGGAATGTAAATAATGTCGATTTCCTGCCGAATTTGCTTTGTGGAAAGCTCGGACAATTTTTCTATTCACAGTTGCATGAAGGGGAAATTTTTACCTGATGTCATTTACAACATCAGTGGAGTGAGGGTATAAAAACAAATCAGTTGAAAGTCTATATATTAAAAGGTATATTCCACAGGTTTTGAAAAAATTTGAACCCAACACACAAATTTGTCGACGCTGCGCTGCCTCGGTATTGGTAGCTGAGAATATAATTTTACGATGTCAGGAATCGGAGGAGTACTTTCAGTTTCAACTTTTGCAAGAAGGATGCCTTCAAGGCCAACAAGTAAACCCGACATCTGCTTGTCAGTATACGAATGAGAGAGAATCGCCTAGAATCGATTATGAAGAATATTGTTCTGGAATCACTTGTGACGATGATTTTGAAGAATCTTTAAATTGGCAACCACGTTTGGCTGATTCCAAATACCAAACAAAATCTAAAAGCATAAAAGAGAACATAAGTGACGTTGTTAATTGCGAAGACAATCTACTTCGAAATTCAGCTCAGTATGAACCAGAAGCTAAAACAATTAATAATATAGAAACTACTACTTTATCTATGTTCTCTTGTGATCAATGTGATTATAGCACCAAGGTAGGCAAACGTATAATAGAACATAAGCAAACTGATCATGGAGTGCATGATCCGAACATATACGCTTGTACAATTTGTTCTGAACGTTTTTCTTGGAAACCGACACTATATCGCCACATAGAATTAATACATAAAACTTTACCTGCAGATAAGAAATTCTTATGTAATGAATGTGGCCGTGCTTACATGCGTGAAGTACATCTAATCGAACATATAAAACAACGGCATGGACCACGCAAATTCAAATGCCCTGACCCATTATGCGAACAATCCTTTACACGAACATTCACGCTTAGACGACATTTTATCACCACACATACCGAAAAGACAAGTACACGTTATCATTGTGTCGATTGCGATAAATATTTCAAAGTTTACGATCAATGGAAGTACCACAATGAAGTGGTTCATAAAAATGAGATCGTATACTGTCCGCATTGCGGGTATCCTTTCCGTTTCAAAGAAAAATTAGAGGAACATTTGCAGAAAGATGTCTGCAAGCGTAGTGTTGTGCCTTGCTCTTATTGCCAAAGGCGTTTTACTACAAAATCTGGACTCAGGGAGCACGTACGTAATATACATAACATCTATTAGAGAAGGTATGTAACCCGTGTGATGTGGTGTCAAACGATTTGAAGCATATAAAATGTGATTTTGGTATCACTTTATATCTCGTTAAATAGTTTGAATTTGAGACAGGAACTCATTTATATACATATATATTGTAGTATACCATCAATGCATTCAAAAATTGATGTATGCATATTTCGAAACTTTTCATACAACTCATTTTAAATAAAGATTTTTAAACAGTGGCCTATGTAGCCTCGGAGTTGCCATATCACTAAAATAGACAGAATCCTCCGCAAATCCGGACGGTAAATAGTTTAACAATGTGGAAGCACTAGGCATTATTTACGAACAACTGTAACAAAACAACAACGCAAAGACGGATAAAAAATATAAAATAAACCAAGGTAAATTTAACAAAATACATACATATATTGTATATGTATGAGCAATTTGCATGAACATAAGAGCATTTTCTTAAGGGAAAGGAAATAAATTAAAAGAAATCGTTCAGAACACCATTTGCAAAATAGCAATAAATAATGAGACTGTGAAAGCTTTAAAGCTAAGAGAAAGAAATTATCTGTTTGTGTATTTCAATTGAGCAAACCCAAACGCCACAGATACCGAAACATATAATTATGGTCTTATACAATCAACAAATCGAACTGTCTGCCATAAGCCAAAATGTTAATGTGCTTTAATTAAATTATGAAAGAAGTGACGTAGCAGATTGTGTGTTGGGAACCTATGGCGTTTCTACTGATTGTAGCAGAGGGAGGAGCAGTGGCTTGGTATTGTTGCACAGGTTATTTGCCAATTTACTGTCTCAGCCGGCAATATCGATAAATATTTGAGTTTGAGGAAATAGGTTATTAAATAATTTAAGGGGTAAGTTTTTATCCTTTAAGAGAATTCTCTTGAATTTGTACTAAATTTTTCGTTTCAAGGCTCAACGATTTACTATCAAATTCAACTGAACATACGAAATTTCAGTGCAACATGAATAAGTGCGCTGAAACCATAGCAATAATATATGAGATTATGTGAAGAGGTTGCATTAAATATAACGGCAATCTGAACAAAATTACATTTTTGTACTTGTACTAGTTACAATTTTATCAATTCATCTTGATGGTTATTAATTTACCGCAGCAAAGGCATAAGACATCTCAAGAAAGCTTAGCATATTAAAGAGCGGTCCGACAAATATATATATTATGGCATCGCTTCGATTAATAAATCGGTGTGTAGCAGTTTCAATCAATCAAATCAATTTGTTTATTAATAAAGCTTATCTCCTTCAGTTTGGTAATACGTGGATTTATAGCATTGTCTTTGTTGCTAATTTTCTTAAACGAATTTCTAATTTATTATATCAGTCAAACTGCATGGCAGCAGATCGATTGTAAATATGGTAATGGCAAATTTTATATAATCATTGTCTTAATGCTTTCATATATTTGTATATTTATCCAATTTTAGAAAATTGTACGAGAATATTGTTCGTAGCCGATCCACAACTAATTGGTAATTCATATGAGAAGGGCTTTTGGAGCCCAATATCGCGGTACGACGCCGATAGGTAAGTAACCAATGTACTGAATTCTTATTAAATAACTCGTATATACGAGCTATGAAAAATCTACTTGATTTAATATTAGGCTCTAATAAAAGTGTGTTATAGCAATGAAGTGAATGAATTGCTTAATTTTTTTGTATTTTTCTTGTAAAGAAGTTGAAGTTTACTATCAAAAGCTCTAATCCTTGAGAAATGACATTAAGAAAATGTCAAAATAGCACATTTTCAGGGCAAATACTTTCTGGCTTTTTGTCACCGAACAGTTTTTAAATAGTAATTCTGGAGACAAGAAATCAATTTAAGTCTTTTAACCATTTTGTTTCCAAATGAAAACAAAAAACTTTTTATTTAAGATACCTGAGGAAAACTTTTGAACGTTCACTCCACTTCACTCAACCACATATAATTTGTTTTCTGGGAGACCTGTTGGATGAAGGCAGCATCGCAACACAGCAAGACTTTGAAGGATATGTTAAACGTTTTCATCGTATTTACAATACCAACACAAATATAAAAGTAAGTAGTCGTTCTCGTTTATTCGAAAATAAAATTTCAAAACATTCGTTCAGTTTAAAATGATCTCTCCCTACGGTCAGCGTATACACGTGCCAGGTGATAACGATATTGGTGGCGAGGATGGTGAATATATTTCCAATTCGAATGTACGACGTTTCGAGGAGGCTTTTCAAAGTGAAGATCTATTTGATTACGAGAATATGTTACGATTCTTTAAAATTAATCGGATGATGCTTGACTTCACAAATCCAGATCGCGAACACAATGACCAAAGGTTACGTGTTGGCATCTCTCATGCACCAATATTAATTGGCGGAGGACCATTATTGCGTTCGGTACTTAGTGAATTAGATCCACATGTGATATTCTCTGGTCATTGGCATGAGTCTAGAATTTTTATTCATCCATCAACACACGTAGTGAATTTCTACGAGTATACAGTACGTCATTTCGATTTGCGTTCTCTTAAAGGAAGAGATCATCAATATCTAGAAATTATGGTTCCAACAGCTTCCTATCGCATGGGTAAAATGAAAATGGGATTGGGATATGCCGTACTGCGTATGTATTATATGAATTTTTTTTTTTTTTGCAATTACCTTATTCTTTGCTTTCACTTCACTTTGCTTATAGAAAACTACCAACTCAGCTATACAGTACTCTGGCAACCCAGCCGATTCATATATCTATTTCTATATTTGTTTTGGCTGCTTCTATCTCTTTGTGGTTTCATTGTGTTTAGAATGATGACACGTTGTCCATTTCGTGTAACCAATCGTCAATCATCTTGCAAACGCATAGGCATAGACATACCTCAATTTTAACGATATTTAAATAGTTATTTTTTGTAATTGGAATTTCATATATATATATATATACACATATACATAATATTTAAGTCAAAAAGTTGTTTCTGAGATTTTATATAAAAACATATTATATGTTAACTGTTTAAGCGAATTTAAAACAGTATTTATGTATGAATATTTTTTGTAGAAAAATGTTTTGCACCGTGTCAGAACGCCATATAAATTACATCAAAATAATATACATTACTAACAGAGTAAAATGGAAAAATAAAATATTTAGTTATTCATACAAATATTGTACCATGTTGTTAGTATGAGTATATGTATGTACATAAATCGTTTGATTTAACAAAATATAGATTTACAAATCTTATTTATTGCGTTTTATTTGGTCCATCCTTTATTCTTAAGTTTTTAAAGAAATTTTTTCGAAAAGTTTTTTTTTTCGTTTTTAAAGAGTTTTGAAAGTGATTATGTACATTTTAATTTATTATTTTTTAATCTTCAAAGACGTTACCTCAAATTAAAATTCCCTAAAAGCTTCCTGGAACTATACAAGAAAAGTTCTTTTTGGCTTTATTTTGCTCTTTGGTTCCACTGAAAAAATACCTTAGCCTTGGCTGTAAAAATTGTAAATTTTTAGTTAGGGCCTTTATACAATATACCTCTTATAACAATAAACTAAATACTTTTAGCTTGTAGGCTCGTAAGAACCGTTTATAAATCACGCTTAACTCAGTAGATATAGAGCCATAGGTTCGAAGTGTTGGCGGAGCAAAACAAGCGCGGTTAGTCGTTTCCAACAACTACTGACCGAATGACGTTTAACTAGAAATCTGAACAACGTCGGTAAGTATAAACGTATACAGCAGCGTTAGTCGAAAAAATATATATGTAAATATAATTTTACTCCTCTGTGTTAAAGGGAAAATAGAGCTGTTGTACGCTACAACTCAATTTAAATGTTTTTTTTTACGTTAATCAAATGTTTTTTGTAGCGATTACATTTTCCCTAGCGATTTTTGTGGTTTGATTGCAAATTAAGTTAATTATTATTATGCATATATTATATGCAGAAAAAGTACCTACGGTCGAATTAATTTATTTCATTGAAATCGACATCCAAGTGCTATAGAAAATTAATTTTAAAAAATTTTCCATTTGTTGCAATCACATCAAGACGCAAAGCTACAAACTGGAGTACGATCTCGGCCGAAAATCGCTTCAGCGGTTACAAAAAATATATATTGAGATAATTTCGTTTAAACGATGCCCATTAAGAATTGTTAAAAATACAAATAAATACACGTATATAGAAATATTTATTTGAAGGTGTATTAGTTACATTTTAATTTGCAATACATTTTCGCACGCAATTGCAACTGCAATGAGGTTAAGCTTTCCAGCAACGACTTAATATATTCAATTCCCACATAAATACATATGTATGTACATAAATTTTTAGTATGTCAATAAGTCGTAATTAAAAGAAAAATATGCAATTTTTTTTATAATTTTCGTCAAGTACGCAGCTGTTATTTTGCCCGAAATTGCAAACATATACGCATACATACATACATATGTATGTAGAATTGCATGATGTAGGAATATAAGAGCACTATTTCCTTGGCGTGGACACTGTTTACGTGATTATTCAAATATAGCACGCTAGCAGTGTCAGTTGCAAACTCCTAGTGAAGTGAAGCGATCTCGCTCTGCTTAATCCATTGATCTTGCTCAGAAGATCTATAAAGGTAAATGTTCTTTTTCTTTGTTGTTGTTTTTGTTGTTGCCGTAGCCGCAAAAATATTTCCCAAAGTAATTTTTGGGGAATGATGGGAGAGCAACAATCCATGGCCTGATAAAAATACGGGTTGTTCCGGTATAAAGACCCAAATGTTGCGGGAAGTATTGGATTTGAGCCGCCTCTTACGAAAGGCATGCCCTACCGCGGAAATATTCTTGAACCCCTAACCACAGGGGCTGTTCCTTTTCTTTAATTTGCAGTGGTTACGCAAGGTAGAATTAATGCACATACATATATACATATATCAATAGAAATAACGGAATTAAATTAAATGCATTTTTTTTATTAGTATAACCACTTTATTCGATCTATAACTTAATTTAATCTCACTGCATTGGTATAACTACTTTTTTATTTAATTTATTATTACTATATATAAAAAAAAATCTATGTGCCTATGTTTGTATACACCAAAAAAAGGAAAACTTTATTTATTGAATTAAGTCCCATAACGGAAATTAAGATAAATATTTTTGTGTTTCTGTACCGATAAGCAAAATAGGTAGACTAATATAACTACAACTGTACGTGTAATCGTATATATTATATATGTATGTATCTCGATTAAATCGAAAAAGTTGCAAAACGCTCAATAAATCCATTATAATAAACAATACATGTCCACATTACTCAGTAAAAGTAATCGAAAATCATAAATAAGTTTTAATCTTAATGATTCGATTGCCTGAATGTGTAGAAGCTTAATTTCTTTAGTGGCCTTTCTTTGATACCAAATAGCACAACAAATTATTTAGCACATTGAGTTTTTGAAACCATGGTATTCCATCGTCGTTTTACGCCTTTGTTTCATCAAAAATTAATATTTCGACGTTTATTTTACCCATCTTAAAATAAAACTTATAATTATATTATCTTGACCTTGACGAATCTCTCTGAAAAGGGTGACTATTTACAAAGGTATTTATTAGTTTGTTCTTTGTCAAAATGGTGAACACAACATTTTTCAAATTTGCTGATAGAAACAACACAGGCGAAAAATAGACTCGCCCTAATGTATGTTACCACATATTATATATATGTATAAAAGCTCAAGTAATATTTCGAGTATTAAATTCTCGCTTAAACTAAATATACGTTAAGGCAGAAATAAATAATAATAAATATTGTAATCATTGCCTTGTTGATCACAGCGCTATTAGAATATATTACAAACATTCAACTATTACATACATAGCGAATATTTTAACACACACGAGTACATACGTATAACTATAGATATTACATTTATATATACAACAAATAAACCATGCAGTGACAAGTGCTTTTTCAGGCAGCCAAAAAAGTACTAATAAAAAATATTTAAGGTCATTTTAAGCGAAAACGCTCGTTATAGTGAAATTTAATCCCAATAAATTCAAATAAAAGCATGACTTAATCTTATCTCTCAGAGTTAATAAAGCCAATCGCTAATTCAGTCCGAGGCAGTAACTTTCTTGTGCGATATGAGCTTTAGCAATCGTTTAGGTATTATATAAAATATGCATACATTCGCGCGTGATACAAATTCTATACATGCACGTGTGAATTTGCTTCTCATTTCCCAGCAGAAAAATATACTAGATGACTGATAGAACGCTATTAGTTTGTAGTTCTATACTGACTTGTTCAAATAAATAGAAGCTATAAAATTTGTCTTCAACGAGTTTTGCATTTTTACCCTCTGGCTATCGAAACAAACTGAAACAATGTTTCCGCCAATGAGAGTTCTTATTTATTTATTTGTATTGATATTTTTTCTTTCACACAAAGGCCCAGATTTCTTAAAAAACGGTTTGAGTCACTGATAACAACAAAAAACTGTCAATTTTGACATCATTCGTTTATGGTATAGTTCGATAGTGAATTTTTCTTACGATAATGGCACCATTGGGAGCATTTAGAAAGCGTCAAAAAACCTCATAGCTTAGTGGGAGGGTTGGTTCAGATACCACGCTATAGCCACATGCCGTGGGGGATGAGGAGGCAGCAAAGCTGATGAAACAAATATTTGGAATTTGGAATTGTGACTAAATATTTATGGATGTACTAATTGTATGTTCTATTTTTCATTCACTTACTTTTTTGTTATCGATTTGTATATTACAACTTTTTCATAACGCATTTTATACTCACACACTTCATACCGGTGTATGTATGCCTGCTTATGAATATATCCAGCAGTATAATCTCACCAGTAGGAGCACACTATAATAATGTGTTGGCCTCTTTGAATTAGTTTTTCTGCAAGTGTATTTGCTGGTTTTTCACATATGCATTACATATGCATTTTTATATGAAAGTATGTAAGCAAGTATGGTTTGTGCATGTTTCTTCTCCGTCCGTGTGGCACAAAAGACACAAATTTGTTTCAAAACATCTAGTGGAGTCGTTGGCGCTGGTCTGACTGGTTGCGTTCGCTGTCGTCGTATGGATTATTCGGCCGCGTTCACTTATACACTTAATAGATACATACATATAAACACACATGTGTTTGATATCCAGTTGCCGGGTTGTTGTTTTGATCGTGTGAATTAACGAGTTAAGCACGGCTTTATGTGATCGGAAATCTCGGGCGAGGGGGCTTTTTTGCTTTTACATTACTTTTACTTTTCCATATGTAAACTGTTCTTAAAGTAATACCAATCAGCATACATACCTACAAAAATATACATACTTCAAGTGAGTGATAGCAAAGATTACGTGTTAATCACCCACATACGTAAATAAACTCCCACATACATATGTACATACACCAAAACATATGCCGATGTTTGGCATCTACATTAAATATATATAAATATGTATGTACATATGTACATATGCTTAAAAGTATCTAGCATCTGTGCTTCAATCCATCAATCAACGCAATTGGTCTGTGATATAAATCAAGAGCACTGCAACGCTGACCCCGCCGTCGTTAGTTTTGCCGCCAGCGCATCGGTGCAAATAAAGTGACAAACTTAGCAAATTATTTATGTATATTGCGTTTTTGTTTTTATTTTGTTTCCACACACTTTCGTAAGTGGTCACTAAGAGATACGGATACAATGATCGTTTGCTTTTCAAATGTCTTTTTAGATTTTTTTTTTTGTTATTTTTTTACTTAGCACACTGCATGCCTACACTACTGAGAAAAATTTATGCAGCATACAGAGCGGTCTGCAATGAATTACTTTTCATAAATTTAAAAATTGAGATTATTCTCACTTTCTTCTCTCTAAAAGCGGGGGAAACAAATGCCGTTAAATAAGAAGAATGCAAGACCGATCCACCAGGGGGATACAAAAACCGCAGAGCTACGAAATACAGTTAATAATTAATTTAATTTACTGAATACTTTAGCAAATCACTGTAGTTAGATATTTTCATACAATTCATACAATATTATCATAAGAACATAAAGTAATAAAATACATCAGAAATATATTCAACAAAGATGTATGCCTACCTACATGTGTATATTTTTTTCACTCTTATTAGCCATAACAGTGTCATTAGCGATAAAGTTATCTACATACATGTAAATATACATCTATGTATGTACAGTTTGTAGAAATTAAATGTCCATATTTTTTCATCTTTATTTATTTATGCACATATGCATTTTTTACTCCGAAAATTCAAGTTTCTTACTGGTTTCTTCAAACGAGTTTCTTTGTTTGCTTCTCACTACACTACAAAATCATTGAACCGCCGAAAAATCTCGGTAAAATAATCAAAAATGAAAAGTTAAAAACCTGAAAGTAAGAGTATACATGTGTCCAAGTATATTCCACCATATATAAAGGTTTCCTGAAATATTCAATAAGGATACCATACATTAACTGTATTTACAAGTGCTTATATATTAAAAAAAGTAAATGCTTAAGAGATTTTCCTATTTATTTATATTATTATAATATTTTGAAATTAATTGTCGCCTACTGTGTAGAGTGCCCACTTCAATTTGAGAGCTTTTCTGATACCAAGCCCATAGTCTAATAAGTACGTGCCTACAGGCGTTTTCAGAATTTTGTATTCGGTATGATCTCATTAGCGGTAAATTATTAATTATTAATTTTCGCATGTTGGTTATTAGAAAGATACGTATGTGTGAGTTTTCAATGACTTTTGGAGTATACATATATATGTATGTAAGTACATACGGATATAAAAGAAATGTATTAAATATGGGCGCAGTAACTGGATTGGTGAAAGTCAAGAATTTTAATCTCAAAATCTCGCTTATCTCTCGCCTTATTTGACTCGTAATCTAATTTTTTACCAATATAAACTAAAATATTTTTCATAAAACTCCACCAGCCATTCACAGACGGTTAAGTATATAACTTTACTTATGACAATGACAGACCACACACTGCCAACGCCACGAGGATCTGCTCGCCTCGTTTGAATGGAGTGAACTAAGCCACTAGGCGCATTCCTCTGATATAGCACCGCGTATTACTAGGTTTTTACCTGCCTAAAGCTGCACATGTGTAGAATTAGATTTTCAGCCGACGAGGAGGTAAGCGTAATAACTTTCGTTATGTACTAATGTATCAGGTTTTTTTTCTCGGGTTCTGGTTATGCCTCGTATGCACACTTCGTGGGACAAAACCTGTGTATGGCATTATTTTAATAATATTTTATTTTTTAATTTTATTTTTTCTTGTGACATAACGTTCCCTATTTTTGTGTGCTAATTTTAATAATAATTGTACTTCTTTGCTACATAACATGACAATTAGTCATAATTCGCTAATTAAATTCTTGAAAGCTCGTATGTCCATCAGACATTTTCAAATGACCAAAATAAAACGCTCCCTAAAAAGAAGACGTGAATTAGCGAAATATGAAAAATAAGGCGCGAGGTATAGCCGCTCCACACTTCAGTCACCAAACCGCCAACGCTATGCGAAATATTTTTGTACAATTTGGGTTAGAACTTTCAGAAGTCTTGGATTCATTATGCGAGCATACATATTGTATATGAGTGTCCACAAATAATTTCAGAGGCACTTACGTACATACATACAAACGTAAATATGCAAATAATTTGTGTTTTTCCAGAAGCGGAAATACTGAATAAGCAAATACAAAATATTATATATACGAACATACAAATACCCATACATTCATATATATGTATGTACATGCATGTAGACTTGCAATAAATACGATTACATCCCACTAACGGTTTTTCTAGAGTGTTTTCACTTTCCGCTCGTAACCTTGAACCAGCACTTTTCAGGCCATCACTTCTACAACACCCAGCATGCACTGCTGTTAATGTTGTTTTTGCTGTTGTTGTGACAAGTGTTACACATTTCCCCCACTTTCAATATGTTTTATTTTGCTATTTCTTATCCCACCAGATGTTTGCTTTCGAAATTAAATCAAATTTTTCAGCTTTGCAATAATTTCGCTTTTAAAGGCTTGTATGTATGTGTAGCAATTGTTATTCAAAGGAAAGTAAACACATATAAGAGTTTATTTATATGCATATATGTATACATATACTTATAAGCCACTTCTGGAATAGGAATGTTAAGAGGTCAGCAAGGAGTGCCCATTTCAACGCGAGTGGGTATAATAAATATTTATATATGTATATGTGTGTTATATACATATATGTATATACGACATTTTTTTCAGATACATAGTTGAAGGAGTGTACACAAGAATCGCCAAATAACTTACCAGCAGCTTAATATATTTATTTGCTCGAATATGTGCAACTTGGCTTATGTATATACATACATATGTATGTACAATATTTCCACGATGTAACGTTACGTCAAGACTGAATTACTGTTGATGAGCGTTAGGTTCAATATTAATAAAATAAGAACATGACTTATACTTAAGGAGATATAGTCAGAGACTAATCGCGTCCTCGCTGTTGAAAGTCTTCTATGGAAATGAGCGTAAAAATGACTCTAAGTAAGCCCGACGACGCCATTCTGATCTACGTGTATTCTAAATTAGCCGAATGTGATTGCTTTGATCTACGCTTATTTTGAACGAATGAGAATAGTTTGGAGACATAAAGATGGAACCGCATCGTCAAACTAAGCCGCAGTATAGTAATTTGATCCAAATCATATCATTTTTCGTCGGTCTGAACGAATTTGCTGCCTTGTCCATTTCCGGGATTTGTTTGTCCAGACAAAATTCAACGAACCATAAATAAATTTGTCTTAATAAGATCGGTATCTAGTCCTCATCGTGTACTTTCAAGTACATTTCTTATTTTCCGGAAGAAAAGGTGTCTCTTATCTTAATTGAGATAAACAGCTACCTGTGTCCTGTGCCAATTTCCAGGTAAATCGAAATAAGGTTTTTTTGACATAGATCGGTCCCAGAAAGAAAAAGTGGTCCTTAACTTAATTTTGACAAACAGCAAAACGTGTGTCAAATTTCAAGTAGATCAATTACAATTTTTTTTAGCGGCAACTCTTTCAAAAATGTCCAACCTTCACAGGAAATGTTTCCGGATTTCCATGAAACTATCCTGTAAATTTGAACAAAATTGGCTAAGTAGTTTCGGAGTCTATTGACGGCTTAGATGCATACTTATATGTATATATAACAAAAAACGAGGGTTGGATCTAGAATCTATTCCATGAGGTTAATAAATTCATACCTCTAGTCTGAAGAGCATTAACTTCTCTCTCCTCTTTAGGAATAAAGGTTGGTGTAAAGTTCTATCGATTGTTTATAAGGCGTAAAATTCTTGAGGTGAAACGCGATTTACCCCTATTGGATCCGAGATTAACTAGAATAACAAATAATATTTTGAGTTTTGATATCTTAAAATAATTAAAAATGATAAGAACCGACCAATGGCAATACACTAAGTCATACTAGGAAAAGATTAAAATCATTATCAGTTCATTGGCGTTTTCTTTTGTTTAAGATGAGACGAAAAGTTGTCTTCATACTTGTATACATATACAATATATATACACATATGTAAACATATATTGGTTTTTGTTTTTTCTTTGTTGAAATGAGTAGTTTACCATATAAATATATTTGCTTTTTGATTTCTGCTAGGAGAATAATCTAATTGACAGATGAGCCTATCATCTTATGTACATGTATGAGAGTGTATGTATGTATGTATATTTGTGAATAATTAATTCTTTGCCGGACTCTCATCGAGATAAGCCTGAGAATTTTATTCATTTTATCAAAATTCGGTAATTAAGTACGTGTTAACATGTTTTTATGCACATATATTTGCCATTTATACATACTAAATATGTATTTACATACATACTAACTAAGTTTCTTATCGACATTATAGCACTCGAATTTGTCACTTTTATTGCCCTAATTGTCGTTGGCGTGTATGTGTAGACAATACATGTGTGTGGGCTAGTCTCGTTTATGTAGAGAAAAGTATTTAATTAGCAGTGGGAATTATGCATGGCGCTCCTAGCCGTTAGAATTTAGCACAAATACATTTCAATCGTCTCGGAGTCCTTCTCAAGATCGTTTCACTTGTTCGTTGGCAGCAGAAAAGGTAGCAATAACCAAATATTTTTCCATAACTGTGTTTTTTTTTGTTTGTGTTTTTTTATTTAACATTTGAAGTTTTCGTTACTACACAATAAACCATAATTGTGGCTAAAACTTATATAATAAAAAATTGTTAAGTGCACCAACTTTAAGTGCTACGATTTACATCGGGCAATAAAATGTTAACTTAGAGACATCCATATGCGAATATTTGATATTTACATTACTAAAACATTAGTTTTAACTATGTACAATACAAAGTTATTACTTAATATCAATTCCTTGTTTATATACGTACATTTATATATATGCATAAAAGTATTGTCATGGTCCAGAGAATAACCAATCTAAATATTTTTTTTATCGATTTAATAAATTTATTTTAATTTAACTTTTGAGTGCTATTCATCTACTTAAGTATCTATATGCTTATGCATATATTCGTATATTATATATATTTAAAAACAATACCATATACATATGTATGTAAAGCTGTGAAACTGAAAAATTCAGCTTGAAATAAAATGCTGAAGTTAGTTAAAAAAGATTAATCTCCCAATGGCACTTGTTTCAAAGTACTCCAGCTGGAGAATGGGGTACTTACTACCAAGAGTTCAAGCGAAAATTTTATTTTTGAAGAAATATCCATGAATTCGTGAAGAATTGTTGTCTAATAATATAGCTTGGAAATATTACAATATTCATTGGATTCCGAATTGGCTTGATTTGATTAAGGATCGTGGGTAGCAACTATTGTATAAAATTACTTTCAGACCTAAGAATCTTTACTGTATCCTCCGCTGATACATATAGCTCTAAACAAATGTATGTGCATTGATGGGATTTAACTCGGTGTGAATATTGGATTGTAGTGTTTTGACTTTCGAAGGAAAATTCTTCCACAATTTCATAAACATACATCATGAACGGCGATATGATCAGTAAAAAATAGGGCGAAATATTATATGTCTTCACGATCCCAAAATATTTAACTTCAAATTCATTGTGAATTATTTAAAAGATGTCTACTGTTTGCCTTGTACTCTCGCGGTAGCCGAGTGGTTAGCATTGCGTACTGCCATTCGGAGGCCCAGGGTTCGATCAACAATAAACATATTTATATATATATATATATATATATATAATATATATATAATTGGCGCTTTGTAACCGCTGAAGCAATTTCTCGGTCGAGCTCCTTCTTCAATCTGTGGTCTTGCGTCTTGATGTTTTTTGCAACAAATGAAGGGGCCTACAGCTTATACTAAGCCGCCTCCGAAAGGCTGATGGTTTTTCTACGAGGAGCCTGTATTTCATGTCCGAAATACACTCGGAGGGATGGACATTCCCTGCCGGGGGGGCGGCCGAAATTAGAAAATTGAGCTTAATGTTTTATTTAAATTAATTTTCAATAACTTTTTGGATATTGGTGGCACCGGGATTTGAAGTCAGTACGCTATGCTAACTACTCGGCTACCCCGGCCGCCAATTGAAATATTATATATATATTCAATACTAACTTAGCATTTTTTCGAAAATTTAGTTATGGCATATGTATATAGTGCAAATATCAAAATATTCTTTGCAGACTTAAACCAAAGATATGACCAAAGTATTGATATCCTTTCTGGTGCTATGCGTTGTGGCATTACAACAGTCACTTGCTAATCCCATCGATGGAAAAGCATTTGTTGCCACTGAGTTCCTGGTGTTGCACAATAATGATATGCACGCACGTTTCGAGCAGACGAATGTGAATGGCGGCAAGTGTCTGACAGAGGACGCTGACTCCGATAAATGTTATGGCGGCTTCGCGCGAGTAGCGCACGAGTGAGTATGACTTTTTTCCGTAATATTTGAATTTATCTTACATTAATCATAAAGGGTGCGCAAATTTCGCGAAGAAGCAGCAAAGGGTGGCCAATCGGTGATATATTTGAACGCTGGTGACACATACACAGGCACACCGTGGTTCGCCGTCTTTAAGGACAATATAAGCGCTGCGTTCCTGAACAAGTTGCAACCGGATGCGATTGTAAAATGAACACTCTTCTCCCTTAAAATTGCATATAAACTTCTCTGTATTCTTATTCCATGAAATTAGTCACTGGGCAATCATGAGTTTGATGAAAAAGTTGAGGGTTTGATGCCATTCCTGGAAAATGTTAACTTCCCGGTTCTAACTTGTAATTTGGATTTGAGCAAAGTACCGGAAATGAGTGCGGCCAAACATTTGATGAACTCAACTGTACTCACCGTTAACGGCACGAAAGTCGGTGTAATTGGTTATTTGACACCAGACACCAAATTTCTCATAACACCCAATACTCTTGAATTTAAAGACGAAATCGAGTGTATCAAGTGAGTAATAGTACATATCTACTCGTATCTATGTGTAGAAATTTATTTGTGCTTTTTAACTGTATAGCGAAGAGGCTTCAAAAATGAAGGCCGAAGGTATAAATATCATCATTGCATTGGGTCATTCAGGTTACCAACGGGATCAGGAAATAGCGGCCAGTTGTCCTGAAGTTGATGTGGTCATTGGTGGTAATGAAGAAAAATTTTGAAAAGTAGTATTTATACAAACGATGCCATGCTATGATTCTGTTATTTCAGGCCACTCTCACTCATTTTTATATACTGGCACAGAGCCCGATGTGGAGCGCAGTGAGGGTCCTTACCCGACAGTTGTAAAGCAAAAAAGTGGCAAAGAGGTGCCAGTGGTGCAAGCGTACGCCTACACAAAATATTTGGGAAAGCTTCATTTGCAGGTATCTAGATCTTTAAAAGGAGCCACTAAATTTTTTATTTGAAAGATTTTACTCTGATTTAGTTTGACAAAGACGGAAATCTCATTGAGTTTGATGGCACCCCCATTTTGTTAAATGCCTCCGTGGAACGAGAGAGCGATGTGTTAGCATTATTGGAAGTGTACCGTAAGAACATCACCGACTTGGAGAACTCTATAGTGGGTCACACGAAGGTGCAATTGGAGGGCCGATCAACCGTCTGCCGCAGTGTCGAATGCAATTTGGGAAATTTAATAGCCGATTCTATGATTTACGCACGAGTAGTTGAAGATCAGGGTGGCGCTTTCTGGACTGACGCCCCAATTGCAATCGTCAATGGGGGTGGTACGTATTTGAAACAATACTTGTTGGTTTTTTCTTCTAATCACTTTCACAAATATTTTACACAAAAAATGTAGGTATACGTTCTGGCATCGATAAACGCTCAGATGGTTCAATTACTGAAACTGACGTATTATCGGTATTACCGTTCGGGAACGATTTATACGTTGTTCGTACATCTGGCAAACAATTGCGATCTTCCCTTGAGTTGTCCGCCACTAAGCGTACCAAAGACTCCAGTGGTGGTTTTCTACAGTTTTCCGGCCTGCGAGTTACGTACGATTATCATAATGAGCAGGGAAATCGTGTAACCTCGGTGGAGGTACGCTGCGGTCAATGTGAAGTACCCGATTATGAACCGTTGGACGAGTCGAAAACGTATAATATTATAATAACTCAATTTTTGAAAGATGGTGGTGATGAGCATAACTTTGTTGAGAATGGTACAGTGCCTGTACTCATGAAATGGAAGGACAAGGAGGCACTGGTTGAATATTTGAAACATCGGGACTACGTATATCCAGAATTAGAGGGACGTATTGCAGTAATTGAGTCAACAAACTCAGGCGCTTCAGTTATGGTATCTATTAAATATCTAACTCTTGCCAGCACGTTGGTATTTCTTCTGAGCTTCTTGTATTAAATGTGTATTTTAAAATTAAGCAGGATTTTTAAAGCATACAAAATTAAATGTATATTGAAAATAATATTCTCGTTAATTAAAGTAATAAATAAATAATATTATGCACATTTCCGCTTTTGTAAATGCTTTTAAATCCATTTAATTAAATTTGTTATTACAAAGTAATATATAAGAACTTTAGATTCAAATTTTAAGGATATTTTATCATACCACAAAAAAATAAATTAATACGCTTTGTCAAACATAATAAAAGATAATAATTAAATCATTTTATTTGACTATGTGTATTTATATTTATGAATGAATTCGAGAGAGAGAGAGAGAGAGAGAGTAAAAAATACGTTGTTAGTTCTTAAAATTTATTTATTTAAATATACATTGTCAACAATTCTCTATAATGAATACCACTTACAAAAACAGTTGCAAAACGTGAAAAATATTTAAGGAATGAGGTGCCAGTGGGCACATTAGAGACGTCATTACCATATGTTAAATGTATCGCATTTTATTCTATTTCAAATTCAATTGAACTAATTTCAGATTGATTAGGCGATCGCTTTCTACCCACAGCCATTTGGCAAGCTCGTCATTTCGAGCAACTGCTGCAGTTTTGGTAGGCCGACAATCACTAAAATAAGCACCACTTACTAATTCCAAGTCTGGATCAAGAGCAGCATAAATGGTAGTCTGAGCTCCATTTGGAGTTGTTTTGAAAAATATCCACTTCAAAGCACTAACGATAGGGCTACAAAATAAATGTACATGTGTATATTGACCTTTATGTAAATGCACAGGCTATTAGTATTTAGCATAATTTAAAATCAAATGAGCTCAATATAGATACCTCAAAATCGGGATGTTAAATATTTTATAGTATCGCACCAATTCTGTGTCAACAACGCCGGGATGCAATGAGTTAACTGTCACTTTTGAACCCTGTAAACGCTTGGCTAATTCATGTGCGAAAAGAATATTCGAAATTTTACTATGCGAATAAACTTTTGATGGGCTATAAGAATTTTCACTTAGGAAATCATGTTTCTTAAATGGGCCAAACCTATGAGACAAACTTGACAGCATCACAATCCGACTAGGAGCCGATTTCTATGAAAATAACAAAGAAATTATATTAGGAATTCTTAAACAGTTCGTAAATCGCAAAAATCATACCTTCAGGAGGTCAAGCAGCAAATTTGTTAAATAGAAATGTCCTAAGTGATTAACGCCAATTTGCATTTCGAAACCGTCTTCGGTAGCCATACGAGGGCAGGCCATGATTCCAGCATTATTGATTAGAATGTCTAGCCGCGATTCTTTTTTCTTGAAGCTTAAAAAATAAAGTTCTTATGCTTTTTTGATATATACCTGAATATAAAAAACACTTACTTATCCGCAAACTCTTTAATAGATTTAAGTGAGGCCAAATCTAGTTTCATGCTATGAATATTTTTGTTACAAGTATCTTTTATTAGTTCTTGGCGAGCCTAGACAAAAAATTTGTGTAGTTTTTCTTGCAATGAGTTTAATATATCTACATACATGTTTATATATTTTAACGGAAATTAATAAAGAAATTAACTACATAAAGTGAAGTGGGAGTGGTAGATGGAACCCAATATTATATACTGGGCTGTTAATATTTAAAGTTTTTCTCGGTTAATGTAATTTAAAGAAAGTGGTTAAATTATGTACCTTTTCACATTTTACCATATCACGACAAGCCATATAAATTGTAGCGCCTCGTTTAGACAGTTCTCGAGCAGTTTCTTTCCCAATGCCTGTGTTAGCTCCCGTTATGATGACTACTTTTCCCAAAGCTGTTGTATTCTTATTATATTTTCCTCCTTGCATATACAATCTTGATAACATAAATCCTTGTCATTAAATATAATGATAATATTTGTATGCATGTACATATATACATACCTCATTAGCCAGAGAGCACCGGCACCAATAAATAAATATAGAAATTGCTCCATGGTTTTAAAAATTGATAAAAAAAAATCTCCAAATTATTACGCAAGACTTTAAGTTTTTAATATATTTTATTGTTTTGGCGAGAAGTAAGAAATTAATGAATGACAAAGCAATAAGATATTGGTAATTAATGTTGACCTATAGTATAGAACATATACCACCCACAACGCCAACTATCTTTGCTTAAATGGCCAAGAGAGAAACGCCTACAGAGTTGCATGATTATACAAAACAAACATAATTCACTTACTCATATGTGCTCATAGAAGTAAAGAGAAACATCTGCTTATTCTTCTACTACTGATAATATACAAATTACTTCGTATTATAAACGTTTAAAAAATATAACTCCGATATTGTATGAAAATTTTACTTGCATATTGAAGACGTTCAAAATTGAATTGATAGTCGAGACATCTACAGCCAAAACCTCTTAAAATTTCTTACTAGCGCCATCTACTACGGAAGTTTTAGTAACAGCGACGCCTCAAAAGATGGCGTTCGGTTTTCCCTTCGGCGAAAGAAGAAGAACACACGGGAAGAATCGCTTAAAAATATTGTAAAGTATTTGCGCGGAAATAAATACATAATTAATGCATAAGTATGCTAATATCGTGAAAAGAAAGGGATAGATTGATTATTCGATGTATCTTTTTAACAAGTGAAATATTCATTGAATTACAAAATGTAAGGCATTAATTTTTCTGTGTTGTGTATAAGTAGTAGTGACAGCCACTGCGGCAATTCGCATTAATGTGAAGTACCACGGTGATAAGACAACGCAAAAACTGAAATTATGTTGTGGCGAGCCGGTGTATTAAATTAAATTATTATTTACTTCCAATTCAGATTAGTGATAAAGGTTATATTTATAAAAATAATATTGACTTAAATGTCCACATAGTGGAAGAATTTCATTCAAGACAATTTGTTTTCTATGTTGGTCAGTGATGCCATTGGATATAAAAAGGAAAACTCGTGAGAGGCATAATGACGGATTAGGACATGTTTTCCTAATTAACTGAGCATATAACAAAATAAACAAAAATCAATCACAACAAAATGTTAATTTTATATAGGGACCTTTATTAAATACGCACGCGAATAACAAATTGAACGCGTAAAATCTCATATCTTCCACTTTCAAAATTTGGCAACACTGAAACCAACCGCAATGTTTTGCGATATTTACAATTTTTCGATTTTTATTATCGTTTCATTCTGGTACATTTTGTATAAATAATTAACTTAGATTTTTTCATGTAGATAATTTTAAAATTCTCAAGAAATTTGTTAACGAAAAAGACGGAGAGGAAAAAGAAAAATCCGACCCTAATTGATAACTAAATATGACGGAAATAAAATACCCCTCAGGATGTCGTCCGCTGACTGAGGACCTTGGAACAGACGAGCTTATTCGTAGACTTAAGGTAAAGAAATATCATGGCATGTCAAGTGGTAAATATAATAAAACTTTCAAAAAATTGTTACTCCTTAATTACAGACCCTAGCTCATGCATTACAAGCCATGGGGCAAGATGAAAAACATGTTCCTGATTATATACAACTGGCATTGTTGCTTGTGGATGACTACTTCTTACAACATCCATCTCGAGATGTGCAGCTTTTAGTTGCATGCTGCATCGCTGACATTTTACGGGTGTTTGCGCCTGAAGCACCCTACAAAGATCAAGACCAAATTAAAGCTATATTTATGTTTTTCATTAAGCAACTGAACGGTCTTAAAGATCCAAAAGATGCCTCTTTTAAAAGATACTTCTATTTGTTGGAAAATTTAGCATTTGTAAAATCGTTCAACATGTGTTTTGAAATTGAGGATTGCCAAAAAATTTTCTGTCAACTGTTTGCAATGATGTTTAAAATAATTAAGTAAGTATCCTTAATTGGCGATAAAAAAACTTTTGATCTAAATTTCAATTAATGTGTATTTCCAGCGATGATCACAGCGCCAAAGTAAAAAATTTCATGATCGATATAATGAGTCCACTTATCACGGAGGCTGACAATTTGACTACACCTTTATTAGACTTAATTTTAATTAACATTGTAGAACCACAGAAATCTGGTAATGCTCATGCATATCATTTAGCGGAACAATTAATACAGAAGACAAGCTATGCATTGGAGCCAATTATAAAAATCGTATGTGATATTCAACATTTATGAATATATTTACTTCTCACATAAGCTGATTCTCAATAAATTTATTCGTTCCAGTTCTTTAACCAAGTGCTTATTATGGGTAAAATCGATAAAAATATATCAATTTCAACAAAAATTTATGATCTCATCTATGAGCTCTATCAAATTAATTCGAATCTGATGTGCTCTGTGCTGCCACAATTGGAATGTAAATTGAAATCAACAAATGAAAATGAGCGGATGAGTAAGTATTTGCTCAACAACACTTTTAAAACATTACATTAAATAAGAAAATTTTACATTATCATTTTAGGAGCCGTTTCCTTATTGGCAAGAATGTTTTCTGAAAAGGACTCCCAACTCTCTAAAAAGCATACGGCTCTTTTGCGTATGCTCCTAGGTCGTTTTTGCGATATTGCGCCAACGATACGTGTTAAATGTGTGCAATCATCAATGCATTTTTTACTCAATCATCCACATTTGCGCAAAGACATAATCGAGTGTTTACAGGCACGTCAACACGATTCTGATGAAACAGTTCGCTATGAAGTTGTAATGGCTATTGTTGCCACAGCTAAGAGAGAATTCAATATCGTTTGTGAATCTCAAGATTTACTGCACATAGTTCGTGAACGTACGTTAGACAAAAAATTTAAAATCCGCAAAGAAGCTATGAATGGTTTGGCATTTATCTACAAAAAAGTAATGTGTGAACCCAATGACCTCTCGACTGAAGTAAAGGAATCTGTAAGTTGGGTTAAAAATAAAATATTGCATGGCTATTATATGCCTGGAATTGAGGATCGACTGCTTGTTGAACGTTTACTTATCACCTGCCTAGTGCCGTATAAACTGCCTCCGGATGAAAGAATGAAAAAGTTATACCTACTTTTGGGTACCCTTGATGACAACGCTATGAAAGCATTTATGGAAATCCAAAAAAATCAAATGAAAACGCGTAAAACCGTTAGCGATTGGATAAAAATGCATCACACCAAAGAAATTACATTAAAAACGCAAAACCAACTTAACGTTAAGCAGGCCATCATTTGCAAGTAAGGTCTTATATATAATTTTTTTGTTAGCTACTAATATATGTGTATGTTTTCATACCGACTACAGATTACTGCCAGATCCCCTTAAGGCCACTGAGTTTATTGCTAAATTTAGCCTTAATATGCGGAAAGACGCAACCTTACTACGTTACATGGAAATAATTTTGAAGCGCGATGTTTCTTGTAAAGAATGTGCTGACACGATGTCCCTGCTGCTCAAGAAACTGGGAAACCCAATGGCAGTTAATGTGTACTACAACACCGTTAAAATGTTGATAGAGCGAATCGCATCCGTTATGGTGGATAAAGAATCAATCGGAATTTTAATTGGGTAAGTGTAGAGCATTTGGAAAAAAGTCGCAACTATAATAATTCATTGATCGGCAGACTTATTGACCAATGCATGCAACGGGGTAAAATTGCAGAGGAAGTGGGTATCGCCAATGAGGAAGCCGGTGAACGTGGTCTTAAATTTTTATGTGTAAGTTGTTCGCCTAAACAAACACACGTGGTCATATGTATTCATCTAATTTTCATTTTATACAGATGCTTTCTTATATATTTTCGGCGCATTTTTTCACCGATGAAACCTTAAAACACATGATCGCCTTACTGAGCCACGAAGAGGATTATGTCGCACCTCTTATCCTAAAGGCTCTCGCCCATTTAGGACGGTATCAGCCGCTGTGTGACGTTAACCCAGATATATTAGAAACTCTAGCTTCCATTTGCAAAGATTTTGCATTGACTGGCACTGTCAAGCAGGCCAAATACGCAGTGCGTTGCATATTCGTCAATGTACAAACTCAACAGGCAGGCGCCGCGTGCGTCGATACCATTAGCCCACCAACAAAAACCCCCATAGTGCATCCGATTTTCAATGAGATCATAGAAGCTCTCCGTGTGACACTCTCCCCACAAGACCCCTACCAACATACGAAAATCAGTACGTTAGGTCACATTGCCTACCACATGCCACAAGCCTTCCTTACACCAGTGAAAAATATGATTGCCCGTCGGGTCGTCAAAGAGTTGCTAATTCAAGGAGTTTTGGAAACGCGAGACGTTGAACTGCCGGAAGGAGATTGGTGTGATAAGGAACTGTTGCCCACTGAAACACTTTGCAAGCTGGACGCCCTGAAAACGATGGCACGCTGGTTAATTGGCTTACGTTCAGATGAACATGCAGCACAGAAGACATTTCGAATGTTGGTCGCGTTCATAAATCAGCGTGGCGATTTATTAGAACAAAATCGGTTGTGTCCCGCTGAGAAATCTTGGTTAAGACTAAGCGCAGCGTGTGCCATGCTAAAAATTTGCGAACAAAAAGGAGTTGGCGATCAATACAACGCGGAACAGTATTTCAATTTATCGCAAGTTATGGTAAGGCTTCTTCCGTATATTTATGTATACTTATTTCAAAGATTATTTCTAGTGCGACCCAGTGCCTGAGGTACGTGACATGTTCGCTCGGAAACTGCATAAAGGCTTGGGAAAAGGGTTGCCAAATAAATGCTTACCATTAGATTTTATGGGCTACTATGCTCTGGCTGGACACGAAACTGACAAAAGGTATAACACTTGTATGAAGTTAAACAGTATTATTTAAATATATTTTTGTAGGCAATGTGATACCATTCGCAACTATGTGGAAATCGACGTGAATAAGAGACGTGAATATCTCAAAACTATAGCGACATTGTGTATGTATCAAAATACTAATGTTGTGAAAAATGAAAATTACAACATCTCTCTATTTCGTTACTGTAATTTTTAGTTAATATTTATTACTAAATCATTGTAATTAGTATGTGAGCTTATTGAAAATTTATAAAATTTAATTGTAGCAACGGAATGTAAAAATGATGCGCAGACCGCATACATTTTACCTGACTTCATGTTAGCCTTTGCGATACCTGTTCTCGCACATGATCCAGCCTTCACCGACCACGAAGATCGTGCTCAGCTAAAACAAGTGGAGAAATGCTTGCGGTTCATTCTCGAACCGCTTATGATGAAGCGAGAGGCATTCTCTCATAGCTTCTATACGAATCTTATACAGATGATGAAAAACCATCAGGACACCACACCGAATGCGCAAGATAACTCCTATAATTTTGTAAGTATAACACTTGACATTAATATGCAATGCGTTGTTACCGTTGTAATCTCTTATTAATTTTAAAACCATAAGAAAATGTGGGCGGCTTGCGATCTAGCCCTTTACATAATCAACTCGAAAATCGGTGATGGCAGTGCACCGTCGAATTCCTTTTCTGTGCAAATTCAATTACCAGAGATGTATTATAAGCCTTTAGATATGCCGAGCGACAATACAAAGGTTTACATACCCCTGGATATGTATACACTCTCATCTGGTCCAATAACCACAGCGTCGAAATTATCTTCAACAACCTCAGGGTCAATAAGTAAAAAAATAGCTAATTCCGCAGCTAGCAGTACGAGTGTGACACTGCGCCTTGTCGGCGAGAAACGCTCGAACGAACCTTTAGCCAGCAATGAAAATTCCCCCACTAATGCGCAGGTGAGTTGAAAACGGCATATAGTAGAACCTATAATTAACAGAGTTTTCCTTTTTTCTTAGAATAACTCTGTTACATATGAGGAAAGCAAATCGGAATCGAATAGTAGTATAGCTGAGCCTCCTACTAAGCGAACACGTGGACCGTTGCGTGCAGGAAAAACAGTCTCATAAAAATCAAATCAATGTCGTGGTTAAAGCAGCCAGACGTCCATATAAACATCCCTCCTAAACTGGCAAAAGGTCTTGGAGCTCACATACGTACTATGCAGGGAAACGTATCACACGTACATATAACATACATACTTATGCGTTGCACTTTGTAGCGGAATCTGTACATTTTTAAATGATAAAACCAACCTATTTAATCTTTACTAGTAGGTGAATTTTTATTTTCCAAACACTTCGTTAGCGTTTGAGCGTATGTGTCTGTGTAGCGAAGGCACAAGCACAGACGCTGGAAGTTCGCTTGACGAGTCTACCGCTTGTCGGTTTAATTTTTTTACACCTGGGCATCTTGGCCGTCTTATAATGTTGATTTCTGTTAAAGCCAAGTTTCATTTCATTGTCCAGGTCTATTGTTATTCCTCATTATTAATTACAATTACACAAAGAACCCATACTAAGAATAAATTGTTTGATTTATATTAAATAAATATAAAGCAAGAGAATATAAAGAAAATAATTTAGGTAGTATTTAAGTATTTATGTATATCAATAATACATGCCTCTGAAAAACACATACAGACATTTACATAAATATGCATGCAAACATACGAAATCAAAAAACTGAATTGAATATAAAATATTGAAAAATAATTTGCATTCTAGATTTTTTTTCACATATTTGTATTAAGCAGAAATTATCAACTTTATTTAATAGCAAAAGTTCGACAGAATTCTGATGATAACGCAAATCACAATAAGTCTTTGTGGTTTCAAACTTTCTTCACAATTTGCACAACATCTTCATCGTTAAGAATATGATCAATACCCACTTTCTGAGGCTGATGCTTGACAGAAGAACCCCATACCAATGCACTGAAAAATAAAACTTTTTCAATTAAAGCACTCTTACTAGTTCAGCAGTTACTTACTATTTAAATTCTTTAGCAATTGAGCGATGTAGTTTGTTACAGAAATCTTGGATACTTGTGCGCTCATTGTGCAGTACAATAGGCGAAGTGTAATCCGGAAGTTGACCTTTAGGTTTGGTGTAACTGCGAGAGAAGTAAATTCATATATATTGTTACTGGTGGTTATCAAAATCTATATTGTACCTTTTACTTACATTCGAACCAGTTTCAAATATTCCCACATCATCTCCAGCAAATCGTCGAAATTCCAATGATGGTGGGCGGAAATTGGTACACAATGCGGAATCTTATAAATTACATCTAATTCTTCGATGGAGATTTGATCAATTTTATTTAACAAATAAATACAAGGGATGTAGATTCGATTTCCTTCGATCACGTCAATCAGATCATCGCTGGTAGCATCATATCTCAGTGTTATATCTGCATTATGAATTTTATATTCAGATAAAATGGTTTTAACCAAATCGGCGTCCAATTCAGATTGTGGTACCATGCTATTGAGATTAACACCACCCTTATCTTTACGTTTGAAATAAATATTTGGAGGTTTTTTATTAAGGCGAATTCCGAACCCTTCCAATTCATGTTCAAGCAATTTTTTGTGTCCTAAGGGCTTCAGACAGTCAAGCACCATAAAAATTAAGTTACACGTTCGTGCTACAGCAATTACTTGGCGACCTCGACCTTTGCCGTCTTTAGCACCCTCTATAATACCGGGTAGATCCAAAAGCTATTGCGATTTAAATAAAATGTGTGGCTTAGTCATTAAACGTGCAATTCATTTTTTTAGTTACCTGAATTTTCGCCCCCTTGTATTTAATACAACCGGGAACAGTTGTTAAAGTTGTGAATTCATAAGCTGCAACTTCGCTGTAAACGCCTGCCAAATTGGAAAGCAGTGTGGATTTTCCAACGGAAGGAAAGCCTACGAAACCAACACGAGCATCACCCGTTTTTGCAACCTCAAAACCTATGGAAAAATTTACAATATATTCAATTCCATTTGTAAATGGACATACGTGAGGGTACTCAATAGTTACCTTCACCACCAGCTCCGCCGCCACCTCCTTTTGGCGAAATCAACTCGCGTCGGAGCTTAGCTAACTTGGCTTTTAAGAGACCCAAATGAGCAGATGTTGCTTTGTTTTTCTGGGTGCGGGCCATCTATACATTATTCAAAATATGTAGCATATGATGTAAAGGTTAGTTTTTATCTCAACATTTATTTCAATTGTTTTAAAAGTTTTACCTCGGATTCGATAGCCGCAATTTTTTCAAGTATAGTACTCATGCTGCTAACGTTATTGATAACCTTTTATATTGAAGAGTAGTCGTCCTTGCTATTTTCAAGATATAAACCTCTTTTGTTGACAAAAATCCAAAATAACGCGTGGACAACCAACTCGAATTCCACCAAAAAGAATTATAAAAAAAAAGTTTTGTCAAATGTCAAAATTCAGCCGTACTGAAACCACTGTACGATGCCAGGTTGTACAATTTTTTAAAAATATCTGTTTTGTTTGTTGGAAAAAGATAAAGAGAAGTGCCTTACCAAATCTAAACATTTTTTTTTATGCCTATGTTAGTTTTTTGTATCAAACGAAACGAAATAATATTTAAAAAAAAGAGCACACATACTCACATTGAGTGAAAATTAAACAAATTGTTTTGATAAGAAGCGTCACAGGTGGCATCATTAATTATTATGTTAAAAGAAGTAATCCGATAGTGGATATTGTGGAGAACGGGGAACACTAGTATCCTTCTCAAATCCACAAAATAAATTTCAGGGATGAAGAAGTTGCTAGCAGCGATCAGTCATCGTAGTGAACGTTTTCAAACTTCGGTTTCATATATAATTATTATAGTTTTGGTTATATGTGGTGTTTCCATCGTGCATAATCTTATCAATGTACAGAATGAAGCTGGCCGAAGCAATAATAAAGTGCCACTGGATCTTGATCATGTACGAGAGATCTTATTGTCAAACAGCAATGAGGAGACTAGGGAACGTGATGCTAACTGCAGATTATGGGATTGTGTGAATTTATATAAATGTGGACAAAAAGGCCATGACCGCCTTACTATATATGTGTATCCTCTGCAGGAATATGTAGACGAGGACAGCGGAAAAACAGTGTCGATTCTTACGCGTGAATATTACCAAATACTTGAGGCAGTAGTGCGAAGTCGATATTATACGCCTAATCCCAATGAGGCATGTTTGTTTCTTCCAAGCATTGATGTTTTGAATGGCAACCTCGTTAAACCAAGTGCAGTGGAAAAAGCACTCGCTTTGCAAAATTATTGGGATAACGGCGAGAATCATATCATATTTAATATGATACCACGAACTGACGGATATGTTTTAAAAACAGATCGTGCCATAATTCTTGGAGGAGGGTTTGATACGTGGGCCTATCGAAATGGATTTGATTTATCTTTACCAATTTATAGTCCAACGCAACAAAATATTGCCGATTTATCAGCTAAATCTACACACTTGCCTCGAAGAAATTTGCTGATAGTAGTTCTACCAAACATCTACCCAAAATATCACAACCAAATTCACACTTTATTTGTCGATAATCCTAATGAAGTTCTAATGCTCGACAAATGTGTGACACACACAAAAGAATTTTCTATAAAAAATACGATGCATTGCAATAGCAGTCGTGGGAAAAGTGTTGACTATCCTCGAGTGTTCGAAAAAGGCACATTCTGTTTATATTGCCATAGTGTAAATTCAGATGAATCAGATTTAATGGAAATATTGGCCTATAATTGCATACCTGTGATCGCTGTAGATAACTCTGTTTTGCCTTTTGAGGATGTACTTGACTGGTCATTATTTTCTTTAAAAATTCGCGAGGCAGAAATGCATGCCCTTGTTAAAAAATTGAGTACAGTATCTCATACGAAAATTTTCGAACTACAACGGCAAGGACGTTGGGTGTACCATCGATATTTTAAAGATTTGAATGCCATAACGCTTACTGCGTTGGAGATTTTGGAGAATAGAATATTTCCTCATAAGGCACGGAGTGTAATGGATTGGAATAAGCCAGACGATAATTATCGCAGCACATTTAACCCACTATTTTTACCTATAATTTCACCCAAGGCACAGGGATTTACAGCGGTGATACTAACATACGATCGCGTCGAAAGCCTTTTCACATTAATACAGAAGTTAGCATTGGTACCATCACTGCAAAGCATACTCGTAATTTGGAATAACCAAAATAAAATGCCACCGCATTGTAAAATATTTTTAATGTTTTTGTCGAATTTTTTATAATCTTTTTCTATTTCTAGTGTCTTCATTCCCTACAATTTCAAAACCACTGAAAGTTATTCAGACGCGTGCAAATAAACTTTCAAATCGTTTTTATCCATATAATGAGATTGAAACAGAGGCTATTCTAACAATAGATGATGATATTAATATGCTCACCACAGATGAATTGGATTTTGGGTAACCATATCAAGCAATTATATGATTTTTTCAGCTAATATCTACTTTTAATATAATCATTTCCGGTATTTTCAGGTATGAAGTTTGGAGAGAGTTCCCAGACCGAATAGTTGGATTTCCCAGTCGCATACATGTGTGGGATAACGTATCAATGCATTGGCGTTATGAGTCTGAATGGACTAATCAAATATCGATGGTTCTTACGGGAGCTGCATTTCATCATAAATTCTGGAGCCATATGTATACGTACGCGATGCCTGGAAATATCAAAGACTGGGTCGATCAACATATGAATTGCGAAGATATCGCCATGAACTTTCTCGTTGCAAACATTACAAATAAACCGCCCATAAAGGTTACACCAAGGAAAAAGTTCAAATGTCCTGAATGTACTAATACGGAAATGCTGTCAGCTGATCTCAATCATATGCGTGAGAGATCGGCTTGTATAGATAGATTTGCTAGCATATACGGTCGAATGCCTCTGCGAAGCGTAGAGTTTCGAGCAGACCCTGTACTATTCCGAGATAATTTCCCAGAGAAACTGAAGCGATTTAATGATGTAGGAAATTTGTAAAATATATACACTCCAAATGTGAACAAATAAGAATGTTTTATGCATCGATTTAATAATATTTTAGCTAATATTTTAAGAACTCACTTTGAATGCCATAAAAATGTATAATTCTATACATAGTTGTATGAGAAACTATTTTACATAGGTATGTATGTAGACAATTTATTTTATTTTTGGTATACATTTAAAATAACTTAATATCATTAAAGATTAAGGAATGGAGAATAAGTTTGGTGCTTATAATTGTATATTTGTGTTGTTTGTATGTTTTACTTCTTAGTATTAGTGAATAAGGATTGAGAATTTCAATAGTTTAAGTAATATCATGTCTCATTTTTGCGAAACGAGTATTTTTACCGAAATTGGCAATTACTGTAAAATGTATAAATGCTGTTATAAAAGCCGTACAACCTAAAATAAAACAGTAAATATTACACCATTTATTTGACCTAAGGAAACACGCCAGAGTAATTTTCAGCGAAAATGTTCACCTCAAGTAAATTTTTGAAATTATTAAAATTAAACTTTGCACGAAATCACTTTAACAATTTATTCAGATAAGCGAAATAACTTTGCTACATTAGGTGCGAAAATACCTAATTCGCGACAACAATTTGTGGCCACTCTGAACGGAAGCTTTGATACAGCAGAACGGGTGTTCAATAAAAACTACACCAGTAGCAAAGTTCTAAAACAGACCAAATTGAATTATGATACTTTGATCAAACGGACAAAAATTGAAAATGAAAACAATAATACAGTAGGTATAGCAAGAAAATACGAACAACCGGAATACTTTCTTCTCCCACCACTACAACCAAAAAAGGTCGCACCTATAGACAACACGAATAGAACCAACAACGTTACAGCTAAAGATTCACAAGACTACTTCACGGATGATCGGGGCACAATCTACACCGCAAAAGATCCTACTAACAATCCATTATTACTCAAAAAAGGCAGAAATAAAATAACATTAATTGGGCAAGTTGACTTTTGCTTGAAAATGTATAAGCTACATCCAACACTGGATGCACTATGGGACATTTACGGTTTGATATTGAAATTTTTATTATAAATAAATTATTTTTAAAGACTTATTAATTTAGGTCAACTAAGGAAAGTAACCAAAGGAAAGCAACGGGGCGAAAACATTTTACTACTGAGAAACCATAACGGTGGCCCAGTTTTGCAAAGTATTTACTATGATTTTGCCTTAAACGCATTTGAAACTGGTACTTACGTATTCTGATTTTAATAACTTAATAACAATAACATTTTTAGGTAGCTACGTTCGCGCCGTTGGGCGATTTATAGGGGGAAACCGCTTGCACACGTTCAAATTGCAAAAACTATGTGAGGAAGATTACAAGAAATGGATTCAACATTTTACGAGAATGCAAAATGTTTCCTCTTTTGTTTTGCTATAAAAATGATAATATACATATAAATATGCAAAAATCAAACAAAACAGATCGATGTTTTTTCTAAGATCTTATATATTTATATGTGTATATAATATTTTTTTGTATGAGTGATACATATATACATATATGTTAAAGGATACTAATTTCTTGTTAACCTTAATTTAATTTGTACTACATGTATTCAAATTCTTCAATTCCTTTCTATAATAAATTACATTTAATAATACTCTTCATATCTCCAAACTACCGAAATCGTAGTACATGAAAATAGTTACCAATAAACCGGCTGCCAATGCGATTATATAACCTAAATGCAAGGCACTGCGCCGTTGGTGGCGATAGCTGTGGATGATATAAAATATAATATAAATTATCAGCATTATTTTCTACTCACATTATTTGTTTTGATGGTGAAAAAGGTGACGGTGGACTTATGCCCGGAATATCGCTGTCCAAATATACCAACATGTACGAAAATACGGCTACCAAAACGCCACAAAATAGCGGATTGAGTATAGTACACAGCTGCCGCTCATGCGCCCATTTCATAACCTCTTGTATCCGTGTTTGCACCATATTGGAAATGTCGAGAAGTTTTTCGGCCTTCACGTGTGGTACTAGAAAATGTTATAAAAAATTATTATTGATATGCTGCACAAAAAAGTTTAAAACAACAAATATTTAGATATTTAGGTATATTCATACACAACCTTATGTACATACATATGTATGTGCATAAACCTAATCCGACTTCTTCCTATCTGCCTTTAGTTAGCTCTTACGTGCTCTACACTTGCCTCTCCCAATATTTACTACTTCATTATTGCTCAATCTTTATGACCTTGAACATTCGCGAAGTTATTCCCGGGTGGTGAGAAGTAAAGAATAAATAAATATATATGCATGTATATATGTAAATATTTGAGGAAATCATCTAACAGTAATTAGATAACTGCATTTGTGCATGCGGAGTTGTAAGGGGAAATAATACTCGGCTCTATGACTTAAAAACCAAGTCTACACATTTTTGTATTTTCTTTAATTGCAGGCTCACCTATCTACATTCATATTATTCTGGATATTAATAGTACTTATCCTCAATTAAATTGTTGAAATGTTGATTTAATAATTTTAAAACATACGTGCATACATATGTGGTACATTTAACTTCAAAAAATTAATTACTTAACCGCCGAAATGAAAAGCTTTAGGCAAGTAGTATTTTCAAACTCCTTTAACGTAGAAGGAATGTAGTAATAGAAAATAGCTTTGAATTGGATGTGCTTTTGTATATATGTATATAAACATGCACACAAAAGTTAGACGGTGTGAGATCATCGATACTTGACTCTATTTATATACCAATATTGTTTATATATTATCTGTAGACATTGGACTTGGTAATGGATAACGTTAGCAACGGGGTAGAGAATTAATAATTTAGATTTGTCCAAAGGTTGTGTTCTAACCTAGTCCAATGGTAGCCAATATGTATTTACTTATAATATGAAAATTAGTAGCTATGCTTATTTGAAATTTAAACATATATTTAAAATTGTATTTCACATGTCTTACTTGATGCTATGACCATTTTGAGAAGTAAACAAGCGATTAATGTCAGCAATGTACAAGTAAGTGAACTTATTTTGTTGTGCCACTCTTTTATATTACCATTTCTGGTAAAATTTTTAAAAATAATCACTTCTACTGCTTGAACTTTTGTAGTTTGGCCGGCAGTACTAAATACGGTTAAGCTTTCAAAAATAAGTTGACACTTTGTTTTCAATTCGTTACAGCGTTTACTATCCGTTGATTTTTCTAGTAATGTGGCTATAGATGGTTTCGTTATTGGCGTAGACGAACGAATGATATTTGAATTGCTAAGAGAACCGAGTGGCGGAACACACGATGAGGAACAAACAAATAAATCTTCGTTCATGCCATCATCACATCTGTTTGGAAAACGAGTGCAGCAAACAAATGTTTCTACTTCCCCACAAGCTTCAGTTTCAACATCAGTATGTACATTGGTATCAATGATCATATTTCTTCGATTTTGTTGTGGAGATGTTGCCCACAATGCATTTCTGTGTATGGATGCGTTTGGTCTATTATTGTACAACTATTTTATTTCTTATTTGTGAGATGCACAACAAAACACAATAACAATAAAATGCAAGCAAAACAAATAAGCCGCACAACAGTACAAAAACAAAGATGTATTAGCCAAAATAAGCTTTCGGTGACGTCACACAGAAATGGCGACGTCAGCAACAATGTTGCCATTAAAGCGAAAACTCGCAAAATTGCCGTTTTCTGCTTCAGCTGCGTTCCCGTCAAGCACTTTTGCATTTGAGGGAAATTTATAGCAGGGATAAGTATTTACAGGGTAAAATGCTCAATAAAACTAGATGACTTCAACTAACATCTGGTATAAAAAATGTGTAGTTCTGAAATGAAATAAAGATTCATCAGCCATTCGTAGGCGGCTTAGAAGCAATCATAAGTGCAAAATATAACAATATAAATGAAAATAAAATGAAATAAAAGAAATGTACCACAAATAGACGAACCGGTTTAAAGTCATTTTCACCATAAATTCCGGCCATGGGTAATAAGAGAAGAGGTGTCATTCATTGCAATTCATTCGTCATCTCAGACATTTAACTCTAACGATTTAATTATTTCTGGGAGGAAATGCGCAACAGTTTGCTTAAAGTAATAGCTTATTAAAGTATGAGTGTAGTTGCCCCACGAAGGGGTTAGTATTGGTTCAAAATTAAATACATTCCCCCTTAGCTTGCAATGCATGATTGCTGTGTGTGTGTAATTGAGCTTAACTCTACTACTCTCAGGGTTTTCTGACGGTTTCATTTGAGTATGCTGCCGTTTTAGACTAGTTCTGTGAGACTTCACTATCGGATGAGTATGTACTTCGCAACTTGCATAGCATACACATATTACATATACTCGTATATGGAATACCTTCTAAAAATTACTTTCGAAACTGTAAACATTACTTCATGGTGTATGCACAGGAAGTTACATTCGTAACTGTATTTTATACTGCAAGCGGCTAATAAAAAGGAAACAGAAAACTATAATTTTTCCTTTATTCGTATAAATAAATCTATGATATATGTATATCTTCGAGTGTGGTGATTGCGATCGTTAATGCACTAGTATTAATCGGTTAGCAATAAGCATAAGTTGGTTCATAGCTGCATTACAGAGCAGCACTTTATAAGTAGTCCAATTTAGTGAGATCGGACCAAATTTTTTACAAGATAGTTTCTCACACACTCGTACGTAGAATTGGTCGGCCGGATATGCAATGACAGTAGATTAACTCTAAGTATACACACACATGTACATACATATATATACATACATATCTATGCAAGTATTTTCTTTCGGATATTTTATATATTCACGAAACAGTGCCAAAGCTCGAGAATTTGAAGACATTCCTGAATTTCGTACTGAGAAAAAAATAAAATAAGATTTAAAAATTAAACACATTTCATGGAAAATAGTAAAAGCACTTAAAAATGTGAACTGCAAAATAGAAAAGTCTGTAGCAAAATCAGAATTAGGAAACAAATGAATAAATATCAAAGAGTTAAAAAAGTATCAAAATGTTCAAAATTTTAATTTTTTGCAATCCAAAATCTATTGAAACCATAAAAACACTGTAATAACTTTGCTGAGTAATTGAAATTGGAAAATATGTTTAATAATGTGGAGTAACTATTATATTGATTTTTCACAAAATTGTTGCCTTTCAGTTGTCGTACTAGTTGGTTGTAGGGATTATTGTACATATTTCATTGTGTTTTTATCATAAGATCCGGTTCAACGTTTCGGCTTTCATGAAAATATTTTTTTAATTACACATGATAGAAATACAAACAAAAATTCTTCCATTTGTCCATTCAGATATTTGAAAATTTTGGCCAGTTTTTGTGTTAAAATAAGATCAAATGCGGAATGCATGAGGAAGTCACCAAAGCAGAAGTCTCAAATCATATCAGCCATCATGTCTCCGAACGAGTGAAATTATACGAAGCCAGCATGAAGGAATCAGCATCACCATCTCATTTGAAAATTAACAAAAACAACAACATACGCTGCGTTGTGCCAGTAGGTGTATCGATTGTATTATTCACTTTGTATTTAGCAACAACAGCCGTACATTCGAACTATGGTAATCACGGTAACTCGGAAGAATGGAAAGACAAGGAAATTGGTCGAGCAGCAGCAGAAAGTGAAACGCAAGAAGCGCTTAATCGTATAAAAATACTTGAAAAGCTATTGGAATTCAAAGACCTTTGTACCGAGCTGGAAGTATTTACAAAAGATCTGCGTTGGGTAAATGAGATTATTGAGAAAGATCAGTACACGGAAGTCGAAGCTGAATGTGAAGATATGATTAAAGAATCAATGGAAGCGAGTGGCTGTGGTGAAAGTAATGATGGAGAAATTGAGCGATCTGAACTTATCGATCATGAAAAAAGGAAATATAGTCGTCGAGGAGGACACCGGCGTTTTGCTATGAAAAACAATAAAAATAAAAATAATAAGAACAACCACAGTACTACTAATAATAACGGTAAGAAGGAACAGCTAAAAACAGCTAAAAAGGCAAATACTGCAGAACCTATCATCTATGTCTTCGCTCTGGTCTTCATATATTTACTGCTAAAAGCCGCATCGGATATAAATCAACATTACAAATCGGTAAGTCTGCATATATTAACAAATATCGTATCTGCTAAACTCGCACCTAATTTAAGCATCTCTAAGGGACTGTATTTTAAAATAAAAAGATAAGAATGCAGTGGAGCTCTTTAATAAACTTAAAATTTCCAGCATTTTCCTTGTAATCCGGATAAATCGCTTTGACTCTAATCTGGATAAAATGTTTATTATTTATTTATTATTTTATTTATTTTGTTAATAAAAAAAGGTGCTTTCAAAAATTAGCCTGAAATTGAACTCGTTTACGTTGAGAAAAACTTAAAGTTGGGCAAGAAATTCATATATTCCTCTCGCAACTACAACAAATATGAAAGAAAATTATGTGAATATGAATACAAAATATAGTTGTTTTATGTGTGAGCGGTATAGTCGGGCTAGAGATAAACCCTACGTAGTAAAAATCTGGCGACGAAGAACCAGCTATAGCTCTAAGTGAAAAAATATTTCTTCCTCCACTCCACATAATGCTGGGTCTTATGAAGCATTTTGTTAAGGCCATTATTAAGAATGGTGGGGGCTTTCAGTGTCTACAGACGAAACTCCACTAAATCAGCGATGCAAAAAGTAGGAATCTTTGTGGGTCCTCAAATAAGCGAGCTTTCGAAGGACACAAATTTGACAATAAAACTAATAGAAACCGAAAATGGGCACGGGCTGCTCTCGTGGAAGTGTGCCATAATTTTCTATAAAACAAAAAAGAAGTGAAACCTACCAGGATACTGTCACTGAACTTATTTCTTCGTATAAAGACCTAGGGTGTAACATGTCTTTAAAGATTAATTTTTTAGACTCTCACTAGGATTTTTGTCGCTCTTACTCTTGCCAACAGGTGCTACTTTTGACTGAGTAGGCAATTGAAAAGTAAAATTTTCTCTCGACGAACGGAAACTAAGCACCACAAGTCGCTCATAATACCCGCTCTGCTATATGGCGCAGACGATGTCAACATCTGATGAGTCGGCCCTAGGAGCGTTCGAGAGAAAACTTTTGCGAACGACTTATGGTCTTTTTTGTGCATTGGCAACGGCGAATACCGCAGACGCAGAGGAAGAGACCTCCACCCCGTTGGAATAATAAGGTGGAGACTGACCTGGCTTCATTTGGTATCGGCTATAAGCACATAAGCGATGCCAACGCCAATAAAGAAGAAGAAGGACAAGGATTTCTTCCGATCTAACTTTGGAACAGTATTGGATGAACATGGTGAGAGATTTCATCAAGATATCATGCACCTAGAATGCTTGCAGATTTTTGCTGGTTTATTCGGGGCGAAACTCCACTGGAAAATGCGAAAAGAAAGAAAACCACAAAGTAAAATACTATTAAGAAGTAATAAACATATTCTACTATACATTTTAATGCTAGAAAAGAAATTTTCTTTAAAAATTCCATTTTAAAAAAAATATAGATGATAGAAAATTTGTGATACCATATTTCTATTTCGCACTATATATAATAATAATATATATAAAAATAAAAATTCATAACTATGTAAAGGAGACAAACATTTCTTCTTTTTTTTTTTGCAGACCAGTGTAATTTACAAATAACCATAAATAAATATCTTAAAACAGTAGCGACAAATAACAAAAAGATTTCTTATTTTCCATTTTGACTTTGCAGCAAAACAAAGGAGACAAAAGACTACGTCGTTGCTCCTTGCAATCCTACGCGCAGACACACAAACAAGATCGTCGTGCTTCTAAAGGTACATCATTTAATAAACCGTAAAATGATTGCAATTCTTGTCACTTAAAATAATAAAAATGTAGTTGAAATAAGGATATTAACTTTTGAAACTAAATCAAAGCTTTATTAATAATTACATATATACATAATTTTACATTTACATATACTTTTAATAGCTAATAAGAGAAACGTTTAATTGTAATTGTTAAAGAGGAATTAGTCATTTAATAATCTTTATAATCGCGAAAAGGGAATTGCTAAGTCATTTGAAATATTTACCAACAGTATTTTTGAAAAAACTTGTTAAAAATATATGAAGAATTTTAATATTATCTGATATTCATACATATTTATGTAGTAGAATGTTCGAATATGCATTTCTATTGCTTTTTTAACCGTTAATGGCAAGTCTTGGTACCTACTACATCTGTGTACTGTGAAGAATGTAATGTAAATATGTGAAAGTTGAGAAAGTGTACGACTGAATATTCTATGTGTCCATATTTAATAATAATATTTAATTATCTATGCATATTTGATTGGAATGGTTTTTTTTTTACTAAAATTTCGGTGCTAATATTTCTAATCCTTTTAAATAGAGTATATACTTTTGATATTTTTATTTCTCGTTTAAAATCAGATAAAAATTCTTATGTATATATGTATGTATGTATATGCATAGCTTTTTATCTTAAAGGATTAAAATTAATATTTCAAAAAAAAAAAAACATTCTAACTCAGTTTAGGTACTATTTTTTAGATAATTCGTAGATATCCTGATTATTTATTGAATGTGCATTATTTTTTTTAGTAACTCTGTGATAAAACGAGTATTGCTACTTAAGTGTTGATATATTATATGATAAAACTTAGGTAAATTATTAAAAAAAATAATGCGAATAAAACTATTGGTTTTTATTTCAACACTTAAATAAAGTTTCTCGTACGTATTTGTGTATGTACTGTATACATATGTATATATATATTTGTTGATAACTTTAAACTTTTTTCTGTTTTAATATTTAGTTTCCAATACGAGATGTACATATATGAAAGTAATATGCTGACCTCTGTTTCTTACATTAGGGTAGTCCAAAATAATTAACAGATGGGTGAAATAAAAATTTGAAAATTTTAGATTATTGATGAATTGGTGGTTAACAGTGTCTGTTTTAAAATTGAAATATTTCTTTTCAATTTTATAATTTTATTTCATTTTTTAAAGTTTTTACTGAAATCGATATTTTTGACTACTCTGACTTCTATGAAATTAAATGATGCTCCTATGTAAATGCTCTCCTAAGCCACTCCTACCGACTTTCTTCACTTTTACCTTTTTATTTAAATTTCAGGTCTTCATCGCCTCTGTACACGTACTTACTGAACGATCGATCTTTACACTCTACCTGAATGTGTATGTACATATGTATTCTTAATATTTAATGTGTGTATGCATATCTAGATATCCATGTATTGAACGAATACTATCTGCACAACCTTCCAACACCACAATACAGATATTTTTGCGAAATTACAATTTTTAATATTTTTAAAAACTGCACTTGTTGTTTGCTGTCTCTTTATAAGTTATTATATTCTATGTATGAATGTATGCATATACATACATATATGTGTATCTTTAACATGGCACTTGTATATATATGTATTTGGTGAATGTATATCTGACTGACCGAATTGAGACTAGTTTTACTGTGATTTATTACAATTTAGAAAAAAAAAATGTTTTTATTTCTCGCAAATTGTGCGGAAACCGAGGAAAAGTGTGGGCGGAAGCAAATAACTTGTTCAATTGTACTTACATTAAAACATTATGCATACATTTATAGTATTAGATTATGCAGTATAAACGTAAAAAAGGAATAAAAATAACTCTCTCTAATTGTATTTGAAAAGTTTTGCTGTTTTATTTGAGAAAGTTCGGGCATCTTAATTAGCAATTGCTCTCTTCTCTGTTTGTATTTTGAAAATTGAACTCACTGCAGCACCATTTTGACATGCATACATTGTAGTTAGAAACTTTCGGAGATAATTTTAAATTACGTAATGAAAGCGATTTTCGGTTGGATTCTTCTAATAAGACATCTATCTAAATCTATGTATCTCTGAATTTGAAAATGAGCGAAAAGAACATAATGATAATTGCAAAGATATAATATTAAAAAAATTGGCATTTTATTTTGCATTCACAAATTTTGCTTCAGATACGCCGAATAAGAGATCAAACCGAGAGTTAATCTTGCAAATGCGTTCGAATTCAGTTGACCGATTTAATGAAACCGCAAAGAAAAAATCCGAATTACTTGCTAATTTGCGAAAATTCACATCATTCGACGAACATAATCGTTTAACGAGCGTACAGAACCGGGTCCCTGGGCTAGCACCAGTGCCTCCGTGGGAGTCCGAGGTTTGTGGAGAAGCTGTTGTGAAATGTTTAGGTAAGTTCAACAAACATATGAGTATGTACATAAAAATGTAAAAATTAGTTTGAAAAGAATCATTTGAGTTTTTAAATTCCATATTTCAGAGAGTATTGCACCAAATGTATCAAATCGACGTTGCTCTGTGCCAGTTACAGTCAATTTTCAACGCCACAGTTTTAGAGCCAATCTATTACCGAGCTCGGCATTGGCTCGAAGGACTTCCATATCGGGCGTTTACACTGGGCCAGAGGGGAATTCATGTGATTATGGGCAAGAGATGCCATTTCATGAAATCAAACGACGTGTACGAATGATTAATCGACACTAAAAACATAATTGTACTTCATATACTCGTACATACATTGGTGTATGTCTGCACATTCATATTCTTGTATGTATAATTTTATACATATATAATTGGTGCTCTGCAACCGCTGTAGCGCTTTTCGGCCGAGCTCCTTCTCCGATTTGTGGTGTGCGTCTTAATGTTTTTCCTTCACATAAAGGGATCTACAGGTTATACTAAGCCACCTCCGAACGGTTGGTGGTTTTAATGATGAACTTGTTAATTCATGCCAGAAATATTTTCGGAAAAACTTTTATTTTAAAAATAGTCTATAATTTTTGGGTGCTGGTCGGATCAGGACTTGAGCACTGGCCTCCCGAATCACAGAACCTACTGCTAACCACTCGGCTATCGCACCGTGTGACTTATGCTTACACATTTTTTGGTATACATACATATCTACATACATAGATCCTTATGGAACTACTATTTCCGACGATTCCGAAAACAAATCGACAGATGTGAAATTTACACTACAAACCCAAAGAATTTTTCAACTTCATTTCTGTGGGTAAAAAATTATTCTTTATTATTTAAAAACATTTTGAAAATATTACAAATATTTTATATTTTATTACGTAAAGTATATTAGTAATAAAGTGGTGGCACACACGCAGGGCGAACTTTTATGTTGTTTGCCAGGAAGTGCGATATATCAGGAGAAAAGTGTAAAAAGTCAAGGTTCTCATTAATTATTTTCTTAATACTTATTAACTTTTCATCATAAGAACCAAAAAAACAATTTATTTCGAACATCAACATGACCATATTAGGATTGTTCGAACAAAAACTTTGTAGTTCTGCCACTCTTTATAATTAATACACTTTGGCTTTTATATGAACAGTATGCGTTGATATCTGATACCAGTTTTCGAAAAAAATGCTTTTTATATATTCTTATTGTTTTATTAAATACGCGCTAGTGGAAGTTTATACACATCTAAATTTTATTTATATAAGTATAACTACTGGACACTATTTTAATTATTATACGAAACATCTGTGAAAATATTAAACAATTTTTGTACACATTTAAAGTGTATTTATTGCCATTTATACATATTCATTAAGTATATATGTATAAGTATTATACGTATATGATCGTACTAACTACACTACTGTTACCTTTTAAAGAAAATAGCTTAAAATAAGGCAAGATTTATTACAAATTAATAAGGTTTTTAAAGAAGAAACCAAAATATTTGTGTTTTATGAACTATAATAAGACACTCGTCGGCAATTTAAATTATATTAATTTGAGGTGTTATATTAGCTTGTATTTCTTTGCTTTATACTATTTTACGTTGCATTCATATATTCTATTGTAGCTTGCGTTTAAAAGAAAATTCCTATTTTCTACACATATTCAAGTCTTTCATTTCATTAACAGATTTATAATAACTTTCAACTTCATGCATTTCAATATATCATATAAACTAACAATATACATATGTTTTTTTCTCTTTATAATCGCTTTACAAATATATATATATATACATATATATATATATATATATATATATATATATATATATATTTTATATTTTAAATAAATAAATAACTTTTTCTGACGAAATATTTTAAGCTACTTTTGATTTTACGAGTACCATCCGAGGAACATTTCACGTTAGACTGCGATCGTTGCCTTCGTAAAGACCTTCGCAGCTTTCTAGCAGCCTGAGCACAGGTGATATATCATAGGGATACAGTTGTCGAGCTACAAGACGTGAGATGTGTAGGCGCAAGCGTATCAGGACACTCATTGCTTCGTCTAGGGTAGGCGCACCCATACCAAAATCATGGCAACTGCGCAGGAACATATCCCAGTTGGCTCGGATATATTTTAAAAAACGCAACAAGTACAGCAGGAAACAAGTCTCATTGCTAACAAGTAGATCCAGTAGAAGGTCTGAGCTGTTGGATATCATTTTAAGGAACTCTAGAAACGTGTACACGGGATTCAACATCGATACAAGCTCAGGAAATGCATTATTGCGAAATGAAATGCCAGCTGTTACGTCCAAAGTACAAACCATCGCTTCAATTAAATGATCATCTTGATCATCGAATAGATGTATGAGTATTTTGCTAAAATGACATTCAGGATGAAATTCTAGTTTGTGTTTTATAAATGACTCCAACTTCCTCAGCACATCGCGTATAGAACGCTCTATCAGCACCATGTCTTGATAGGCATCACAATCATGAGAGTCAATGGAAGAGTCCGATGAATCGCTGCGTATCTCTTTTACAGTTACAGCAACAGATTTGAGCACTAGCAGCACCATTTTCTGCAGTATTGTTCTATCCATTTCAATGGTATTTGCATCTAAATGAATCGGTCTATTCGGCGCAGTAGAACTGGAGTTATTCAAGTCAACAGGTGGCGTAGATAGATTGATCGATATCGGTGTATCCTCTTGATAAGTAATAGTCACTCGTTTGAAACCCAAAAAACTGACCATATTTTCGGGCTGACGTCTTGGTAGAGAGTCCAGTATACGTGCCTCCTTTACATGCCGCACAATTCTCTGCGCCAAACGACATGTTTCCACCGGCAACATGTCCTGCAGTGCCAGCGTTGAACCGTAGCAGAGTGCTTCGTTAAATAAGCACAGTAACTGCTTGTAGATAGTGCATGATAGCTGTTGCTGTTGTAGTAGTAATTCAAATCTATCTAGCTGTGCATAGAACGGACGTGTTTCGACCACAGAAAGATTCGCCTTAACAGAAATTATGTTTTCCCAAAGTTGTAGGAAATTAAGTATGCAATGTTCCGCGTGATCGATATGCATATGGTTTACAATAAGCGCAGACATATTCTTCACCAGTGCTGGCCATTTGTTTTCGAGTATTTTTATTGTGACGCCTTTCAGATGTGACGTGTCAAAACTCTCAGAGTCGGTAAGTGTGATTATTTGGCAACCTGTTGATAAAACCGAAGGCGGTAAGGGATTAGTGGGATGCGATTGCGCATCGCTAATATCTTCATTCAGTTCTGTTGCGTTAACTGTATTCGATAGATGTGCTGTGTGAGTATTAAACAACAACGATGAGTGGGGATGGTCTTCTTCCAGGGCGTTTTGGTGCATAGTTATCTCTTGATTATAGGTATGTGGAGGAGCATTAATAAAATGCTCCACCGAGTTGGATGGATCGTAGGGTATAGCAGATAGATAGCTTGTGTTGTTTTGCATGTTCGTTTCTAATATACCGTATGAGGGAAATTGTTGACGATGGTGATGTTGCATCGACATTTGTGATATATGATGATGATGCCTACGCGCATGCGCCTGAACCATACTTTCCTCTAACACGTCTTCATCCAGATCGTCTTCATCGTTTTCGATATCTTCCTCTCCGCCATCCTCATCTTCTTGATTGTGTCTGACTGTATTATTAAGAGCGCCACGAAACTGCAATGCGAAGTAGTTCGTTTCTAATGTTGGTTGTTGTGGTTGAAAATGAAAAAACCTTTCGGGATCTAAAGAATCACTACCACCACTGCCACTAGTACTGGCGATTGAAACATTTCTAGACTGTTCGGTATGAGCATCATTGCTTACTTGCGTATCTGCAATTTCATCTTCAAGCGGATGCATGTCAAGATCTTTCCACTCAACTATCCTTTTGATGATCTCCAAACTGAAATGGATTTTCTGTACAGCCGCGCTATCGAGCCTTTCAAAAATAAAAAGATTGTCAACCAAATGTTTAAGCCAATTATCATCCAACTCCTGCTTTGCGATCACCAAAAATGAGGCCAATACTCTGGCAGCCAAAAATTGTACGTATTCGTTATTGTACCCAGACAAAATAATAATTTCATCAATGAGATTGTGATCGTTACGAATAAGAACATCGCAGACATCCATTATACGTGCACATATAAATCCTTTCGAATTTTGTTTTAGATATATATCGAATAAAAGTTGTAAATTAGAAAGGAATTGCAAAAGTTTTTCCGTTGGCCATTCCGAGAGGTTAGCAATTCGTTTTTGTCCATTCGCGTCCAGCGAGTAATGTGATTGAAACGGTTTTCTAAGCGTACGTTCAGATACACCACATAGGCATTGTTTGTTTAACGAAGCTTCAAATTCCCGCATGTCCTCAGAATGAGCTGCAGCTAATCTTAGCGTAGCATCTGTTAGCGTCTCTTTTTGTTGAATAGCTTTCGTTGTTAAAAGCTTGGAATTGGTTGCTTTTATAGTGATCGGAAGTAGATCTGGCATCTGGCACGGTATTCGGTCCACTTCGTCTGAACTGATGCCAGATGCACACTTTGTTGGCATTTCCGGATTGGTTAACATGTTAACACTTGCACTGCTTTTACTATCTATTACTCCTGGCAGAATGTGGGCTACCGTTCCTTGTTCATTTAATAAATGGGAAAACGATGTGGCACGTGATCCACCAGGGGTAGAGGTGGGAGAATTGTTTGTCGAACTGGGTGTCGAAATTGAATTGGCGGAAGACGAAAGCGATGAGCAGCGTAACTATGAGGGAAAAGAGTTATTTATTAAGTTGAAAGCCATAATTGATTTAGTAAAACTTACACCACCGGTATCAATAATGTCAGGCGGCAGGGATGTTGCTGCAGTTGTCACCACTTTGGAGGAAGCTGATTTAATAACTTTAGCAGTTTTATTCTGATTCGATTTGATTTTTTCAATTTTTTGTCGTTTCGTCTGTGGCTGCTCTGCATTGCTGTTGTTACTGTTGCAGTTGTGATTGTTGTTGTTATTGCTTGAAGAAGCTTGCGTGGGATTGGTATTGGCAGTGCTCAGCTCTGCTTTAGTCGCTGAAGAATTCGACATTTTATAAGTTCGACGCACCTCTATAAAGGTTCGGCCCTTACGGTCCTTTTATTATTATTATGATTCAGATAATTGGGATAATTCAAATAACTACTGTAAAGAAAAAACATCCAATTTATTCACAATATTTGTTTAGGAACGTCTTTAAATATACTATTTACAAATTTATATGGTTTGTTTACTTAAAAACTAGCTCCCGATGTAATCTCTTCTTCGACAGTCAACAACAAACAAGTATATATTAATAAATGAATAATATCGACAAATTTCTCAAGAAACATCTGTGCCTTGCTATTGGACAAAAGATGCTACTGTGTTACGCTTTTGCAAGGTTACGTATGCACTTCAGAAGCAACATCAAAACCACGCTCAGCTTTGTGCTGTTGCTGCTGTTTAATAGTGGAGGCGTCGATTCTGCATTGAATCAAATGCGCACACGCGGCAGAACAAACTGCTTACTTACGTTGGCATTTTTTGATCATCCCTATCGCATTTTTTACCAATAATATATTATTTATTGAACATTTCGGTGTATATAAAGTACTCCTTATTTTTAGTTGCCTATTTACCTTTTTCTATCTTGTTTTCGCCTTTTGCTTTTTAGCAGTAGCAATAGACGAATGACACTTTCTTGCTTCTCTCGTTTTTTTGAGAGACCGTTTTCGTTTTCTTCACTTCATTTTGTTTGCTGCACATTTTCCTTGAAGCAAAACTTCATCTTTCACTTTTTAAGTAACAACGGTTTAACACAAATTCGATGCAAATTTAGTGCGTTAAAAACATTTCTCCACAATTATTTAGACCTATTTGATTGTACTTGGTTTTGCTTTTTTGTTGGAATTTGACTTCTTAATTACACACACCAATACACACTAATTCGCAGTGCAACCAATGTAACGACAGAACAATAACCAACCATTTATTACCAGTTTAAGGGTGCCACTTGGTTTTTGTTAAGTGTAAGTAAATTATTCACAAACACTAAAGAGATATTTATTTTTTTTTAGTTTGTAATTCTTACGTTGTCAGCTTTATTAATATTTTTTCATATTTTATGATAATTATAAGAAACATTATGTTATTATATTAGATAATAAGAAAAAAATCCTCCTTCCTTTCTAATTTAGATTGAAATATAGATGACGCCGTATACTATTCTGCTGACATTAACTGAAGTTTAAATGACGCGCTTAAGGTGGAGCCACAAGAAACTTATGAAAACTACTTAATCATTATGAAAATACAAAATACCTATATTTTGAAATTATTTAGAGGTTTTTCATTATTGGCTCGATTAGCTATGATTTTTGTGACGTATGTAGTATGAATAAATCAAAGAGATGGTATGATATAATAAAATAGAGAATTAGTTATGAGCGAAATGTGCAAAACTTAACAAATACTTAGGCATTCAATTCTATCTATAGCTTTAGTTTTTCATTCGACATTGACAAATCTGCACAAGGAGGAATAAGAAGTTGAATTTGTTTCAACTGGATTCGGTGGTTGGTTTAGTCGTTATTAATTATTGTGCTCGTTTCTAAGAACGTTGTTAATTTGTTATATTTCAAGTTTATCAATTAGTTTGCTTTCTTAAATTGCGGCATTCATATCACGATTGTACAACAGTCAATATAAATTTGTAACAATTTCTCGTTAAGTTACATCCAGTATTTATATAGGCCATTTTCTTCGCAGAAGTCAGATACTATTTAGGAAAATGGCAGGACCACTACCTTTGCTATCAGAGGAACCGGCTTATCAAAAGCTCCAACAATTTTACAATGCTGAGGGCAAAAATATTAATATGAAGGAACTCTTTGCACGGGATCCCAATCGCTTTAACAAATATAGGTAAGTTTTAGAATTTCCATCATTAATAGATATTATCAGCGCATGAAAAAATTTGATAGTCAATAATAAGTTTGTATAACAAGGTTTTATATGGTATATCTATAATTGTATCTACTTATGTATACATATATATGTTCAAATGCACATGTATATCAATGCATATATTTGTATAACAAACCACTTGGAACTTAATTTAAATTGGTAAAAATTTATCCTTTATTTTTATTACATCTAAAATAAAGATAAAAACGTTAATTAACCTTTGTAAAGCAAACACTTCTGCTATTTGATATTGGTTAGAATGGATCGTATCAGTAAATTAAAAATAGTAATTTTAAATACAAATTGTTGGATGCCTAATGCATATATAAGGTGATAATTAAAGTTAATTAACTTTATCAAAATTACTGCTTCACCAATATGAATGGCATTACGAAAGTAACTTACATACATATGTATATATATGTATGTATACCTACTGACTAACATTGTCCCATGCTTACATTAGAATTATACATGTAGACATATGTATGTATATCTAATATATAATAAATACACGTACGTAAGTTTTCTTTTCAAAAATATTGTGAAACAAAAAATTTAATTTAGCATATTATCAAAAACATATTTTCAATCTTTTATAAAAAGTATGCACATTTGAATACATATATATAATCGTATATAGTGTTTTATTTGTATAAACGATTTATAATAATATGTATGTGTAATAAATGATAGTATGTGCGTAGTTGACCTTAAGGTTGACCTACACAATTCGATTGTACACGTAGACGTTTGTGTACATACATGTCTATCCATCTAATTGAGAATCTATTTCAACCAATTGCCTATCTTTAAAAGCGTTCTAGGTGAAAGTTCTTTTTGTAGCACTTAGTATGTATATATTTAATTTTTTTCATATATATGTATACATACATGTATACTTAGTATGTAGGTACTTTTGTATAGTAGATTTTAAAGAGGGCCTGAAGTCTCGGTGGTGGGGCACATTCACGTGGCCAGGTAGTGCATGATAAGCCACACTTTTTTGAGATTGAAGAGTGGGGACGTCATCTGCAGTTACGTGCTCCAAAATATAGCAAAAAATTTTACTTTCTGCCAAAGATTTGTATAAAATTTTCGTAACTTTAAAGATTGCTTCATTTTTTATTTCTAAATATCATAAATAAATATGATAAGGAAATGTTGGATATGTAAATATAAATCAGATTCTGCGTTATTTTTTAATATGGACTTTTAAATATAAAGTAAATTGCGATTAGCAGAGTTAAACTAAACTAATATTTTACATTTTGATAAGGGATAAATGTAAATGAGTCCAAGAATCTTGCTTATTTAAAAGAAACAGCAAGCAGTCAAAATATAATGATGTAAATGTAGAATGTTTATGTGCTTATATAAGCTGCCGGTTCATCGTATTGTAACGAAAACTTTTCTTTTTACATATTTTAGCCTTCGCCTTAAGACCCCCAATGATGGCGAGATTTTGATTGACTACTCAAAGAATCGCACCACTGAAGATGTGTGGCCCTTGCTGTTTGACTTAGCGAAAGCACGCAAGGTAACCGAAGCGCGCGATGCCATGTTCGCTGGACAGCCTATCAATATTACAGAGAACCGTGCAGTACTTCATGTAGCCCTACGAAATCGTGGAAATGAACCAATTCTTGTCGATTGCGCTGATGTTATGCCATTGGTGCGCGGGGAATTGTCGCACATGAAGGAATTCACCAATCAGGTCATTTCGGGTGTATGGCGTGGATGCACTGGCAAACAAATCACCGACGTGGTGAATATTGGCATTGGTGGTTCTGATTTGGGACCGTTGATGGTGACTGAAGCCCTAAAACCATACTGCAAAGGTTTGCGTTCCCATTTCGTGTCGAATATTGATGGAACACATATGGCAGAAGTTCTGAAGCGCGTCAGCTATGAGACGACACTGTTTATTATTGCATCAAAAACATTTACCACACAGGAGACAATAACTAATGCCACCTCTGCAAAGAGCTGGCTGTTGGAGCAGGCCAAAGATGTATGTTTTATGAATAAGCCTTTAACTTTTCAAAATATAAAATCGATCCGTTTATTCTGTATGATAGCCCGCGGCTGTTGCTAAGCATTTTGTAGCTTTATCTACCAACAAGGAGAAGGTGACCGCATTCGGTATTGATAGTAAAAATATGTTTGGATTTTGGGATTGGGTTGGAGGACGTTACTCTCTATGGTCTGCCATCGGCTTATCGATTTGTTTGTCGATAGGCTTCGAAAATTTCGAGCAATTGCTTGAAGGTGCTCACTTCTTAGATAATCATTTCAGAACAGCACCTCTGGAGGAAAATGTAAGTAATAAAGTATTTTGTTTCATATCCTTCGAATAAAACAAGATATTATGTATTTTAGGCTCCTGTAATTTTGGCTCTATTGGGTGTTTGGTATTCGAACTTCTTTAATGCCGAGACGCACGCTTTACTCCCTTATGATCAATACTTACATCGCTTTGCCGCATACTTTCAGCAGGGTGATATGGAGAGCAATGGAAAGTTTGTGACCAAAACCGGTTCTAAAGTTGTCACGTACAATACTGGTCCAATTGTGTGGGGTGAACCCGGCACCAATGGACAACATGCGTTTTACCAACTGATCCATCAGGGCACTCGATTGATACCCTGTGATTTCATTGCACCAGCACAAACACACAACCCAATAGCTGGTGGCGTACATCACAAAATTTTGTTGGCAAATTTCTTGGCTCAGACTGAAGCTTTGATGCAAGGTAAAACAGCAGCACAAGCGCGTTTGGAACTTGAAGCCGCGGGTATGTCTGGCGAGAAATTAGAAGCTTTATTACCACACAAAACATTCACCGGAAACCGACCAACAAACTCAATTGTAGTGAAAAAAGTGACACCATTCACTTTGGGTGTTCTTATTGGTAATAAATTGAGTATAATTTAATTTTTAGTTGGAATTGTCTAACATTTTACTTTCTTTATCAAAGCATTATACGAACACAAAATATTTACACAAGGCATCATCTGGGATATCAACTCTTTTGATCAATGGGGTGTGGAATTGGGCAAACAATTGGCTAAGGCAATCGAGCCGGAATTAGCCACACCAAACGACATAACTACACACGATGCGTCTACAAATGGACTAATTAATTTCCTAAAAGCAAATTGGTAAATCATACTTGACAGTTTTATGTAACATGTTCCAGCCGAGGTACAAGATGACCCCAAGCAGTTCAAAGCACAAATGCAAGCCATCCCACTAAAGTTGTGTAAAAAATTAGAAAATAATAAAATTACGTTTCCACCAAATTGAATTGCTTAATTCCATTAATTAAAACTTACTCAAGTTTAATAATTTCTTAGTCACTACAATGCTTATAATTGTGAATGCAAATTGAATTTAAATTTATTGATTAAAACAAAGCACTTACCTTTATTGCAAAATTTAGGTTTTGTTAAATTATATCGTCAGCTATTGTTAATTGATTACTATACTTCTAAAAGGTCGAATATGACATACTCAGCATGCCGATAAAGTACTAGTAACTGTTGTACTCTATGTATATTTAAAAGATAAATATATTCGATGTTAGATGGATAATTATTATTCTCTTTGTTTTTATTCTTCAAAGATTTTCTAGGAATATCTACATATTCTTTCCATTTTGTTGAGCTGCAGACTATTTACTTATCGAAAGGGAAAAATATGAGCGGTATAAGTTACAGCTTTTTCTAAAACGAGATAACTTAAAACGAATGGGATCGAAACTTGAGATGTCCCCAGTACGAGCCACTGGTTGTGCCATTAAGGGGTTACATAGGTCTTGAAGGCCAAAAAAGCTCATTTTCTCTGATTTCTTAAAACATACTAAATAAAGTACAGAATTTATTTTGTTTACATATGAAAGACCATTATGTGGAATTTGAACAAAAAAGTGCTTTCGCGGTAGCCATGATAACTTTTTCAATTTTTATCTGAAATCAAAAATCAAATTTTTGCTTAAAGTAGGTGAATTTGCCTTGTCACTGAACGAAGAAAAATTAAAAATTGAATATTAGCTTGTAAAATGAGTTCAAATCGAAGATAAATTTAATCCTTCGTTCAGGGACTACAAAAACATGCTTAAAAGAAGTGTGGAAAATTTGAACTCGATCTGTTCAATAATCGGTGAGAAATTTTGACTACCGATTTCGATAGTGGTTTTAAGAAAAACGCGTTTAAAGTGTCAAGTGTTCAAGCCATGACAACCACGGTGGGTTAAAAAACTCTCTAATTCCTACAGTTTGGTCTCGCTCGACTTGAAACTAGGGGAAAATATTGGACTTTTATACAAAAAAAATTACCAAAAAATGCATTTTTTGAAGTTTCAAGACCTGGTTTAAATAAGTACAAAAGAAAATTAAAACTACAATAAAAACAAATCTATTTTGTTCACTGATTTAGTATACATTGAACTGTAAACAAATTTTTTTCACGTTTCCATTTCTTCGCCATCGTCATCATTCTCACTTTCATCATTATCCTGAGAATCTTGGTCCATGTTCTCTACACTATCTTCAATATCCTCATCCCATTCATCGTCCGAAGCGCTTTTATCGTTTGCATCATCCAGGTCAGAATCAGAAGAGTCTGTGAATAAATTTCAGTGAGGAATTTTAAAGTTAATAATTGCCACGTACTACAAACCATTATCCTCATAGACTAATACGTTGGCACTGTTTAAGTTATCCTCATTGGTGTTGCGTTTTATTTGATTTATCAATAAATCCAGACGCCCAGAAACTCTGTAAAAATACATATCATTTTAAATGGGATCAACTTCGAAAAGCAATAAACATAATGAAAGATAGCCTAGCAACAGACGCTTAATCTTACAATGCAATTATTTATAATTAAAGTTCAAACAAAAAAACATACTTCGACAATTCCTTTAAGCAGTTTACACGATGTTCTATTATGCCTATGCAAGGACCGAATTTATTTAAAAGATCATCAGATCCTAAAGCCATTAGTTGACTGGAGTGAGTTTGCACAAGAATTTTGAGCCAATCAACCGCATACTCGACACTGTAAAAAATATTTTGTAACAATCAAATGAGCCCTCAATGTCAAATACTTACTTCATACGTTTTTGCTCCATGAACTGAGTTAATTCTTGGACCAAGGGACCTACATATTGTACAGGTAGTTTGTGAAGAGTCAGCTGAATAGTTTTAACATCGTGTGTATGCAACACAGAGCGTAGAAGGCTATTTGTTTAATATAAAATGTATATAAATATGCTATTAAAATGAAATTTTGCGTACTTACACATTGTCCTTACTATGAAGTGCCTGCACTAACAACTGTACTTTACTTTGGGCCTGTGGAGTTCCACTTCCGGGTGCTACATTTAAATTTAAGTTTTGAAGTCGTGACTCCATAGGCATTTCTGCAGCCTTCAGTTTCTTCTTTGATACAGTAACCGAGGATTTATAGTCTACATCGACATCATTAACTATAGGGGTGACTATCTTCTGGGACGTAACAGCTTTTCCATCTTTCTTCAACAATTTCCCTCGTGTCAAGTATAAAGTTTTCGGGTCAGTTCGTATGAGCACTTGTAACTTTTCAGTGAAATTTGGTTTGATGTGTTCAAAAACCAAAAAACTCTTGTTTCCATAACCGAAAATCAGTTCTTCGGAGCGAATGGTGTGCTGTAGAGACGCTGCCACCGCTGGTATTGGAGCAATAACGGTTGAACTATCAGATGCTACTTCAATGGTTAGTTTTGGTTTTATTGGTTTTTCTGGTTTAATACTGTAAAGAGAATAAGTTTAAAGTATACGTTTTTTGTTAATTAACGTATGTGTGTATACTTTTCTGCAGGAATGAGGTACAAATGAATTACTCCACTGCGTGTTACACTCGCTACTCGTACATTACGATCATTATCTACTTGACAAGTAATGCAATGTGCAACATCTTCCATAAGTAGCGTGGAACTAGCACTCTTATTTCTACCTTTTTTGCCAATTTTCCAGAGACAAATTATACGCTCCATGCGTGATGTGCTTATGACATATTCGGTACATTCGTCTAGTATTAATGAGCTAATCAAATTAATATCTGATGTATGTCCAGTAAATGTTTGAACTAATTCTTGCGTAGCAACTGAATAAACTTTAATTTGACGGCCACCGACAACAACATTATTAGATATTCCCAAATAAATAATGCTATAAGGTTTTTCTGTTCCCACTGACCAAGAGGAAAGCTGCTTTTCATCAGAAAGTGACCATACAATTATCTGACAATCTTCTCCACTACTGAATAAGTGGCCTTCCGCATCTTGGGCCAGGCAGGTAACCTTCCCACTATGTCCTTCTCCTTTCAAGTTTCTTTCAATCTGCCAATGATTGGATAGATTAAGTTCAAACTGTGATTATATTCAAACCGGTTTTGTCTATTACCTTTCCTAACGCGTAGGAATACAGAGATATTTTTCCATTGCTAGTACCAAGGGCTATATAAATTTCCTGACCATCTTTGCTGGAACTTGATAGTGGCTTTCGTGATTTCTTAGTCTGATTGTTAAATGTAATTGAAAATTGAAAGCATCTTGGCAAAAATAAAGTAATAACAGACCTTTTTTCCTTCCACTATCCCATCGCCAGCGAAACTAGTAATAACCCACGTGAGTGCGGTGCATGGTCCGGATAACTGAATATTTGGCGTATACTCTTGCTTTAATTCATTGGTTTCTGTGTCCCATATTCTAAGAATTCCTTGATCATTAATAAAAGCAAACAATTTACCATCAGGTGAAAAACTTAACACGTGCTGTTGTCCCAGCGCCATCGCGTCCGTTCAAATAAAATAAAAAATTATAAATAAGAGTATGAAGTGAAGCAGCTGGCAGTTGTCATAATCTAGAGATGCCACATGAGGCATTTTCAGATATTTTTAAGGATAATCTGAAGCTGAATTTAAAAATGGTGAAATTGAGAAAGCAAAAAACATTTCAAGATACCGGTACGGCAATTATATAATATAAAGAGAGAAACCGATAACCTCATAAGGGTTTAGAGGGCATGAATCGAATGTTCATTATTAAGAACATTTAAACACAATATAAGAACGAAGCGCACACTGTTGCCATGTTCACTTCAGTTTGCAGCTCGGTAGGGACAACATCCGTGCAAAGTGTAAAGTGGAGCTGTGTTTATAAAAAGTTGCAAAGAAAGCAAATTCTGCCCTTCTTTCTTTTAATCCAGTGTTCGAATTGGAATCATCAAGGGGTATTTAGCAAAATTCGTTACCTTAGAAGTAGATCCAAAGATTAATTAGCAACATTGTTACCGATTATTTGTGCCATGCCATAAAGTCGTAGTCGTTAAATAATCCAAATCTGGGCAAAATTTATATTTACTAATATACAATAAATTCTGCTATGGGATTTAAAATATTGTATGACTTTAGATAATTACATTGATTATGTATATTTATTTTGCGCAGCTGTTTAGGGTGAATAAAATGCTTTGGCCATAAGCATCACCTGCAATTTTTTTTATGTCTGGTAGCATCGTAAACTCACCATGCATCAAGAAATAGTCAACATGAGTGCAGCACCAAAGGGCTGTGTATAATGTTTGGGAATTGCCGAAAAAATATGTGTTGTTTTGATTTAAAAATTTAACGTAAATTTATTGGAAGTCCACTGCAACGAGTTACTTAATCTGCAGGACAGCAGAGTTTTGAATTCAGCCAGGTGTCATGACATTAGTGGTTTTTGACATTGAATGTGTTGTCTTTTTGGTTGTCAAAATTGCGGCAGAATCGTGGATCTTGCGGTCGCACTGTGCACATTGAGATAATTATATGTTTATTTCATTAATTTATTTAATACTGTGCAAAATTGGACAAACTATTGTTGATAGCTAAACCAAAAAGCCGTGAGTGATGATGACTTCTTATATGAAACTATTTGAAGACTTTTTGCAACGGAAGGAATGTGATGGAACTCGCTCGGTACCTACTGCGTCGGAAGACGAGGAAATAGAGGTATTTATATTATAAATATATATATGCCCAAATGTATATTTTTTTTAAATATAATTTATATCATAACTAACTAACATAACTTTTTTCGATCAAGCCGTAATTTTTAACAATTATCTAGGAAATCCATCTACATAGTTTTGTATTTGTTTATAGTGCTTAAGAAAAATAATGGTGAAATTCCTAAAAATCTATTACTTAAAAAAATGAGAGTATGAAAAACAGTGCTGCCACATAATTGTTTAGAGCAAATTTAAGGCGAATTTATAGTTTAAAACATTGTAATTTTAATGTTGAAATAAATTACAAAAATCTAACACGACGGCAGACACGCCAATGCTATGACACAATAAAAATTTTGGTTTTCAGGGATTTTTTTTTTAGATCAAAAATCTAAAAGTCTCATTAAGAAATTAACTTCTTTTTGAAATCCCCTATTTTATTCTGCAAAATTTCCAATACAATTCTTTGAAATTGATTTAAATTAAAATGTTGAGCGACGAGAATTTCCATACAGTAGCAAGTATTCATCATACACATCAGTGCCGATCTGCCACGCAACGCACGGTTAAAGTTCTATCTGCAACGCAACTTTCATTCTGGGATAGTAAAGTACAATAATAACAACATTTTCTCTTCTAATATTAAAACTACCTCTCTCTTTTCCTTTACATTGCGTAATAGTTAGTAAGGTCTATCTCATTCTGAGGAATCTTAGGCAGTCAGCTATCTATACACCCACTGCTACCAGACGCCGACTTGCTATACAAATTATTCTTCCGGTCATCATGTACTCTGAAGTCGTATACAGCAAACATGACAGTTTTTCTGCTCGTAAAATTGACGTTATGTTTAATAATGTCACACGGTACGTGTTTGGTCTTTCCAAATATGAGCACATTTCGTCTTGGAAAGATCAGATATTAGGATGTACGATTGCGGACTATCATAAAGCCAGAAATTGTATTTTTCTTTGCAAGCTCATCATGACTCAATCACCTAGTTATCTTTTTTCCAAGTTATCGTTTACTCGGTCAGCCAGAGTAGGTAATATAATAATACCTTTTCATAGATCACAGCAATCATCAAGGCTGTTCTTTGTCAATGCTAGTCGATTATGGAACTCTCTTCCTGCTAATTTAAGGAGGAAATTAAACAGAAGCAATTTCAAGAACCACATATATATGCATTTTAAAGGCCAAATTTCAAACATAGACTGACCATTCAATAATTGTTTAAGTTTTTGTCATACTCAACTCATTATATATTATAATTATTTTTATTTTTATTATTATTTTTGTTAAGGTATCTGTAAAGTAATATTTACTTATTCTTCACACTATCTCTGTTGTACTAAAAAAGATATGGAAATCTTATTGTACTAATGCTTTGTTATTATTATTAAAATAAAAATAAAATAATATTCCGTCATTGATTACTTTGTGGAAATTGTATACTATAATATTTCCGATATAAAATTAAACTCTCACATTAGTTACCACGAAGCGTAAATCAATAAGCTTATGGTAATAGCAGAGAATGTACTCTAAATCGTAAGAACGTTCTCTTCTAATAGTGAGTAGAATATTTTCAACCAAACTGTGGCAGCTTCGTTTAGTGACGCCATATTGGAAAAGGAAAAAAACTGATGAATAGAATGTGTTAAATTTATCAATAATAGTGTTGTAAAAAGGAAATATTTTATAAAATATATGTCTTATGGTGCATTGTAAGAAAGAATAATAGTTATTATAGAAAACCGAAACGAATTTTAACAAACAATATTGCAGAAGACCATAATTGTAATTACAGTGTGTTTCTTGTAGGGAAAGACTTACTAAAGTTGTGTATACATAATAAATTTGGATATCAGACAGAACCAATGCGTTAATATTATTTAGATAAATGAATTATTAAAATTTTACTAGAAAGCTTAAAATCTAAGTAAAAGTGGCAAACCACATTGTAAATGTTACGCCGGTGCGGCCGAGAGCATCAATAGTGGCAACGGCATCGGCAGCAAAACAAGTAAATGATTTCCCAATTAACTAAAGTAATGTACTTAGGGTTGAGTAATTATTTTTTGGATTTTTCTTAAGCTTTTAATTTTCTTTTTTTTTCTCAAAGTTGCAGTCTATGTTTTGCTTTTCATTATTGTTTTATTTTTGAATATTTCAACAAACTAACATAATTCTTCGTGGTAAAAATTCGCCCACCCTAAAGTACACCCATCTTTATAGTCAAAAAAAATCTCAACTTGTTTATAACGAGCTAATTGTTATTTTTTTTTATCCATACATATTTAATCTTCCTACGAAATTTTTGTCATTAAAAATAATGTCAAAAATTTTTAAAGAATTTTAAAAAACAAATTTATCTAATTTTTTTCATACTGTTTTCAGCAGCAAAATACTTCCCTAGAATCCTCTGAAATTAGTATTGGATGTGGCAATAAAATGGAGCACAGCTATACGCGAGATAATAACCGAGCAGGGGGAAGTGTTAGCACGGGCTTATCACCAGCCCGTACGATACTAGTGCGACGTACACCACAATGCCCTTCTTGTCATACCCATCCTCTTGAAGAGCAGGATTTTGATGATTGCAATCAGGTCAACGTACCCTCATACAATGAAATTTCAGCAAAAGAAGCTATGAATGAGTGTTCGCGAATTGCCAAATATGTAAAGAACAATAACTCCGACGACGACAACTGGGAATCACGCATTAATCAGTAAGTGCTGAAATTAAAAAGGAAAATATTTTATTTAATACATAATAACCTTTTTACAGAATCGGTTGGAGCAACATGCAAAAGACTCTTTTCAAAAAAGTCGTAAATCTATTGGACAATGATCAATTGGGACGATTAGCTAATGTTAATCGCCAAAATGAAGCAATGCAACGGCGTGTTATTGTAGATAAGTCTGCTAGCCGTATGCGTAAAGCCTTGGCATCTGTAGCATGGGATTCGCGTCTAACACAATGGCTACATTGCCTTTTAATGGATTCATTACCATCAACATATATGGCTTCTTATTTGGATATTTTGCAAACATTGAAATCAAAACTACCAACACTAATGGATAAAATGTTATTTGGGCGACCATTAAATGTCAGCCAAGAACTCTTGGCGCCTGTAATGAAAAATAAATGGGAACCAATTATTAATACTAAGATCCGTAAACTAACACATAATGCTGTAATTGTTTCTCTACCGTCTGTACCCACGAGCGGGCCGGTACCGAATCGACTACAAAAATGGTATCACCAATTGGCTAGCATTACACAAATTGTACAAATAACACTTCCTTCAAATGGTGAGAACAGAAAAGTCCAACGTTTTTTTTTTATAAATATAATACAATCGTGGTATTTCATTTCAATACTTTTTTATATAGTCAGTCAAATCGTGCGCCAGCCATTGGAACAAGTGGCAGAACAAATAGTATCGCTTACACGTGTAAAAATACAAGAACTACGAAATGAAAATGCACAACGTAGCATTATATTGATCGGATTTAACGCTGGCGCTGCCCTGGCTTTGCAAGTGGCTATGTCAGAGAATGTAGCGGGTGTAATTTGCATGGGTTTTGCTTATAATACCTTTAACGGTGTACGTGGAAATCCAGATGATCGCTTGTTAGACATAAAGATGCCCATTCTCTTTGTAATTGGCCAAAATTCCGCAAAAACAAGGTATGTTTTAAGAAGTGCATTAAATATCATTAAATAACGTGGAACATTATTTACCACATATTATTGCAGCACCGAAGAACTGGAATCATTGCGTGAAAAAATGCAATCTGAGACATCATTAGTCGTTGTTGGTAGCGCTGATGATGTATTGCGAGTGCCTAAGAGTCGAAGAAAGTTGGATAATGTTACTCAATCGATGGTAGATGCTATGGTTGTGGTATGTCGACATTATTTATGTATACATACAAACATACGTACCATTAAAATAATCTAATCTTTTTTATGAAGGATGAAGTTTACGAGTTTGTAAAGCGGATTCTCACTAATCCGCCCGGACCACGTGTACCGACCGCTATAACAAGTCTTACACATGCTAAACATGGACGAAACGTAATTGTTAATAACGCTGGTGGTGGCGTTAATACGGAAACTGGAGCCAAGGGTATTCCTGGGCAAAGAAAGCGTAAGAACGATGGATCGACAGCCGACCAAGAGACCCCGGTGAAAAGTAAATATGCTAATTCAAGTAGGTTATTTGATCATCCCTTACATGTAGATGTTCTCAAACTAACCCAACTTGTACCTTTGCTGTACTTTTTGAATATAGTTTAGTTTTACATTTCAAAAATATAATAATTACTAAACACGTTTCACTTTTCATGAACTAATCGCCATCAAACAATGATATCACTATTATACCCATATCCCTGAAATCCTTACCGTAACCAAGCAAAACCAAGAAAAGTAAAATTTCCCGATCCATTCCAAGTGAAGCGAAAGGGTAAAAAATCTACAATTTTTTTCTTTTGCACGTTCATAAATACTATATTTGGTCCAACAAAAAGTGTATATTAATTAAAACTAATTCTGTGCATACTTTGCAGTGGGCCGTCCACGCACTCGTCCCTTGATCACCTCTACGCCGGCTAAGGCAGCCCAGACTGGCGTCACTATAAAAGCCACGCAGCAGCAACAACAAAAGACACAGCTTTCACACGGCTCTTCTATCACAAACGAAGATCTCAACATGGCCATACAATCAATTTTAGGTGAAGGTAACGAATTGGATTCCTCGGCTTTGAATTCGAGTAACGAGAGCCCGCAAAGTTCGCAAAAACTTGTGACGAATTATGAAATTTTGGCACCTTCCAAATCGACATCCATAAAAACAGCTTTAATAAATCCACTGCAAAAGGGTACACTCCCAGCTGGTGCTAAAATAAAAATGATACCTTCCAATCAATTTGTGCAATTGAAGCCACCTTTGCAATCACAATCGAAAATTTACACAATAAAGACCGCATCTATGCAGCAGAGCAGCATTACCAGCAATACATCAATTGGAAGCATAGTATCAACATCACCAGCCTGCAGTACTGCCTCAAATCATCAACAACAAATTTTCACGCTGAAATCGCCAAACGGACAGACGACCCAATTCGTTACAGCTGCACCTCCGGGTACGGCTCAACCAAAATACACGGTTGTTAAAAATGCCGCTGGTGGCACCACCCTGCAATTGAGTGGCGTAAAGAACACAAGTACAGCGAACGCTTCAAGCATGGATTTATCAAACATTATAGATATGCCCATAGTGTTTGCTGATAATGATGGCAACCTCTCAGATTCTGTATCAGTGCCAGCTACAACGACTAAGCCAGGTGCGTCTAGAAGAGTACCCGAAACCGTAGTTCTAACTGTATTGCATAATATAAATAACATATGTATTTTCCTATCTCTTGCAGCGAATACATCCAGTGTTGGTCAACTTATTATAAGCCAAAAAATCATTAAAGAGGCGACAGCCACATCGAGCAACACATCCGGTATTGCTACCACATCGCCTAAGGCTGCTGCTGGCACATACATAATTAATAAAACTATTGGTAGTCCAGGCTTGCAACAAACATCTCAAACAGCAGGCAATAAACAGAAAAAAGTGGTTTTTATTAATCGCACAACCATGAAGCCTTGTCCGAATATCATTTCGCGTTCAAATATTACACAGCAAATGCCCAAGTACGCCAAAGTGGTTGTAACAAATCCCAAGACTTCTGCTACGACTCTCGTGCCACGCCCAGCAACACAGCTCTCAACGACACAAATTCCCGTGGTTGCGGCCAGCGGTAACTCGCCAATTGTATCGTCTGTTAAGCAGCTAAACTTGCAGGCACTGAAATCGCCAGTGAGTATTGGTACTCGTCCGACTTCAGGTATTTTAAATGTCTCCACCAAGTCTCTACCGCAAGTGCAAATTATTGGCACAACGGGTGGGGCATCAAATTCGGGTAACTCATCGGCCGGCGGTACACAAATTCGAAATATTGTTGTAAAGCCCGGTGGCTTGAAGCAGCTTCCTACGCTGAACTCGCATGTATTCAATCGCAATTTGACAGTGCGCAAGCTGGTGAATTACGTAGGTGGTACAAACGCTGGCAGTGCATTGGCCAGCTCACCTGGAGTAACCATTGTGGCACAGACCGCTGCTTCAGCACAGGACGTTAGTCAGAGTAATGCCTTAACTACGGCATCGACTATACAAACTTCACCAAAAGTCATAACCTTAAATCCGATCAATCCTTCATCTGGAAGCAGCGGCACGAGCGCGCAATCAAAGAAGGACTGAACGAACTTTACATAACTCAAGCGTTCACTTTTGTACATTTAGCATTAAACCTTGTTTTTAATTTAAAATATTTCATTTATTAATTAAATTAATTTGGTAGTTCAACTACTTTAATATTCATTTTGCCAATAATAAAACTTTGAATAATGTATAATACTTACATAAATAAACATGTGTGTTTATTCTATGCTAAATTGAAGCATACATAAAGTGGAGTCCGAATTGCATTGAATCGGGAACTTGAGAACGGTGTGACAGAATAAATGTTTAAAAATACTATGGAAGACACAGCTATCTATGAAGACCGGGCGATTAGTTTTCAAAACATACTTTGTGTAATTTTATGTGGTAATCGTTTTAGTTCAGACAACTTCCGTTGGTCTCCTGGCAGATTGGTCGCACGTCAGTAGAATCAATACACTTTTTTTAATATTCGTCCTTCTCGGCTCATGCCGGAGTTGGGGGATCCCAACCACTCCCACCATTTCGACAGCACCTCAGCAGATAATTCCAAGACTTTATTTCAAACTCCTTAACTGGAAGCATAGATGTTTTAGTTTTACTCAAGTCTAAAATTGCTGGAGTTTGGGGATCGAATAAAATAGTTAAAAGGTGCTTCCGCCGATTAAAAAATATCTATTTATTTGATTATTCTTTTATTTGTATAATAAAACATTAAATACACGCAAATATAAAAATAAGAATTGCTCATCGATCCATTCGATGAATACACTAGAATACTACTCTCTGACAGACAGATTTTATTTTACAGAATCGTTATATAAATAAATAATCTTGGTAGCTCGTAGCCGTGCTTACTAATGGCTTAGCCGCTTTTGACGCTATCAAAAGGGGTCAAGACACCGGGTGGTCCACCGAAAGTGCCCTGATACTTATTAACACCAGTTCCTAGAGCGGTCGCGGTTACGCCGGTGGCTGGAATACCAATTCGACTGACAAAGCTAGGGCTCGTTGTCTGTTTTGGGGCAGCTGTGGGCGCCTGTCCAAATGTCAAGTTCGTAGCGGTGCGAATAGATCCATCCGTGTTCACTGCGGAGCCAAATTTACCACTACCCAAAACACCTGGAGCTCCGCCAAAACCACCAGTATATTTGACGCTTCCGGCACTGTTGAAGTTCGTTTGTTGTGTGCTGGTGAAGCTAGAGAATCCGCCGGGCGTCACCGCCTTATTAAAGGTAGACAAACTTCCACTGAAAGTGCTATGTTGAAGTTCTGTGGATTGGAAATAAGTTATTATTAAATAGAGTTTCTCGATTGTATCTCTAAACTTGTTTCAAAAATTAATATTAAGTTGTTATTTTGGGTATGTTTCCTTTCTGTTTTAATTTTATTCTGGATTACAGCTGTTTTTTTCCGGAAACCTTTTTGTTGTCTACCGAAAAGAAACGCCGACTATAGAAGAGGAATGAAATCATAGTATCTTCTTTAGAAGGAATAGAGAGAAGTCTGTACAAGAATTTAGTCGGTAGTTTTTTTTTATCAGTGCTCCAATACCAACTAAATTTCTTGATTAGACTTATCCGACACTCTTCAGCAATTATAAGGATAGTTGGTGCGATGGTTTCCAATTCGAAACACAATAAGCTGTTATCAACTCACTGTTATATGCTGACTCCAGCAATATTTATCGGCTATGGCGAGATATGTACATATACTCGTATCTATTTGCATATTCCATATAATTACCTTTTTGTAATGAAGCTTGTCCGGTCGTGCTACTCGCTGTGCTGAGTCCAAATTGTTTAGTTGCCGCAGTGATGCCACCGTTGTTTCCAAAAATGTTGTTGCTTATAACTTTGCCTTCGTCACTCTTCGTAAATGTGGTTTTCGTCGAGCTTCCAAAATCTTGATCTGAGTCGGCACTGCCAGGCACTGTCGTTGGTTCAAAGGGAGCTGCAAAATTTTTATTAAAACTGGATGAGGAGGGTTTCTTGGAAAATGTTTGGCCAGCTGTAGCTGCTGGTTGTAGTTGAGATTTGCTGATATCATTCACGGCAGCAGTGTCGATGTTACTCTCAGCCTCTGCGTTGGGCGGTATGAATAGGACTGGTGGCGAAGTGACTGCCTCTTGATTGTAATTGTTGTTGTTACTGTTGGGCACTTGCGCGAATGTATTTTGAATGCTCAATGGTTTGACGGTGGTGGTGACTTTTGATGGGAAATTATTAAAAGTGAAAGTACGTGTAGGAGAGGTAGAGGCGGAAGCAAAAGTGGTTTCGTGCCGATTAGTTGAACTAGGTGAAATCTGGAAGGAATTAAAGGATGAGGGAGAGGATGAAATAAAAACAGGTTTTGTTGTGTCAGCCGCTTCGGCTGTTAGTTGTGAAGGAGGCAGTAAATCATTGGATACATCTGAATTTGAATCTTCAGCTTCGTAAATGAACGCTACGCCTGGGCCCAAGTCGGGATAGTCGAAATCAGCCAACCACGGAGGTAAAGTGGCCGAATCGAACGGGTTTTCTTCTACTGGAGTTGCTGCTGTTGTTGTTGTAGTCGTTGTTGTTGTTGTTGATGATGTGCCGGTGAATTTGTCTGTGCTCTTCGTTGCAAACGGACGTGCGCCGCTATTGTGAGCTGGCAAGAAGGGGTTGGCATTCGAGAATGTCGCTGTTGGAATGGCCTTATTGTCCTTTATTTTATTGCTGGCTGTATGATCTACGGTAATAGTGGGAGAATTTTTGTTAAACCTATTGTTAACAATGTGATGGTGGGGCTCTGCTGTCGTTAATCGGGGACTTTCTGTTGTTGTCGTCGTGGTGCTGGTGGTGCCAAGGAATGATGTGCTTGCTTTTGAATTGGGAGAGATGAAAGATGATGCAGAGTTTGAATCGTGCGATAGTGCAATATGATTAGATGAAATCCGATCATTGAAAGATTTCGGTTTTTGGGTGCTCGTAGTGGTGGTTGTTGGAGTGGTTGTGGGATAGGCACGCACCCAATGCGGCCGTGGTGTGGAAATAGTGGAGCTGCGTGAAGTAGAGGTGTATACTTCGCTTGTGGTAGAAGTTGCAGCTGTGGTACGTGGGCGGTTGGTAGTGGTTGTAGTTGTGTGCAGGCCTTCAGGTGCTGGCAAGTCTATGTTATTGAGATCGGTATAGGGTTCAAGTGGTGGAAGAATATCTCGAGATATGGTGTCATTGTATTCGTGTATATTCTCTGGAACAATATATGTAACGGCTGCATCTAATTCAGGATCATCTATATCGGCCAACCATGATGGTAAGGTGTAGGAGTCACCATGTTCCAATTGGTAAAAGTCTTTCGAGCTTAATTGTGTTGGTATTGGCGTTGTAGTTGTTGTTGAAGTGGTTTTTTTGGTGGTTGGGGCTCTGCGTGTTGTTGTTGTTATTGGAAGGCGGGTGGTAGTCGTAGCTCTCCTTGTTGTTGTTGTTCTAGGCCTGGTTGTAGTAGGCCTAGTTGTAGTAGGCCTAGTTGTAGTAGGCCTAGTGGTATGTGGAGTAGTGGCCCTGGTGGTACGTGGAGTAGTGGTCCTGGTCGTACTTGCAATAGTTGAGCTCGTAACCTGAATGCCACTGCCTGGGGGTAGATTATTTTGCGGTACCACTGCATCGCTTCCCTCACTAGAGACTCCATGCGACGGACCTTGGGCACTCACACTATGTCCTGAAGTAAGTGAAACTTTCGTATTGTGCGTTATCGGAGTTACACTACTATCAGCGGTGATTAATTTTGGTTCTTCTTGAAATGGTGGTAGGAGATCCCATGCTATTACCTTTAACGATGACCCGTCCTCAGCCGGCATGTATTCCACTGGACCATCAATGTCCGGATCGTTCAAATCAAGTATATAAGACGGCAAGTTGCTAGATTGGCTGCTTAGAGAGAACAAGTTCGACTGCGACGGCTTCAATTCAACCAGCTGTGCATTCTCTACATCCACGGTGGTGGTGGTGAGTGCAGTAGCCGCAGTTTCCGGCACTGAGTTTTCACCATCAATCGAATCGGTCGGCACAGCAACCGCAATGGGATCTAAGGTGGGAAGGGGAGTATGATATTTAGCAGCTATGCGATTAATAGTGGCTAGATCAGTAGGAACGTTTGGATAGTTAAAATTACCATTACTAAAAGGAGGCAGAGCGTTTCTGTGGGACGATGATGAGGGAATGGGACTGCGTTTAGCGCGTTTGATGACATTTTTTTTATAAAAATTGTTACTAAATGAGATTAATTGAGCTATGGCGAGTTCCGTTTGATTAGCTGAAGGGGGGTGAGGTGCATTAAATTTAATATGAGGTTTTTCATTGTGGGTTAAATCAGGTAAAGTGTGCTTAATAGAATTTACTTTGGTTAAATGAGTAAAATATGGTGGTTCATTCAAATGCGTTGGCGCGGAGGTAAGTGAAATTGGTGCACTAGTGGTGGTGTTGATGTTAACAGTATTTGTGGTGAATGCCTTTATGATACTATCGATAAGTGGGCGTGCCTCGTTATGTAAGTGTTTGTGTGATTTATTGTTTTCATTTTGTTGAAAGTTTGCCTTGTTTTTGTATACAAGAGTGCCAATGAAGCCAGAATCATACTCAAGACGGTTTTCATTACGACTTTTTCCGTTCTTGTAAACTGTTATTCGATAAAGGTCGGAAGTTTTCGGTTTAGCGTACTCGTTTACACTGCAATTGGTTTTACTGTCTGTGTCAAGGTCAGATAAAATCGTAGCCTCAACACGGTGACTTTTATTTAAGATATCTGAGAATGTATTATATTCATCGTCATTATGGCTAACCGAATTAAACCTTTTGCCACTGTTAACCTCACCATCTATTGTGCCATCTTTTGTGGAGTTGTCTTCTTTGCCACGAGACCGCTTTGTCATATTATAATTATTAGTTTCGATTATGTTTTGTTGGTTTTGTGTTGCACTAAAATCTGTATAGTTTTTCGCATAATTATTAGTGTTATTATTGAACTCACCAATGAATGGTGGCAGTAAGTCATCGGCTGGCTGCTTTATCTCGGTTATGCCTGAGGCATAGTTGGGTATTTCAAATTGTAAGCCCTGCGCACTGATCACCTTCCGACCATCGGGGGTATCGATGGGCTTGAGCGTCTCAATCGGATTACCATAACTATCGACGGCCGATGGATGACTTTTGCCGCCATCGTTACGCACACCAATATCACTTTTCAGAGCAGCGGCAATCGCTTCGGAGAATTGTGTCGGTTGCGTTTCTAAAGGAAATGGTGATTGTGGTGGTGGCGCAATAGCATCTGAAATAATGAATTGGTTGTTGTTGTTCTTGTTGTGTTTGGTTTTGTGTTGGATTTTTTGTTGTATTTTTTACTGTACACAGGAAGTATTATATATAAACATACAGGACTATTTATGTATACATATAGATATGTGTGCATTTAGGAAGTAGTGGAAATAGTTGAGTTGGCCGTGTGCGTGTTTGTGTGTTGTGTTCTTGTTGTTGTGCTGTGCATTTTCTCTCAAACTCGACTACAGACTTACATACATATAAATGAGTGCAGTTTTAAACTTGACTAAAAGTAGAAAATCCATTTTTACTCTCTTTAAAAGTGTCTGGGATGCAAATGTTTGCCGATGGGATGTGGTTTTCATGATTTTTTTTTAGGTTAGTACGCCCAAAACCACAAAGCAATATGAGATTGAAAAATACTATTACAAAAATAAATGTTTTTTTTGCCCTGACTGCCATTTGAAACGAAAGTCAGAATTTCACCCTTTTTTAATATACATAATTGTCGTCTTGTTATCGCTGCGTCTCGATATTTTACCAATAAATGGGGAGACCTACAATTTATATTGAGTCGCCTCGGAGCTGCTAATTTCATTCGGCACTGCAAAATACTTCATCAATCGCAACCTTTATAATAATTGCACATGTCTAACAAGCGGAAGTACATGACAAACATACATACATAAATATATGTATTCAGGAAGTTATGTAAAATATCGTTACTTTTATCATTTTTTCAAATTCCTTTTTTTCTTGTTGCTGTTGTCAATGCGCTCACTGTCAGTGGTCTTTGTTAAAATAATATAAAAATAAATTAACATAATTAAGTTGTTGCTGGCACATACACGTACACGCATACACACATGCCTGAATATTTAGTTTTCTTACAAAAGCTCTTTACTATTCAATATTTACTGTCAACCTTCTTTTTTTTTACGAATTTAAAGCGCAGCAATTTATCTTCTGATTAGAATCACGAGTGACAATTAAGCATCGCTTATACCTTCAACACTTTACGGTAATTATAAGCTAGCAACAACCGGCGTTCTGTGACAAGTACTTACATAAGGAGTTAAAGGTTTCTTTGGCTTCATTTAAATTGCTTCTTTTATTATTCGTCATCGTTTTTTTTCGTTTGTTCTTTAATTAATGTCATTATCATTTGATTTCTCTTTTAGTTTTGCTTTAACTTTTGCTTTTTTATCTTAAAAATTCAAAAAAAAAAAATTGTATTCAGAAGTTGCGTAGCATTGTGAGTAATTACTTAAATGTTGCCGATTACCTGCGCAGCCGGTTTATATATGTATGTACATATGTAATTGGCGCTTTTTAACCGCCGAAGCGATTTTCGGACGAGCTTCAATTTATGGTTTGAGTCTTGATATCGCCCAACAATTGTAAGGAATGCACTCGGAGGGCGTGACATTCCCTGCCATGAGGCGACCGAAATTGGAAAAAAAAGAATTTCATTTTTAAGTAAACCCAGGAGGTTAAAAACTGTATAACATATTTTTATAAACCTCTTTTGAGTTCTAAATAGAATTGTGCGTCAAAAATATAATAAGTTATTGTTTTCCAAAGCCAAGTGTGGCTCTTTTCGCAAAATTATTTGCCATATTTTCATTATATAATATTATAGTATTATAATTATCATCCCTCCTAAAACTATTCATTGTTCTTTTTAATACATACATACACGTAAGTACATATATATTATATATGTTAATATTATGTGTTTGTATAACTTATTGTAAGCATTATTTAATATTTTTAAATAAAAATATTCATATAACGAGTTACTGACTCAACAACTTACGCCATTTCAATAAAACTTGTCTTTGGTCAAGTGAATACTCATATAAATATTTATGTACATATATACATTTGTATATGCTTGCGGCTAATAATTGAATAATAATAATATGAAACAAAGAATTGAGCCATTATTAAGAAATTCTTGGAAACTTTAAAAAATATTTAATATAATCTATACGTAAATAAATAAATAAATAAATAAAATTTAAAAATAATTCTTAGAATCCCTGAAAAAAATTATTTTTTTCTGCAATATAATAGAAAATTATCAATTATTCCTCGATGTAAATGAATTGTTGTAAGTTTTTACATACAAACATTTAAGTTTTAATGGCAACACGAGGGAGCAGACTTACATCCCTGTAGGAAAATTGGTCAGCGATGGCGACGTCGTCACTAATGAGGTTTTAGTGACATTGTCGCGCTTTCTGCGTTTTATAAACGACATATAGAACTTTTTGCGTGCTCGTTTGAAAGGCTATTGCTACACCACTGCAACTTACATGTCACCGCTGGTTGAATGCCATTAAGGGTTATTGTATGACAATGTAATGTAGAAGTGAACAACGAAATATTAGCATTAACCTAAAGTCATTGAAGATATATTTTTTTTCCTTATAATCTAACTCACTGCTGGCATATACATATACATATATGATATGAGTATATATATATAAACATTCTTTTATACAGTCTAAAATTGATTGCTTGATTGCTTCTGACTTAACAGGTTTGGTAGGATTTTCATTTTCATATTTTTATATAATATTATATTTACACCAGAATGTGAATACACATGTGTGTATGCATGCATGTACCTATGTATACGGTTTGCTAATTTATGAATTTAACTGTGTACATTAGTTTGTATTAATTTACATTTCACACCAAAGAAATTAATTGCAAATAATAATATTTTATGTTGCAGTTTTTCTTATGTGAGCACATCCCTGAAACGGAACTTTGTTATATCTAATTTAATAAACAATTAATCATTATTATTGATTTGCTGCCGGCAAAAATAAACTATTTTCGAAATTCACCTTTGCAAAAATATCGAGTTACAAAAATGAAAAAACAACTGACGGGTCGGGTATCTTGTACACTTAGCGGGACACAATACAAATTATAAAGTTGAGAATTAATTATTTGACATTTCAATGCTAGCGTTAAGACTACAGGGTGTGGCGAAGTCATTTTATGTAGTTATATTAAATGAATGACTTAACTGTAAAACGAAAATGCGTGAAATATTTAGGAGTTAGCGTAAAATTAACCTATACTCGCTTTTGTACGTCTACAAACATGACGAGTGCAAAAAATACCACAAATTTATTGAATATATTTTGCATTTTTTCTTAAATAATTAATTCACTGCGCACAAATTGAAATGCTAGGTATTATATGTATTTACAATGTGTACAAATTAATTTAACAAGTGTAAGATTTGGCCGATTGATGAAATTCCAGTTCAACAAGCACAGCAAATGTCATAAATTTGGTTTAATACCTTAGACATTTACAGAACTCCTACGCTCTTTAGAGGAGTTCAAGTTGACAAGTATTTAATTTCAATTTTGGGAGTCGACAAAAAGCTAAATAAATAATTTTATTTGTATTTTACCTCAATTAGTAAAACAAATACCTGTTTAAGCTTAATTCTGAATTTGGCTATTTAAAGAATTTGTGAATACTTGTGTGGCTCATAAGTAAGCAGTTATGAGTCTGAAAAAAATAAAACGAGTTCACATTGCCTAATATAAACATATGTAAAAAATATACACATTATGTATGCAATTGACAATTTTTTTTTTAACTAGCTAATATCTTTCATGACAGAAATATACCCGGAGATGTTGACATTCCCTGCCGAGAGCTTGACCCTTTAGCTACCCACACGATTACTGAGGCTGCCTACTATAATATATAGTATTTTATAAAAATAAAATAGCGCAACAGAAATAAATATAATAACTAGCATTTTTGATTTTAGGAACACTGAAACTAATGATTTGGGAATTTTCAATGAAAGGCGGAAAATTCGCGAATGTTGTACTTTCTAACTAATATTTGTTGTTGTTGTAGTCTGACCTTGGCTTTCGAAAATTACTTTATTCTTTTGGTGAAGAAAATTAACGGAGCACACCTAATTTTAAGATCGTTTGTTCATTTTCTCCTTCCGTCACTGCATTATTCTAATCCATGAACGTAAGTAGCGAAAGCAAAGACCTAAAATTAACTGAAGCTCTGCGTGCAAATGCCTTGCAATTTTTCGAAAAGAAGGAAGTACAAACGTAGGTATCAATTGTAAAGACAATTTAATGTGCAATTTAATGTGCGGAAATGGAAATGTTGCCATATGTTCACACAATTAATTAAAGAATAACAAAAACATGCTTTAAAGCAGTAGCTTACATATTTACATATATATAATATTTATATCTATAAGTTTAATTGTTGTAGTGGCTGCTTGACTTTGTTAAAATGATAAGATTAACACTGATTTATTTATAAAAGTATATATGATTTTTTTTACATTAAACTTTATGTTAAAAAATAAGATATGTATGAGTGCAGACCGCCTTTAAGTGAATATATTATATACGTTTGTATTTTCGTATTGAATCCACCACAAAGTAATAACTTACTCACTTCATTACAGAGTTTTAGACATGCAATTTGCTTTTATTGTTTAAATTCTTTGTAAAGCATTTAAAAATATACTTAAGCAAGTAATGGCATGGAGATAATAACAACCAAACAAACCAAAAGCAAATGTTAATATGCACAAGAGTCCTTAGGCCTCCTAAACACAAAGAGAGCAGTAAATATAAAAAACAGCATTTAAAATGCTGAAAATACCAAGTTTAGCTGGAGCTCCGAGTGCGGGCGTCACAAAGCACCCACTCAAAGTGGCAACGACGCAAACCGTTAATATCCATAGTCTCGTCGACTCCTGTTGAGAAATGCGCCTTGTTGATGACAGCATCGTTTTATGTTTATTTCTTTTCTAATATATCTGATTTATTTAAGCACTTAAGCTAGTAAAAGCAGTCCAAATGTTTGATTGACACCGTTAATAATCTATTAATATATAATAAAATTTTTTTGTAGTGAATATTATTTTTCAGTTCAAACTTATACCTCATAAATAATGATTGCCTTGATTTTTACAGAAACTGTTTAACTGTCTATTGTGAATTACACTTTTTCATAGTTTTTTTTTTGTTTGTTAAAAGTGTAATACTAAGTGTTTGTTGCAAATTTTACCTCCGACTACTACACACATTATAATGCATTTTAAGTTATGTAAATTTATTTTACAGCAAAAAGGAAAATTTCGGACTTTAATCTACTTCTTGGCGAGATTTAATTTTATAATATAAATTTCATGGGATCTAGTTCTATACCCGTCGGAGGAACAAGTCTTCATTAAATTATAATAGAGACTTCATTAAAGTTCTTTTGAAATTTTTAAAAGCCTAAAAGGTATAAGCTGAAAAAATATTATCGATTTTATATATAGTTAACGAAAGCCTGGGGCTTTGTAATTATTAGCTTGGAGATTTTTTTGCACTTAAACGTTGGTTCGCACTTTATATACATAAATATGTATATATATATTGTTTAAAATTCAAATTAAAATATATAATAATATCTTTATGTATCTGAATGTTTTTGTATTGATTTTCAATTTAATTTCTTTTGCAATACATAGCTATTTTTTGGGCCACATTTTAAATATTGTAAAATATATTTTGTTTTCGTCTGTTCAGTTTTGAAAAGGTTTTGCACTTAAGGAATTTCCCATAATGTTTCAAATAAATATGTTAATTAAATTCACAGAATTGTAACGGTTGTATGGTCTAAGCCGGGCAATTCGTCACCCGTCACCAAAAATAATCAAACCGTAGACACTGTCTCTAAACGAAGAAACGAGACAGTACAAATTAACTCTCGATTTAAATTATTGCGCGAATTACAAAGACGTTATATTTACAAGCATAACTGTGTAGCTATGTATGCACAATACAATGCATCTACCGCTAGTTGTACTAACTTATTTCACGCTGCCTGCCAAGTTGATGTGATCGTGAAACATCAAAAAATACGTCCGCACGGCACGAGTTCTACTGTTTTAATAAACGCGCATTTCTAAAGCGTGTCTTGCAGCAATCGGTCCGTCACCAGCAAAGCTGAAAACACTGTGCTCCCAGCTTTTAACTTAACTTAACAGCCAATATGTATAAACAGGTCGTTTGAGAAGCTGACGACGGAGCCAGCGACAGTGACGGCGATCTCTAGTCAATACACAATAGTGGATGATCATCACGACGATCATCAGCCGTTGTTGTTGTGCTGTGCATCATACCGCTAAACATACTCCCTTACAACTTAGCTCCAGCGACAGTTGATGTGAAGCGAAAAAAGGGAGCTGCGCAGGCGCTGCCGAAACTGCGAAATCAAAGTGCATACATACAGTATACGAGTATGTACTTTGTATATATCGTATAAATATTGTCTTGCATATAACCGCTCGCTTGCTTACTTAGTTGATCGCTTGATCACATAAATGAGCAATCATAGAGTTTGGGCGTTATTATTATTGAATGCTAAGCGCATTCGTTGTACTTTTTCAACACCACGTTTTTAAGGTTTTTATAATAGTTTCTTACAAACACAACACATATACATACTAACATACATATAATATTTTTAATAACTTACAGCTTAATTTTTTCCATCATTGTGATTTTTAGGAAATACATTTTAGTATTTAAGTATGGCTGTAAGTTTGTGGGTAACTATGTATTAGAAAAAATCGCTGTTCAAACGGAAAGCCGTAAAATTTATCGTTTTGATTGTTTCTCTCAGACGCGACTGGGATTTTTTGCTATTATAATTATTGTGCAAAGCCAGCAGCACATGATACATGAAATACATGAAAAAATATGAGATCGTGCCAATAGCTGAGCTGCCAGCTTACTACCCAGCAAACAGAGCCAATAGCACTATCGGTTTAATAGTTAATTAATTCACAAGTTAAGGTCCCCATGGCGGGCAATGTCAAGCCATTCGGTATATCTGATCTGAAATAAAAGCTCCTCATAAAAACCCGTCGGCCATTCGGACACGGCTTATAATAAACTGAATTTCCTTCCATTTGTTGGTGAAACATCAAGACGTACATCACCACTTGGAGTCCAATTCAATGTTTAGTAATCGTCAGTATGTGTAAGGTGTAAAATTCCTTAATGTCTAAAAGAAATTTGAGAACCGTGCAAATGTACAGCTTCAATCCCTAATACTTAGGTTCTCGGCCTTAATAAAATAGTTTGATGGGTATTTATATACTTGCACACTTGAATATGCAATCTTCTATGGGGAAAAAGAATTACATTAAGTGACGGTTAAGTAAAATTTACTGAACTAAGTAAATAACTGTATACGTTAGAGATTTTCTTAAAACTTTTTTTGACTTAACGAACATCTGGCTTTCTTGCTGGAGTCCTTCGTCACTTAGTTATTGGCTTTAGTGGTTTCAGTTGAGGTTTTATGCTAGACAATGCTTGAAAAAGCACATGATTTATCTTTTTGGCTTAAATTAAACCTTCTAAATATATCTAGATAAGGAAAGGGTATTTACTTTCGAGCAACATGGGTTAGCACTAGGCTTGAGAACCCCTATATATCAAGCCAAGCTCAAATTAGAAAAATGAAATACCCGTGTAAATTTCCAACTCTGTTGAGAATAGCGTACTGTATCATAGTTAGTGTCTCTTGCGACGATTTGAGAGCCCGAACTTTCAATTAAGACAAAGTGAAGAAGAGGGAGACTTCTCTTATTTAGGTTCTCTAATTGTTAACAAACAAACAGTCAAAGGAAGAAACGACTGACGGCCTTCCGTGAACTTCGCTATAACGGCGTAGGTGGTGTCCCCGTCATTTAAGAAGAAGAAGAAAAGGTTCACAAAAACTATCAATTTGAACTTTGGCCAAATATTTATTAAACACCATCTTATTGCACATTTTTGTATAATTATAATTTTGAGCGATAATAGTAAGTGCTTGAATTACTTAGTTTCCGGATCAAAACATGTAAATCATTATTGAAAACCAATAACGCAATGGCGAAATAATGCTGTAAAAACATTGCAATAACAGTACCTATTGCACCATCATCATCATTATTATCGTTTTTATTATGCACATTATCGAATTTGTAATCAGTTATGAAATAGAGCAATTAAAGGTATATATTATGATGAAGCTAATAGTGAAAATTGGAAAATACAAGCCCACACATACCTACTACAAATATTATATAACGAAAGTTTACATGACCCAGTGGTATGCGCCAACAGGTATTCAGTTGTCACTCTTGCAGCAAAAGGGAAACGTGGACGACTTCGATAGACAGTCTTGCGAAGATCACCAATGAAAAAATACCTAATATCTAATATAATTGGCGCTTTGAACCGCTGAAGTGATTTTCCGTCGAGCTCCTCCTCCAATTTCTGGTTTTGCGTCTTGATGTTTTCCAACAAATGGAGGGACCTACAGTTTATACTAAGCCCCCTCCGAACGGCTGATGGTTTTTTTTTTATGAGGACCGCAATTAGAAAATTCAGCTTAATTTTTTATTTAAATTAATTTTCTATAATTTTAGGATGTTGGTCGCAGGGGGATTTGAACCCGAGCCTTCCGAATAGCAATACGCATTTCTAACCACTCGACTACCACTACTATGTATGTAGATAAGAGGGAGTTAATTTTTAAAAATTATACTTTTACCACTAAACATAATATAAGCGCTTATTGTCTGCTAAAAGCCTTTGATAAGAGCACTGTATGTGTATGTATTTGTCAACCACATTAATAACGATATATAATTTCGCTGCTGGGAAGAAGTAACAATCATTACAGATATGTACATAACATAATTGTACAAGCATAGCCATATGTATGATATTTATATCGATGAAGGTAAATTTATGCTGCATACTCATGTAAGAGTATTAAATTAAAGTCATCACTCATAAAGAGTTTCGAAAATTGTGGTTAAAGTAAAAATATTGATATTTTAGAAAATTTGTAAAACAAAATAGATAAATAAGTATTTTATCCCCTACACAGCTGTGTTAAAATAACCATGGATTATGTAAAGCAAACCCCAACGGAGATTCTCTATGTGAAATGCCTCATCAGAAAGCTAAAGCTTAAGCATTGCTGTTCCTTTAATAGATTGACAGCTGCATGCTGGTCAGCGCGGTACTAGAGCTAGAATAGCCACCGCATTACCCCCTCCATGCAAGGAATGGTTGGTGATTCAGCTAAGAGATCACTTATAACTATCTCTTACACTCCAAGACGTTAGAATGTAGTAAAATATTGGTACTGCTATTTATGTATGTAGTGAGTGCTTTCACGTCTTCCATTTTAGACCGCCGCTTTGTTTATAAATTACTTTATGCGTGTTTTCACTTAAACGGAACGAGATTTTTGTGGTTTTTTACGCTGATACCAAATTTTTATAGAGTTATGCTAATTCAGAACAGGTTGAGGTTCTATAAATGTATAAACTTGAAAAAAATATACGCGAGCCAACGGCTAAGTTAAGCATTCTGCACATTCTGCCATCGAGCTCTGAACTGGTGTCTATTATTTAACTTTTGTTTTCATTAGAAGCGGAATATTTGTATTTAAATGTTAGTGACTGCTAGAACCTAGAGAAAAATAAATGATTCGCTTCGTAGAAGATTTGAAACTTCCTTCTCGCTTGCTACGATCACGGTTTCTCCACAACATGTGCTGGTGAAGGCAATTTCTAACTCCAGACCAGAGAACGATTGTTGATATACTTCTGGTTTTCTTAAAATTTCATTTATTTTCAAAATAATCATAAGCTTTAAATTTAGTTATTCTCTTCGAAAGACTTGCAATTTTTAAGGACTGCAGTTTGTCGTTTGTCCATAAAATTGCAATTATTAACTTGTTTCTACACAATAATTCTTCGATTATTATCGAATAGTGATAATTATAGGGTCGAATGCTTACCAATACCTCAAAGCCCGCCGAATAATTTCCGCTTTTGTTAGGCAGGTCTCGAATCTAATCATCTCTGGCCATGACGGCTGGAGACGTTTTATATATAATTAACTGATTAAAATTCCTGCTTGTACAAATGCAAATACATATATGTATATATACGAGTATGTGCATTGTCTGTCTTTGCATATGTGAAATTTTCAATGATTTTTTTGTTTTTGTTAATTTTTGCAAACTAGCAATCGTGCAGCGTTTGCCTTTTCAACACACTTTATTAATTCAGATTTGTGAAATTTTATCTATTGTTCAGCTAAAAGCAAGTCTGTATATATGTACATTCATACATTCATACATAACAAGCGCGAGTATGTGTAAACGGCCGGCCATATCCGGGATTGGTTGCGGCTTTTGTCAATTGTTTTTATTTCACGCCAGGTTTCTGTATTTCATTCTACCTTAAAGTGCCGATTTTGTTTATTTATTACTTTTTTCATTGCTTTCATGCTTTCTTTGAGCACATGTACGTATTTTAAGTTTTAAGAAATAAATCGTGAATCGTAAGACTTAAGCCATTTACCGTTCGTCCGTACTTCGTTCGCGTGTGTTGATTCAATCAAATTAGATTTCAAATAAATTATTAAAATAATTAAAGCTTTCGTCGCATTTCATTAAGCTGTCGTTGAGTGAATTTGAATTTACGTTTTGCTTTTGTATTGAGATAGTATTGAAATTGATAAAAAAAATTTAATGTAATTTGTGGGAAAAGTTTACTTAATTTTTTTAATAAATTTTTTTAAAATCCCTAAAATGCTAATAGAACACGATTACGGAGAAATTAATTGATTAAAATTAACGATTAACGCCAATTTTTTATTTCTTTGCGCATACCCTTACATAGATAGATGCATATACATACATACACATACTCGTACAATACACATATCGAAATGTTGTTTTTAAACGCCTGTGGACATTTTCAAGTCTTTGTTTGTTCGTTTACAGTTTCTGAACTTTTTAAATTTGCTAAGCGGATTATAGATATAAGTCTTTAGTCCTGGGGCAGCCAGCACAATGATTTATCTTGTTTCTTTTGGTTATTTTGAAGTGTACAATATATTCGTACATGAATGTTGACGTCAAAACATTCAAAAAATAAGTGTTGATAACTATATACATATGTATGTACGTGTATATCTATTTTATGAATGAGCCGTGAATAATAAAATACATATGCACATACATAAATATTATGTATTTAAGTGGATGTGCTATTTGAATACTTTGTCATAGTTGAAATGTGACTAAATTTGAAACTTACAAGCTGAGAAGAAATAAAGCACGAGAATAATCAATTTTAAATTTTCATAAATATTCATACCACATATATTTACATAAAATCGTATACACTTGTGAATGTACAACTGTATCTAAATAGAATTTATAAATTTCAAATTGTGATATATACCGACTCAATTTGCCTCAAAACTTGCCCTATCAAGTTAACAAAGCAGAAGCAGGCGTACATTAGACTGGTAGAGAATCCTTTTTATTATTTTGCACGTAAAAATCTGATTTGAATGATATTAATTTCAAAAATTAAAATGTAAATCTTAAACTGCTTTAAATATTTTTTGTTAATGTTGCCAAATTTTCAACATTTTAAATAATAAGATTAAAATATCGATATGCAAACATCTTTTTAGAACTTTTCGACACTGCAAAATTTTAATCAGATGAAATTCTTGTTAATTTTCAGCTTGAAGTGACTCTCTTATGATTTCTTAACACCTTACTAGGTAATCACTATGTTGCTGAAATCATTCAATTATGAACCAGATATTAAAGATACAACCGCAGCAGTTCACCAAAAGCGCAGCTCAAATGTCGCTCAAACAAGCGATCCTCTCACTGGTTTCGATTTTGATTTTACTTCATCACATTACGATGGTTGACGATCAAGACGGTGATGAGCTGGTTGATAGCAGCGGTGTGGTGCGGCATTTAATGTGCTAATATTAAAATTATACTTCAAAAAGCGTTAGCAACATTTTTTGTCTGCAATAATTTGAAAATTTAATATTACCATAAAAATGCGTGATGTTTTGCACACTTGCAAGCAAACGAATACTAAATATATATATATACATATATAAGTGTGTATTTATGAATACATACAATGGCACAAAGCGAATGCGTAAGAGGGGAAGGAGTTGCTCGAGGGGGAAAAGACATCATTACGTCAATTCATGTTATTTAAGTATTAATGAACGCTTGGATAGACGTACATACATAGATTACACATATAAGGAGAGAATCTTCAAAAATATGCTTGAAAACTTGAATATGCAGTTTTTCGCATTCGCACAGTTTTGTAGCCAAAATCACTGAATTATGGCCATAACCGCGTTGACCTATTGTCACTTATTTATGTATTTTCACGGTGATGCGTAGTGAGTTGGTGCCTTTTATTTATTTATTTTTACTTTTTTTGTTAATTTTTAATAATTTCTGTGCTTTACGACTTACATACATATGTACATTCATACAAACATGCTCGGTCGGGTACCACCTACTTGTTTGAGTGCGAATTGGCCTGTCATTTTATTTTGTTTATTTTAAAAATATACATGCTTGTTTTTGAGTATATACTTGTACATATGTATGTATCCATGTACATATTACCGCCGCTGCATCTTTGCACAGCATCACCCTGACCTTAACACACATTCAACAGCTCTCAGGTGACAACACATTTTGGTAGACGTTTCATGTGGCTTACCATTAGTTGGTGTTATTGTTGTTTACGTTGTTGTTTATAATTTAAAATTTTACATGGTTATACAAGTTTAAAATCCATAGAAGAGCTACAAGTGTATAGAGAATACATATGTAAATAAAACCAGAAATTATGAAATGTTCAGCTGCTGGTGTCCCATCAGAGATAAAATTATTATTATTAAAAAAAATGTTCTTTTCTTTAGCTGAATTTTTTTTTGATATGATTTTCGGTCAAAGAAATTATAAACAATGCTTATTCAAATGAAAAACAAGAAAATATATATGTGTGTATATTCTGAAATATGTCACCAAAGGTCTTCTTATTCCGATTTTTATTACTTTAAAATATTCAAACATATAAAAACATAAATTTGTTGATTGAATTTTAGTAGTATGAGCATGCCTGTTTTCACTGTTACCGGGGAAGTAAATTTTGTTACGTTTTTTTAACACCTAAAATTGAATAGAGATTTTATAATAATTGTATTTGGTCTGTAGTTGGTCGAAGAGACCACGAAAAACCATAATCGAGAGGATTTGAAGCCGTTCGAAGGCGGCTTAGTGTAAACTGTAGGTCACTCCATTTTGGAGGAGGAGCTCGGCGGAAAATTGCCTCAGCGGTTACAAAGTATCAATTATATATATATATAATATATCTACAAAATTTTTAGAGTATTAAAAAGAAATTTTTGAGTATTATGACCAATGTACGTGTATGTAAGATGGAATAAATTCTATGCAAATGTGGTTAGTATGTGTTAATATTATTATTTTTCTTAGTTTTTTATTTAATTTTTTTTTATTATTTTTTAATGAATTTAACTTATTGTAATAATTGCTAATATACATACATATATTTCTTTGCAATAATTGTTATTATTTTTAATTTTGTCAAAAAAGTTGTACAAAAAATATAAGAAATCACTATACCTGACTCGCCCTGTCCGGACAGCGACCCCTGCAGTCTGAGAAATTAAACATGCGACGCTGAGCAGAGAACTTATAATATGTTATAATAATGTTATAAGTTCTCTGCGCTGAGTTTGGCATTGTCGGCGCTTTCTATATATTCAGCAACGTTGGCGGCATTTGTCATTTATCTGTCAACCGCTGCTGAAGTAACATATGTGCGGATAAGATACAGTATTTGTCTTTCCCACAGTTTTTTTTTCGAGAAAATCTTGGTGAGTTCTTAGAAAGTGAATTTTTCAATAATAAAAGTGTTTCAAGTGCTCTCATAAAATTTGTGAATTTGTATTACTAATAAGCAATCGGTAAGTCAACGAATTTGTTATTATGAGTTAACCCAGTTATCGATATGGAAAAATATATTGAGATTAGTTTGGAAATAACTTTCAGCAAAATCAATTTACATATGCAGTTGTAATTGAAGAATTGCTGTCGTGAAAAATCTATAACTTTCATTAAAATTTTTTGTGAGGTTATGTGCAGTGCATCCTCGGGTCATTGTGCTAATTTAATTTTTCCAGTGTAAAAGTAGTTTTTCTGAAAATAAATATTTCTCTAATCTTGTGTAAATTCAATAGATCATGGCCGATTCAGATGATGAGTACGATCGGAAGCGCCGCGATAAATTTCGTGGCGAGCGTAGCTCGGGTGATAGTTACCGTTCGGAGCGACGCGATGACAGACGTGGCGGCGGTGGTACAGGTGGAGGTGGTCGGGATGACTGGGCAGAACGGTAAGTGGAAATATATATGAAAAATTGCATTAAAAATTGAACATATTCCGTTAATTATATTAAAATAGGAACCCTTTCCGTGGAGGTGGAGGCAGCGGTAGTGGCAGCAGGCCTCGTCCAGATTATCGTGATTATCGCAGTGGCGGACGTGAACGTTATGGATCACCTGGTCGCGAAATGCCCCCAGCGAAACGTATGCGCCCAGATTGGGGAGAAGATATGCGTGGAGCTCCTCGTTACGGTATATCATAATTCAATTATAAAAAATATGGCTTATATCTTACAAGTAGATATCGATTTTATTTTAATTATTTGTAGGTTATGATCCCTACCTTATGCATGCGTGGAATGAGCATTATGCTGCACACGGCTATCATGGCGGTTATGGTGGACATAATCATGCACCGCATGCGTCAAGAGAAGCGCAAAGCTCGGGAGATTTACAAACCCAGCCAGCAATGCTTACCTTGAAGCAATTTTTGGATACTCAGGATGATGGTATTTCGGATTCGGAAGTCTTGCGAAAGTATAGCGAATATAAAATTGAATTTAAACGCCAGCAATTGAATGAATTTTTCGTCGCACACAAGGACGAAGAATGGTAAGGCAGAAAAATATTTAAAAGAAAGTTAACAAAAGGAAAAACCCAGATTGCTTACAAAAAGAAAGCTTTGCAACTGTTTCTTACTTCTCGTCACTCTGCAATGTCTAAAGAAGCAACTATTGGTTAAACAATTTTGTTAACTTTCTTTTAATTAACACGTATATAACCTTATCACATACCTACTTTAAAATTGATTGATATGAATTACAATTTAATTTTGTTGTCAAGTTTTGTATAATAAAGTTTTTCTCTGCAGCTATTTGCGTATGGGGAGCTATACGTTACTTGAGATTTGCTGTTGAACTTATGTATGTGCAAAATATTGTGCAGCTGGTTGCAGCAGCAGCTCAATTTTAGCGAAAGGCTACACACGCTCACGCTCGTAGCCACTACTACTACAATATGTACCCAACTACCACTACTACTACTACTATCACCTTCGCGTTTACGCGTTGCCTCGTATATATTCAGAAATATATATCGAGATTTTCGAATTTGTTTTTTTTTGTAAATTTTGCACTGGGCGAGCAATGCTCTAGTGTGTTGATTAGATCGCGTTTTAATTTTATCCGCTTTTAAATTCAAACGAATAAACATACCAATAAGATATGAAAAATTTTGACCAAGAGGTAAGATTTGGGTATATAATTAATAGTTAAATTTACATGATATGGTTCTCTCCGCCTATATCTACCGAGGACTAATTCCAAATTGTTTCAGTTTAATATTAATAATGAAGGTTTCGAGCGGGACATTTGCAGTTAACCGTGGAAAACGAAGGCGTTTTAGTTTCATAGTGAACGCGACTTAGTTAATTGTAATAATATTTGTAAAATAGTCATATCAGCGCTGCATACATACATACGCTGCATATTTACATACTTGCAAAACGCTTTTTATTGCTTGAACTAATGTGTGACTTTGATTTTTCCATCAATAGGTTTAAAAATAAATATCATCCCGCAGACAGCGTTAAACGGAAGGAGGAGCAACTGAACTTTTTAAAGGTAGGTAAACCTTTGGAAACCAAATACTTAAAGAAATTTATCGTATTTGCTTTTGATTAATATCTTAAAATATTTTTCAGAAACGTGTCGATGTTTTCAATGAGCTTTTGGTAAATGGCCAAGTTAAAGCTGTATCGATTGATACTTCGCAAACTGACCCTCTATTACGTTTGCTTGACACAGTGGTAATCAAATTAGAAGGTGGCACAGATGATGATTTGAAAATTTTGGACGAAAAACCGAGAGAGTACACGTTCCCAGAAAGATCGTTCGACAAAAAACCCCAACATGATGACGATGTGATTATAACTTCGGTGGGTAAAAAACGTAACGAAGATGATGAACCCAAAGTTGTATCGCCACGTCCAATACGACGCGCACCTTTGTCGGATGATGAAGAGAACTGGGATGATGATGACGCGGGTGACAACAAAGTAACAACAGATAAAGGTGATGTCAAAAAGGATCACTCTGATGAAGAAGATAAAAGTGATGAAGAGGAAAAGGGTAGGGATAAAAAATCCCTTAAAAGGAAACGTACCAGTTCTGAATCGTCTTCATCATCTTCCTCTGATTCAGATTCAAGTAGCTCCAGTTCAAGCGATGAAGAAGACGACGAGAAAGTAAAAGACAAGTATGACTTGGGTCGGGTAAAAGAAGAAAAGGATGCGGAAAAGAATGTAGCAGACGACGTTAAAGAGAAAGAGGATGTAGATAAAACTATAGACGCGCCTCAAGATAAGGAAGTTGCATCCGTTGAAAATAATCTTAATGGTGAGTCTGAGAAAGAATCACAACTTTCGCAAAATGGCATGATATTGAATGAAAAGGCTGAAAATAGCAGTGAGCAAAAGGATGGAGAAGCCGAAGCTGAAGGTGAAAAGGATGATTCCGAAAAAATTGCTGAACCCGTGCCTCGCGACGATGATATGAAGGAAGCCACTTTCAACAATAACAACCCCAAAAGCGAAGATGCTAAAGAAGACAAACCTGATTCAAATGAAAGAGATGAAAAAGAAGTTGACTTAGAAAAGAAAGAAATTAATGAACCAGAAGATCAGCCGGAGACTATAGACCTGGACAAGGTGAAGGACGGTCCCCAACCGCGAGCACTACATCGCACTTCCTCGATTTTCTTGCGAAATTTAGCGCCTTCAATTACTAAAGCTGAGATTGAAACTTTGTGCCAACGCTTTGATGGTTACTTACGTGTAGCGATAGCCGACCCTTTGGTCGATCGCCGTTGGTATCGACGAGGTTGGGTTACTTTCAAACGGGATGTGAACATCAAGGAAATTTGCTGGAATTTAAATAATACGCGCCTCCGTGATTGCGAAATGGGTGCAATTGTAAATCGCGATCTTAGTCGACGCGTACGTCCGGTGAACGGTATGACTGCGCATAAAACCATTGTACGATCTGACATTAAGTTATGCGCGAAAATAGCAATGAATTTAGATGAGAGATTCAAGTTATGGGTAAATATTTCGAGATATTAAATCATTTTAATTATATTGAGTAACTATTTGTATCCCTTTCATCTTACAGGATAAAAACAACCAGAAAAATACCGAGCAAACTGCTGAGAATTCCAAGGGCAATGGCGACGCAGCTGCTTCCTATGGATTTAAGTCAAATAATCCAGTTTTGCAAAATATCACGGACTATTTAATTGAAGAGGCCTCGGCAGAAGAAGATGAATTACTTGGTATCTCTGGTGAAAATAAAGAATCGGAGGGAGAAATGATTGAGAGAGATGTACAACTTATTTCCGTGCTTGACAGTCTCATTTTGTATCTTCGAATTGTACATTCGGTTGATTTTTACAATCATTGCGAATATCCTTACGAGGATGAAATGCCAAATCGTTGTGGAATAATACACGCACGTGGTCCTCCGCCATCCAAAGTGCAAGCCAACGATATACAGGATTATATAAAGAATTTCGAAAGCAAAATGCAAACGTTCTTAACCAAAACTACCCCTATAGACGATGAAGAACTAAAAAATTTAGGAAGCAAAGATGCAGAAGCTGAAGTGGAGAAGTTCGTACAGGCAAACACACAGGAATTGGCTAAGGACAAGTGGTTGTGTCCGTTATCGGGAAAGAAATTCAAAGGCCCAGAATTCATACGCAAACACATATTCAACAAGCACACTGAAAAGGTGGATGAAGTACGTAAAGAAGTCGAATTCTTCAACAACTATCTGCGTGACCCCAAACGACCGCAATTGCCCGAACACGCTAGTTCCTCTAAGCGCACCACTTCCGAGTCGGGTGGTTTAGGGTAAGTATTTCTCAAAATATTCTCGCATTTGAGCTTTCGCCCCAAACATAACGTTTGCATTTACAGTTATCGACCGTCAGTCTATCCACCCGCATTTATGCCACCATACGCTGCTTATGCACCGCCAATGATGGTGCCCGGTCGCGGTGGACGTGGTTTCGGACCTGGCCGCAGGTAATTTTAAATAAAAAGAAAATGAGATATAGATTTAACTTCATTCGAAATATCATAGAGTAAAGTTAATTGTAGTTTGTATGCATTCGTATTGGTTCTTGCCTTTTGTTGCTTTTTCTTGTTCTTCTTGCTTTTCTGTTGTTTTTATTCATGTATATTTTACGAACGTATTGTGAAATTTGTTGTGTACAACCTTTTTACAGAGAGCCAATGGAACAACAACGTCGTATTATTGGTTATCATGACTTGGATGCTCCTGCTAATTTCGACATGTTCGAATAAAGCGATTTGATTCAACACTACAACAACAACGTACTACTACTATATATACACGTTAAATTTCAAAAATTAAAAAAAATAAAAAAAAAGCAGAAAATATCAAACACTTACATATACACATACTAAGAATGTAGTATTCGAAAGAGGCAAAAGGAATCATATTAAATAACCACAACAATGACAACAAAAGACGTTCAGCAATATACTTATGTGGGACAATTTATGATTTCATTAAATGAATATTACCAGATCACCTTAACGGTTTTGTTTAGTTTCAATCTTTTTCTGTAAAATCTTTTATTAGTGGCGGAGTAACTTTCAAAGTTCACAATAGTTTTATGTATTGCTGCATATTGCTTGATGGTTAATGTTAATTTTTTGCTTAGTTTTTCTTCTTTTAATCTTATTTATTGAGCTAAGTAATTTTTAATTAACAATGAACAAACCAATAAAAAGTGTAAAATATAAAACATTTCTATTTATGTTTATATGCTTACAGACCCCCTAATAAGTATCGTCAATTAACACAGTACAGGGACTTGGATGCCCCTCAAGAACCAGTTGACATATTTAACTAATGCTGAATATAAAACTATTTATATAATATATAAATATACATTTATTATGTTTAATTTAAAATTAAGACTTGCTAATGACATTGGAAATGTAAAAAAAAAATAATTCAAAAAGCGTCGGATAACTATGTAACACGGGTATCATACATACAAAACTAGATTTTTTTTTTTTTGGAAATTATTATGGAATAAATACAGAATAATAAATGTTGGTCCAAAAAAATGCTAAAAACAAAAATTTTTATCCTTTGGATTACTACTTATGCTGGGTTTTCATTTCCAAAGGTTTTAAGCGAATTCTTGTCAATTGGAAAAAATACATCATATACTACAACAGAGGGAGCCTTTGCATACCTCGCATCGGAAAACGGGACATACTTCAACCTTATCAAAGTTTTTTGGTCTAGCATCACGGAACTTGCTGAGAATGCCTTTAGCGCACTTCCCATTACCACAGATATATATAGATATTGACTAATGTCAGTTTCGTCCGGCAGCCACTTTGCCCGCTTCATTCCAACCGGTCGAGCCCGAAGAAGTGCGAAAGTGACTAGCCGATTTTTACACTACAACCTTCGGGAAGGAGTTCAAGAATTTTCCCGCGGCAGTCGGCTCTTTATACCGGAACGACCCGGAAAATTACTTTAGGGAATATTTTTACGACTACAACAACAACAACGTACCTGAACCGTGAAATTCACAGCACTTCAAGTAAATTTCTTTAAAAAAACCTGGAGATATTGTTTTCAACTTCATTTAATTTGGCGGCGAGCCCAACTGAAAGTTAAATATATCAAAAATTAATACAAACTTTTTACTGATCACTTTTCTTGACTAAGTTATCCAGCTCGTTTAGCGATTTCAATACCGCATCGCTTAACTTGCTCCCAGCTACATTGTCCAATTCCTTCTCCAAAATTTTGGCAGCTTTCAGCAGTTGTTCACGTGCTAGTTCCAAATAACTCAATGCCTCTATAGTTTCCCCTTTCGACCTTTTCGGATTGGTAAGCAGACGTTTGGCTCGTTCGGTTAGCACCGCATGCATTTCATATAATATAATACCAACGTAAATAGATAAACGTATAGTGTTTGGATCCAGTTTCTGACACGTGCCGTAGAGCTCTTCGCACAAATACATTTTCCTATTTAATAGTGCGTCATCCAAATGTTTTAACAAGTAGTTCGTTTCGGTGCCGTACAACTGTATAAGAGTATGCTTCAAATTGAATAAATGATAATGATGTGGATGCAAAAACTTGGTTAATTTTTCGATTAGCCCTTCCAGTTTTTTAACAGTGGGTTTGCGTGTCAGTAGACTTTCCACTTCTTCAGTCATTTGTGTGAGAATGTAGCGCACCTAAGTGGAAGAAAATGCGAAATACACGAAATTCAAGAAATTCTGGTGTGTGTGTGCATAACGTGCGTTCTCACCTCATCGCCACTAATCGTGATGGGGCATTTGGTGCACGCCCAGTCGCTTTTGACATCGAGCGGGTCTTTTGGCAAGTGTATACCATCGCAAGATCCGCCCTCATCGCCCATGCATAGCATTGAACTGAAATGTGTGCCAAATTCAGTGGGATCGAGACAGCGCGCGCATTTACAGAGGAAATGTTTCGTCAGGGCCAAGTGCTCTTGACGCATTTGGGTGCCCCATAGCATATTCGAGTACATGATGACCAGATGTTCATCGCGTCCGATATCCCTGCCGGCTATCACTGAGATTTTGAAGCCGTTACGTTGATCGAATTGGAAATAGCTGTTGGGCTGACAGGCGTGCTCCATCATGCAAGCGGTATAGTATACACCACTGAGTTCAACGCCAGACGGCAGGTTAATACACATATAGTTCGTCTCGATGATACCACAAATGCGATGCAGGACTGGTGTGTCATACTCTTGCAGATATTTCTGTTTTTGCTTTTGTTCGACGGTTTTCAGACGTTGCAGGAAGTTCCGCTCTAGATAAGATACAATTCGCTTTTCGGCATCGCTTTATACATACATTAGGAAAGGTAAAAGAAAGAGAGAAAGAGAGAGAGAGAGAGGGAGGAAAGGGGACAGAGCAAAGGTTACTGGCTGCGTATATTAAATGTTCAAGTAAAATACTCTCACTTACTTATGTAACTCAGAACCAATACGCTCCTCTTCATGACTTTGCATATCCATCAGTTCGAGCCATTTTTTCGGATTTTGACGCTGCAATAACAGACACTTTAAGACAACTAAGGCATCCGAACGGTAATAGTCTATGAGAGAGCGGGGATCTGAATCAGCAGGACCAGGTCCTAACATAAGTACAGTACATTCGAGACCATGCAAACTGGGGTTGTCTAGGCCACCGCAATTTGGTGAACAAGTTGGCCAACGACATCTGAAATAGTTCAAGACATAAAAATAATACAAACTTATTAAAACTGAAGTTCGAAATTAACTGACACACATATGTCTTTTTATCACAATTTTAATGGGCTTTCGCCTTTTCTCCCAGAACTTACTTCGGACAATGATGTACACCCATGCGACAAGGTGTAAAACATCCAACACAAGGCATAACAGGGACTTTTTCCTCGCGCTCATTTAGGTACCACTTTGGGCCGACAATAATCGGCATTTCAGTGAAGACCACACTACCAGCTTTAATAGTGCGCGTGGCCTTAAGGTAACGGCCTAAAGCCTTGTCCTTGGCAACGCGAAAAGGTCTGCATTCGGTTTTGTGCTGCTTCCAGTGGTGCTTTTGGTGCTCGGCGCCGCAATATTTGACCAGCTTGCATGCTGAGCAGTAAAGCTTCGCAGGTGTTTGGCATACGGCACAATAGGTGGGCGAAACCGATTCGGGTGGCGAGTTGGACATTTTCTATACTTTCTTAAATATTTTTAAATGCTGTTATTATTTAATGCGAAACAATTTTATTTCATTAATTTTTGTACGTTACGTATGCTTGCACAAGTTTTTATACCTGTTTCAGTTTAGAATGTATGGCTACTTATATATACAAACATAAGTATGATGATTTATTTTTAGCGCCCAACGATTATATCCACACTTCGACACTTTCCATGCAGTTCTGTATTATGGCACAAATTTCAAAAGTTTTCATTTAAATTTTTTTATAATTAATATATGATTGCGACACGAAATTTTATGGTTTACATTACTACTTGCCTGAACCAATGTCTCAAGATGTGTGTTCACTCAGCTTCTGCTCTTTTCCGACTAATAATGAGCGTAAAAGATGTATGGATCGAATGTTTAATTTTTGGAAACATATTTTGAATGTTCTCAGTTGCATACGTGAGAATGCTAAAAATACAGATCTGAGTGAACATACAAATACGAAGGTTTTATCTCACGATAATTAATGCATACATATAATTCCATTGAGGAGAATGCTCTTCTCTTACCAACTTCTGACTCAAATTCTATGGATGACAATTTGGGCAACAAATTTATATACACTTTTTCAAACAACATAAAACTCTTTTATTCGCTCTTCAGTTAAAATAAATCTTAATTTTACTAAATTAATAAATTTATATTATTTTATTTAATCATTTCTCAATTCGATTTTGTCTTGATTTATAAGATGTGGATGCTTTTGCAGAACTTGACGTTGCTCACGCATGTTTTTTACGACACCACGCAAGTTCCAACCATGTCGCAACAGGGACGTTTCGACACCATAGTGGCCGTGTCGAATGCAGCGTATGGATGTGCAGTGCGCCACTGTACGTAACTCTATACCCACCTCATTTATCAGGGATGCAAGGTATTCCTCACATTCGTTTATTGCATGTATCTCTAAAGTAAAATCTGGCCGTTGGAAATCTATCAGTTTAATACCATAAATTACGGGTTGTGTATTATCGGCTGGACGTAAGAGGCCTTTGCAAGCGATCTCGTATGCAGCTTGTGACTGCAGATCTACACCGCAAAGTTCATACATTTTGCGTTGGTGTGAAGCTTGCATAGAAGCAGCCAAAGCACTAACTCGGTCGGGATGAACGTGCCTATAATCGGCTCTTACTGTAATACGTGCATCGGGGAAATGTGTTTCTGTGGCCATTCCTAAGCGACCAGTGACATGATAGGCCCGTACAGGACGATTTCTCTGAACTTGTTGGGACTGGTTAATTCCTTTATTTATGCCAAATACTACAATGTAGGATTTCTAAAAAATTAACTCAAGAATAAAGTAATCGACAAACTTACACAGCACACCACTGGTGTGTATACCTAAACCGGCTACTAATGCACATCGTATATCAGATATTTGGTAACGTGGTCCTGTGGCTAAAATGTGATCGGCTAAATCGATTGAATTAATTTTTCGAAGGAGCGGATTGGCATCTCCTCCTGGTTCTAAAAGTGGCGTATGTAATTTGCGAGGTTCTCGTACTTTCATTTCATTTAAATCTGCACAAATATGTTGAAATTATATATTTATGGTTATCAAAGTGATATATATGTTCATAAATGATTGTTTACCTTTGGCTATGTTGTGTAGTACCGCATTCTTTACATGCTTGACCTTCATGCCAGCCGGCTTATAAATATTCATGATTCCATTTAGATGCCTAAATACTGTGGGCGCGTCGTACACTTTCGTTAAAGACATTTCAGATGTTTTCCAAAGAGAAGTTCGTGAATATACTCAGATCTAGTTATGAAAACATTTTTTAAATCAAAAATCAGCTGATAGTGGAAGTAGCATTGCTTAAATAAAAACAAAAAAAAAAATATTTGAAGCAATGAGTTGTCCAGAGATGAATGTATTTAGGTTTGAAATGAATGCCTTACACCGAGTTTACTCTAAAGAGATAAAGAATATAAAAAGTTTGTGTGGATACAATAAATTGTTATTAGAAATTTTGTTTCAATGTAGTTGGGGTTTCGAGTGAGGATTTCGATGAGATTTGGTTGATATTTTTATAGTTGTAATAATGATATTATTTGAGGAACCCTCTTTAAGATAGAAAAATAATTTATTCTAAATAACAGTTCTGTTCGAACAGGATTTCCAGTGAAAATTAGCCAGTAACGAAATATCGGAATTACATCTCTCTGTATAAATTTTGCTGGACTTTTGACTCACCGCATGCGCGTCAGGAAAAATTGGTAACATTGTTACTCCCCATTAGGTCACCATCAGCTCACGGGCGGAAAATATATCCTCTGTGCCTTAATTTAAAATTAATTTACTGTTGGAATTTCTTTACGCCAAATTATAGATCACTCTATTATTTAAGCAAACGTCACTCAAGAAATATTTTGTACTTTGGGTTTAGAGGGTTAATTTTATATTGTTTTTGTAAGTAAGCATTGTGAAGCAAGGCTGAACAGTTCATTTCAAATTTGGCAGCTATTCACTTTAAGAACTGTCAAAAGCCCATCTGTTTAGTTCTGTTTACACACGTGTATCTCGGTTTGTTTAGGAATATTTTTCAGTACAGGATTTTTGTTTTATTTAATTGGTGGAAATACTTAATTTTCTGCAAACATTTTCACTAGAAAATGAAGTGGTCTACAGCCAATTTGAAAAATCCAAATTATACGGAAAATCATGAATTATACGTTGGCACTAGTACCGGTACTTTCAAAAGTGAGTTTGTATTTTGGTTTTACATCAGAATGATATAGCCATTTTGTACTATTCTGCAAAGAAATTTTTTAAATTTATATTTCCTAATTACTAGGATTTGTACCTGCTTTTGAGCAGAAACCCTTCGGCCAGCGCAACTTGTACGATATTAATCAGCTTGAAAGGAATGACCGGGTTACTGCGTTGTCTTTTGGGCTTGATACATCGGAAATCTTTATCGGACGAGCAAAAGAAAATGTTCACATACATTCTTTACGTAGCGACAAAGTTGAGCGCATAATTAATCTAAATTATGCGCCTGTTGTAGGTTTGGCACGCTTTAATGACTACTTAGTGGCTGGATTTTCCAATGGTCAAGTGCAGCGTGTGCCGCTTGAAGATAAATCCGAAACAGAGTGCATCGTTAATAGTGGTGATGATATGGCACATTTACGTCAATGCCCCTCAGATCGTAACTTAGTAGCAACAGGTGGTAAAGGACGTCAAAACAATTTAAAAATTTTCGACATGGCGGCTGATGGCAAACAAGTTTTTACTTCAAAAAACTTGCCTAATGATTATCTGCAGTTGGAAGTGCCTGTGTGGGATAGTGATGTTGGCTTTATAGATTCACCACATACACTTGCAACTTGTTCCCGTTATGGATATGTGCGAGTATATGACACACGGAAACAGCGACGACCGGTACAATGTTATGCCACTGAAGATCAAATGAGTTTCTCGACCTTAGTGACCCACGGAAATTACATATACACAGGCACCACAATGGGTGTGATGAAGGTAATAGACGGCATAAACAAGTAGTTATAAATATAACTTCAATACAAAAATTGTTATTAAAGGCCTTCGACATTAGGCGCATGCAGAGTTTTGTGCACACATATAAAGGCTTCACAGGTGCTATCAGTGATGTTTCCTTAGACAGTACTGGTAAATACTTAGCCTCAGCTTCGTTAGATCGTTATGTGCGTGTACACCATGTAGATTCGACTGTGCTGCTGTATCAGTGTTATGTTAAATCAAAAGCTACACGCGTTTTAATACGCGAATCTGCGGAGAACCCTAACTCCACAGCCGCTGAAGCAGCAGAAGACGATGTGAATGAAATGGAAAGCACGAAAAAACTACATATAAAAAAAAAAGATACTATCCCGGAGGATAAAGAGTATGAGGACATCTTCGAAAACATGCAGACGATTTGGTAAGTAAATCAACGCAATTTTTCAAAGGATACTTAATGCAATAATCAATTATTTTGTTTAGTGAAAACGACGAGGAGGATGATGTTTCAGACAGTGAAGACGTAGAGAATACAACTAAAGAAAATGATAAACTGGCTAAAGTGGGGGCTAAACGAAAAGCGGAGAAAGGACTTGCTGAAAACAAAAAGAAGAAAGAATAGAATTTGAAACTTACTTTACATAGGTTTAAATATGTATATAAAATATATGTAACGTAGGATTAGATGAAAGTTGTAATTCGAAAATAAAAACTTTATTCTTTTTTATTAAAAATCATAAATTTTTGTTTAGTTAATCAATATAGTTAGAGAAAATTATAGTTGTTATCTACTTTAATATCCAATCCGTAAGGCTGCTGACATCTACTAATAACCGTTAAAGTGTCGCGCCAAAAAATGTATGCATTTAAACTGCAAGTAATAACTATTACTTCCGAAAATTACTCGTGTTGACAGGCTGAAGCAATATGGATCGGGCATTATAATTCACATATAAACGATGTGTGCAATAGTAGCCAAACTCAATTAGTGATACCATGCTGATCCCTAGGCACAAATTGAACACACCACCCAAGTCGGCTGAAAAAACGAATTTTAGTAGAAATGCTAATATTCCGTTGTTGAGGGGGGACCAACTGAGACTTGGTACTTCCACCTTTAATAAAGTAAAATTCAATTTACTCACATAACAAGCCGATCCACGACATAACCACGACTTTACGTATTGCTGGCACAGTCTGTTTACTCAAGTAGGCTCGTACGATAAAAATATCCTGGGTATCAAAAGTGTTCCTACTGTTAGGGTATATGTATGTATATGTACATGAAATTTTTAATAACATCTGAATGTGTACCGCATCTGCACCAGGTCACTTACTAATGTGTGCTAACAGAGCAATTGTGTAGATTGAGATCAGTTTTGTAGGCCAAAGTTGAATAGGTGACGTCATAACAATTTGGTAAGCAACTCTCACATTTTACACTTTTAAAGGCATCTGTGTAAGAAAAAAGTATTCGTCGGATAAACTAAACTTCCAAACTTCTAAGAATGAATGCATAAGCAAACCATAATTTTGGGAATAGCATGTACTATCATTCAATTTGCATTCCCGATAATCGGCTTTGGCATTCGGTATATGATAGGGTACACATTGACATTTCTTCATGATGGCTTCTGTACGGCAAGCGAGGGAGCAAGCTGCTTGCCGATAGCTGTGCAACTCGAGGTCGTCAGATATTAGACAATCTCTCTTGCCCTGCGATAGCTCAAGCACTTCCGTTGCAGAACTCTGTACGGTTGGTGAAATTTCAACAAAGCTCTCTGAATTCGAAGTAATTGTCACCGAAGAAGTTGCCTCCGTCACATAGTCCATGGGGTGGTGTGCAAGTACAATTAAACCAGTCGAAAGGTTACGTTCCGAGCCTTCGACCCCGACTATGGTTAAGCCACCATCTATTCCGAATATATTGGATGAAAATGGTACGTACGAGAGATTCTTCGGATTGTAATTGAACGAACAACAAGGCCCTAAAAACGAGGTGGTAGATATAAACGAAAGATACTCGTGCTTCTGTCGACAAGGAAACTCATTGATACCCCAGTAGCAACGTTTAACAAAATCATTACAACTACCGCTGACTGCCTTGGCAGCCTCATAAATACTTATATTGTTCAGACGCAACACTTCATCGGCAATTTTGAAACTTTCTTGAGCAGGAGCCTTCCAATTTTGATCTGTGAAAGCGTTAATATACTCCAAGCCATTTGCAACGTCGTGGGGATCAACATTGGCGGGTATTTTTCTGCATAAAATAAAAAAATGAATTAGGAAATATATATGTATGTATACGAAGACATCTACATATATACATACTAGAGCTCTAGATACCCTGGTATTTCCATAATTTTTACATATTTTTAATAAATGAATTTAAAAATGCGAAAAAAGTGGTCAGGAAAACACAATATTTTTGTTCGAAATGTTTCAATTGCTCGAGCTCATGCACGAAAATTTGAAAAAAAAATGCTTGAAATGCTCGAAAATTTTCGAATGAAATCTTGAGCTCTAATATTAAACATATGAATACTAGGACGTCCAAAAGACCTCATATAGCTCGGCAAAATCAAATTAGGCATGCTTAAGTTCTCAATTCTTAGTAAGTACGAGCCTTTGAAATCTTTTGCTCGTCCTAACACACTTTGCTTGCGATCCTACAATGTTTTTATGTAACGCTGCACACGCTCGAGATTCACCACTTTCGGACTGCAGATAGTAATGCCCGGGAATGCGACGTCGGTTATGGCCAGATCGCTGGATATTGTATTCAAAATAGGATAAGAGTAGAACTTCAGCCAGAGCTGTAGAGACAGGTAAACGCCAAGCAGAAAAAGACTGAGCAGTACAAATGACCAAATCCATCTGCGGAAAAAGTTACTGTTAGTAATATGCTCTCCAAAACTCAAATTCAAATTCAACGGATGTGGCAACCTTAAATCGAATGCTTTCAAAGAACAAAGGAGAATCATTAATATCTCTTAATATTCTTCTGTTCACAGTTTTCTTCCAATTCCTACCTAGAAATGCCATGAGTTCTGTCTTGTCTTAGCAGCCAAATACCACTAACTTTAGTCGTCAGTGTGTACTCCCAAAAGGTGTCCACAATGGCCAGCCTCAACCTCTGACCCACGTTCTCGCGATAACCCGGATTTAGTACTTTGGAGTGAAAACGTTGCGGCTGATGTAGCTTACCGCGATGTTTTAAGTTATTTTCTTTTACGTTTTGCTTCCAGATATTGAGAAACATATCGATGGACTAAGCTTGAAGTCTGAAAAATTTTCGGCTTTATACCTCTTAGGAGCTCATTAACGTTAAAAACTGTCCATTAGGAAAGGGTGCGTGTGCGTTTGGCGCATCCACTAATTGCCTACATGCGGTTTGAAAGTTTTATTAATTGTCACTTAATTAGTTATGGGCTTACATAGTGTATAAGGGAGCTAAGAAAAAAATACAAGAATCACACTAAGCTGCAACTGTGTGTTTCACCTTCAAATGTTTATTTTTATTAACTGAATTTCTCGAAAACTTTTGTGCCTTTGGTAGTTTTCAAACTTAAATGCACACACTATATAACCCACTGGCGGCCGCTTTAGCCGAGTGGTTAGCATTGCGTACTGCTATTCGGTAGGCCCGGTTTCAAATCCTAGTTCGACCAATGTAAAAAATTTAAAAAAATGTGAACCCCTCCGAGTATATTTCTGACATGTAATAAACCTCATAAAAAACCTTAAGTCGTTCGAAGGCGGCTTAGAATAAACTGTAGGTTCCTTTTATTTGTTGGAAAATCATCAAGACGCCAAGACCACAAGTTGGAGGAGGAGCTCGTCCGGAAATCGCTTCGTCGGTTATAAAGCGTCAATTATATACAATATAAAAGGTTGTGGCTTAGACCTGAGACATGTACACATTATGATAGGCCTTTTAATGTTGAATTCAATATTTCCTTTGCCCTTTTCTTCAACTAAATACACAAGATTTCCAAGTATTTGCTTTTACCAATGTTTTCTTTGTGGGATTTAATTAATAGATGTTGAATTGGATATTTGAGTGTGGATGTGTAACATATGTGTGTATTTATGTAAATATTTGCAATGGCCGAGTGCTTAGCCTTGCGTACTACCATTCGGAAGGCGAGGGTTCGAGTCCTGGTGCGACTAATATTTAAATAAAATAAATAAGTTAGTTTTTCCAACTGCGATAGTGAGTGTCAAGCTTTCCGAGTGTATTTCTGATATGAAAAAGACTCCTCTTAAAAAACCACAAACTATCAGCTCGTCGGAGGCGGCTTAGTATAAATTGTAAATGCCGCTATTCGCTGGAAAAAACATTAGGACGCGCACCACAAATTGGAGGAGGAGCTCGGCCGTAAATCGCTCCAGCGGTTATAAAGCGCCAAACACATACATATATGTAAATATATATATTCAAAACATAACCACAAAAAAGGCAAAAGGTTTGTAATGGAAGTGTCTTCCAAATAAGATACCTCAACTCCTTTTCATTTTCACTTTGTCCCATTTTGCCATGTTTTGCTTTAATGATGTTTACAAGCTACTTCAATATTCACATGTGCACATTAAGGCGGACCAAATTTCCTTCCTCCTCAGAAGTGAGGGCGTCAACATTGTTTTTTGCACCGCTGCATTGTTCTGTCTCTAAGTTATTCTCCATAACTACGCAGAAGGCAGTCAGAAGATATGCGGTGTCATCTTTGGGTTCTCTAAATGAAAAAAAAATATGTGGAAAATAAATTTTAACCTTGTATTAGTTTAAAAAGGATTTCCAAATTGATTTCAAAGAAATGGTTTGGTAAACTTTTTCCATTGAATTTTGACCCGCCCTAGTGAAGATAAACATACATACATCTATACTGTATACTGTCCATTTACTTATCATTTACCACAATAAACAATTACTTTTGATGAGCAACAGCGAATGTGCCTTAATGGCTATCGAAAGAAGTCCCACTTCAAAGTGCAAGCAGGGACATTGGTATAATAACTTAACATATGCACATATACACATAAAATACCTACATATATGCTTACACGTGTACAAATGTGGGTGTTTACTCACCAATTTCCCTAAATGTTTGCTAGGCAGTCGAGAAGAAAGCAAAGAAATGAAATTACCGCTAAAGTTATTCTCCGCCTCCTCTTTACTATGTCTTTTTATCGCTTATAATTTGATTAAACTCTAATATGACCACAATTATGACCTGATTAATGGTAAATAAATCAAAGTTTTCTTCAAAAAATCTAAGATCAACTGCCATTCACTGCACAGATTTAAGGATGAAGGTGAGATTTGGCTTTATCACAACGAAAACCTTTTTGACTGGACAACAAAAATTTCCTCAGCTACTGGGGTCCTTCTGAGCAAACTTAACTGCAAGAGGTGCAGGTAATATTTTCGTTACTGCCACAAAGACGATGCTTCAAATCGCTTGTCAATGAGATCGGACCTAAAGTGTTCCGGACAAATTCAAAAATTTTCACGCAGCTCCCATATGTTCAACCAAGCCAATCAGCTGAGACAATTGAGCTATAAATTGCGTAATGAAACTTGGTGGTCAAACACATATTTAATTGCATGAAACAATTATTGTTTGATGGCTGGTAATATTCGTTCCTCCCACAAATCCAGTGTACTTTATCTCTTGCCCGGCTGTTGTTGTCCCATGCGGAGTGAAAAAAACCTTTTGGTGTGATTCGCAGTAACTTCGAGTTGTGAATTGTCGAAATCTTATCGATTTCAAGCGGTGCTCCTTCTACCTTGGCCACACTTGTAGGTGTCGTACAGTAAAGGTTTCGGCGAGATAGCAGTTTAACTTCCAACAAAGATTATATTATCAATATTTTGCATTCAGCGGCGTGTGATTTTCCTTTTGGTGTTGAGATCTTCGAAATATGAACATTAAATAATAGAGAGGAGAGCATACCACCCAGAGGAACAGCTTGTTTAACTCTGCGGTCAAAACATTTTTTTCTGAATACTAGTACTTTCTCTACTCCATAATACTGCAAAAGAATAAGCAAGCAGATTCCTTAATCACCTAAATCTGGAACTCAGCAACTCTGAAGATCTCGAGATTAAATCCGAATCCTTCTTAGAGTGAGTGGCAAGAATTGATAAGGTTTAAAACTATAAACTCAGAAAACCGCACAGAGTTTGCTAAAGACGAGGATTCGGAACTATGCGACTTTATTCGTCCAGCGAATTTAAGATAAGAGAAATTTTTGTAGGAATCACTTTTTTTGAGGCCAAAATCGTCACACTTTAGCTGAGTTTGTAGCTAACTTAGTATATTTGCAATTATAGGTACATACGTTTATGTATGTATGTACTTAAACAGCCTCTACCATTAATCAAGGCACAATTTTATTTATTCCATAGCTTCCTACATTCACCGCCTTTATATTCTTACATTGTTTTTGCTTCGCCTATTTCGGAGCCTGCAAATTACATTGGAGGTTTGTCGGCCTTCTTTACACGCTAATAACGGTGTCGAAAATGATAGCCTTAACAAATGAGAAATTATGAATACAAAAGGATACACAAATAATAGAAGAGTATCTGGCGTAAGATAACACTGGCATAAACATTAATTAGAAAGAAGAACAATTTCTGAAAGATCGGGAAACCATAAGAGAGGTTATGAAAGAAAGATAGAGAAACGTTTACATGGAAGAGGAAGGTTAAGCCAAACACATGTTGAAGCACATACATATTTAACTTTGTATACACAATGTGTTATTGGATTATGTATTTGTAATGTGCATACTCGCATGCTAGAGCAATTTAATTCTCCTATTTGAACACAGTTTTTATTCTATCGGGAGAACTTTTATATAAAATCTTGTTTCACTGTAGCAAAGACGGTTTTTAAATTTATTTTTAACTATTATTTGCTACAGAAATATTGGAACAGAGCGACAATCTGTAAATTCACTCATCCCGTCCTTGTGGAAGCGAACAGCAAGGACGCCATTCTCAACCGTCAACGGCGTCAATAGATAGTCGATAATGGTTGACAAATTGTGCGCCAAGCGGCGGATGACAAGTGGAAGAGCCATTCACTTTTTTGCCACCGCTAAAAAATAGGCAATTCATCGGTGGAGCGTGTACAAACAGAAAATGTGTCCCGCGTATGGATAGAACTTAGAAAAAATGCATGAAAACCTAGCGCCAGCGCGTAAGCGTTGGCAGGCAGGACAATCTGAAGCAAATGTATAAAAGAATTAAAAAAGATTCGGTAATATAGTAAAAAAAGCTAGAGTCATGAGTTCAAGACAGGCGCAGACCTACAAAGAGAATTTCGTAAATAAAAATTTGATTGGTCGATGTCCGGTATGCGCTATTTTGAGAATTGTATTCATTATATGTGACCATTTCGAATATGTTTATATAACCTCTTCGCCTGTTGAGTAATCCGAATGACCATCGCAGCAAATCTTAAATGAACTCCCAAGCGAACTACACATATATTTATAAGAATGAGAGAAGATTGATCAAAGGCAGAAAGCACGGTTTTATTGAAAGAGCAAAAGTTGAGAGCTTTATTATGAATATTTTTATTTTTGGGAATTTTCAATTAAAAGACAGGTTTCTCATACTTCGAACTGCTTCGCTAAGTCCCATTGCAAAAGAAGTAAAACATTTTTCACGAAACCGCCAAAAACTAAGAAGGAAAGCCGCTTATTCACATTCATCATGCCGAAGATGTTAATTTTCAGTTTATGTTGCCTCAAATGCTGCGAGAATATACTGCACTGGAAAAAACTTTTCTTTAGTTAAATATGTGTCTCACTACTTTCCTTAAGAGATATCTTACTAACCGCATATTCCACTGCGTCGTCCAACTCAAACAGTTCATCGAAGCGTTTCAACACTTCGGCGGCTTCATGCGACGCACCAACAACGCGCTCACAGAGTATATCCAAAAGGTATGAATCTGAGAGTGTGATAATAATCGCCATTAAACTAAACATCTGAAAGACCACACTAAGGCTTTTCAAATAGGAGTTATTATTATACTTCAAGCATAAATAACCGATGGAGATGTTGTTGATGATTTTGCTAAATAACACTCCCATTATTTCAAGACGAAAGCATTTGGTGAGATGCTCGGCAAATTGAGTGAGCTGATAATGCACACGTGTGACGTCCAACAACTCGCCTGCCAAACGTCTTTGCGCGTCGCTCGCCAAGCCGTCCCCAAGAAGTCTGTGAGCCTCCAAAAGTCGAAGGAAATTGAAAATGCGCCGAAGTTGAGCATTTAACCAAGAAAAACGCTTCCACAAATACCACATTGCGAGAAAGTAATGGAGTATCATATGCAGCAGCATGCTGATCAACAAAAACATGTGTGCAGAGTATAAAAGCCAGGTAATGCTAATTTTGGGCATAAAATAAACCAGATTAACCAATGTGTAAACGATTTGAGTGACCACGCTGAAGTATTTTAGCCAAAGTAGCCGGTTGCCGTGCAATTGTCTGCAATACGCTTTTACCGTTTGGGGTACGCATTTCTCGAAAAATCGACGCTCCAAATCGAGTATCTGCGTTAGAATTTCGAAAATTGTATTTTCACGTTTCCAACGAAAAATTAAACCCAGCGAAGTTATAAAAAATATCTGCACTGTGTTAACACTATTAACAATTTTCATCAAGTGATTATCATTGAGGTGGTCCAAAAACTTCAAGGCGGTGTTGTAGGCTAGCGGTAAAAAGCAGACAGTGAGGGTGTTCAATGTACAGGCGTAGATTTGCATGAGCGTACAACGGCGGATGCGACGTTCCTTAAAGTCCACGCGAAATCCGGCTAGGCCGATAAGTGAAGCAAAGTAATAAGTATATAAGTACCAACGGGGCACTGCTGCCGCTTTCTTCATTGCCGGCATGGGAATCGAGTGCTGTTGCTGTTGACCGTACTTTTGCACTCTCGCAAAGGTTATTAACAACTGAAGTACGATTTTGTTGAAGGATTCGTTTTACAATCGTTCGAGCATTTAATAAATTAGAAATTCATGGCCGCTATTAGCTGATGACTGATGGGACAGATATTTTCCTCACATTATTGTCATTGTCAAGTATTTCATAGACTGTATGATACTTCAGAGTTCATTTTCTATAACAAATATTTACGTTTCGGTTTCGTTACGGGGTAGAGGGGGGGGGGGGGGCGATGAACTCTGCTATGCATTTAAACAGTCCTCCCAATCCAAGCCGAGTTAGGGAGCTAAAATCTACGCGAAAAAATTCTTGAAACCCTACCCCGCAAGGGTAGAATGGAGGCCTCCCTTTTCCTCTGCTTCTATCGGCGGGTTCTGCTTCGAAATTTTTAAAGTTGAAGCATTCGGATTCATCCGAACCACATCACTTAGCTATCGTTGCTGCGGTCTGTGGATTCACTGAACTATGTCAATGTGCTGCGGTATTCGCCGTTCCCAACGCGCAGGTGACCATAAATTTTACCTTTATACACTTCAGTAGGAAAGCCAAGGGAAAATTACAGTACCCGAGAGAAATTTTCCAAATGAAATTACTTGCACATGAGACAATCGTCTAAAATACCACGTTTTGCTGGTGCAATTAGTGGTTGGGAAAATCTTCGGAAGACTTATCATTTCATTATATAATTTTTTCAAATATCAAGCTAAGTGATTCTTTACATGGACAAAGGACTACGAGCATCAATGGGGTTTCTCTCTTTTGCTTCGTTATCCGTGTAAAATTGTATTTTTTTTTATTAATTTATTAGAAATTGCTTAACAGAGAAAATTCACAAAAAAATAAAAGTTCTCATACTTCGAACTGCTTCGCTAAGTCCCATTGCAAAAGAAGTAAAACATTTTTCACAAAACCGGCAAAAACTAAGAAGGAAAGCCGCTTATTCACATTCATCATGCCGAAGATGTTAATTTTCAATTTATGTTGCCTCAAATGCTGCGAGAATATACTGCACTGGAAAAAAACTTTTCTTTAGTTAAATATACGTCTCACTACTTTCCTTAAGAGATATCTTACTAACCGCATATTCCACTGCGTCGTCCAACTCAAACAGTTCATCGAAGCGTTTCAACACTTCGGCGGCTTCATGCGACGCACCAACAACGCGTTCACAGAGTATATCCAAAAGGTATGAATCTGAGAGGGTGATGATAAAAAAACTTGTGCTGAATATGTGATAGGTCACACCCAGGCTCTTCAAAAATGAATTATTGCCGTACTTTAGGCCCAAGTAGGTTATCGAAATATTATTGATGACTTTGCTAAATAGCACCGTTATTATTTGGAAGCGATAACAATTAGTAATACGCTCCGCAAAACCCGTTAGCTGATAATGTACACGTACGACTTCCATCAACTCTTGCCCCAAGCGCTGATACGCTCGTTTACGCACTCTTTGGTCACAACGCTTGTGGGCTTCTAACGATCGAAGAACGTCTAAAATCTGCTGGAGTCGAGCGTTCAGCCAGCAGAAACGCTGCCACAAATACCACATTGCCAGAAAGTAATGAAGCACCATATGCAACACCGCACTGATTATGCAGATTACATACACACAGTAGAATAATGATATTACACTTTTATCCGGTAAATAGAAAAACATGTTATAGAGCGTCCAAAGAGATTGTGATATAACACTGAAATATTTTAACCAAAGCAAATTGTTGCTGTAATACTGCCTACAATGCGCCTTCACTGATCGAGGCATACATTTCTCGAAATACCGTCGCTCCAATTGTAGCAGCTGCGTTAGAATTTCGTAGATTGAACGCTCGCGCTGCCAACGAAATATTATGGTTAGTCCGGTTATGAAGAAGATCTGTTTTACATTGACTTCATTAACGATTTTCATCAAAGCATTCAAATTGAGGTAATCCAAAAACTCCAAGGAAGTCCAGAGGGAGAACGGCACAGCGACGACCACCAATGCGTTCATAGTGCAGGCGTAGACTTGCATGAACGTACAACGGTAGACGCGGCGCTGTTCGATATCCACATGGAATGCAGTCAGCCCGATGAGCAGGGCAAAATAGTACGTGTATAATTGCCAAAATGGTGCCGCGTGTGGCTGCATGGAGTGATAGGTGAGCGAAGTTTTGCGTTAGAAGAGTGCATAGCGACTGTTGAATACGGAAGATTTTTGCATTGAATTGGTCAAGTAATTTACTGTAGCTTATCTCAGTAATGATTGACGAGACAGTTAATAGTTATTGCTCAGCGGTGATGTCATTTAGTGTGCTGCGACTGTATGTATCGAAGTGGAAGAGATAATCGCTTACTTAAGCCAAACAGTTGGAAGGGTAGCGATTGCTTCCCGAGTGGCCAAACAAATATTACCTTTTGAAGAGTTAAAGTTTCATTGGGTTGCATAGATGAATGGGCATTGGTAAAGGCAATCTAATATTAGCTATAAATAAATTAAGAAGATTAATTAATTTTACAACTTGTGAAGGCGCCCACGTCTTGTACTCCGCAGATACAATGAAAATAAAAAACGTCCTGAAACACACTCAATCTATTTCTGCTTGAAACAAAAAAAAAAAACATTTCGGCGAACGGTTGAAGCAATGAAGCTAGCGTGGTCTTTAAATGACGATTACGCGCACTTATTTTCTGCGCCAAATTTATTTCAGAGTTGAAAAAGTTTGACTTTCTTCGCTGTCGTTGACTGTGCGCTGTTTGAAAAGGCAGATTCGATATATTTTTAGGTAATTCATTTCTCATTAAGCCTACACAGTTGAGCTCTTAATAATCTCAGGCTTTTTGCGGCGCTTATTTTTCCTTACGCGCGCGTAAGTCTTCTGGTGGGGCTCAGTTGGGAAGGTAAATTGCATGAATTTAAATCAAAGCATTGCTCAGAGTGATTACTTCAACAAAATGTGGTGTAAAAGAAGCAGCCTCAAGTAAGTTACACAGAAATATGTACAAAGTAGTGGTTTAATGTTACCGTGTTTCAAAATTAAATTTCTTTAACGCGCTACGTCAGATTCAAATCGAACTGCACGAGCGTTATGAAGTATGACAATCCGGTGGCCGCCGTCAGATATGTGAGTCTCCGGTCCAACACGAAGAGGCCACAGATACGCACCTCCACTTTATTGTTCATCACGAAAAGAGTGAGAGCTTCCAGCTGCGACGCGATAAACAAATAAAAGTAATATATAATGAATTGGACTAAAATACACATACAACAGGGCCCACACACTTACCGTCTGCTGTAGGCGCACATCCAGCATGCTAAACTGATTGAACTGCCGCAAGGTTTGATTAATGTTCTGCATTTCCAGGCTGATGTTCTCGCTGACTAGCGCCACAATGTATGTGTCCACGTAGAAGATAATGGCATGCAGCGCATTCAGCACTATGGCTGGTGAGGCGCTTGCCCCTGAATGCTTTACGAAGAGATTGAAGAGTATAAATGAGTTGGTGAGATTGCTGATGAGCGTGATGAAGACCATACCGAGTATTTGGAACTGATGCATAGTCAAGCTGTCTTGGTACAGCCGATTAATTTGCTGGTAACGCTGGACCAACGTATCCAGACGGTCGCACAATAAGCCACAAAAATGCGGCACTGTGCCGCGTCGTTGACCGCACAGTCGGAAATAGTGTAACAGCTTAGCCTCGCGCACCACCTGTCGCAGCTGCTGATTGAGTTGCTGGTAAAACTTCAATGCGCTGCTGTTGATGAAGTAGAAGTAGTCAGCCATATTTTCGGTGTAATTCCACAGCACAAATGTGTAGATGGCAATGTAGACACGCACTGAATGTGCGCCCGTAAAGTGCTGAAAGAGTATATTGCCCACCTGTACGACCATCATAGCGTTGATGAGGGCGAACTTAAAGAGCAGCATTGCCTCGAATTGACGTCGCGGATGCTCGTCGTAACCCGTTGCTGCACGTAAACTACCATCGAAATCATCTTCGAGTTGCTGTCGCTCTCTGGTGACAGCGCGTATGGCTGCGTAATGTGCGAAGTTTGCAATATACGTCACAACAACAGTTATGTACTTCAGCAGTGTGTTTGCGAAATTGACGAGCTGCAATAGTTGACCCCGCTGATCGTGGGCCGCGGTGAGTGCGGAAATGTTGCGCACAAAATAAATTGGCAACACCACAATGAGACAAATGCTAAGCGCGTGACCATAAATATTAGCGAGCCGATACGCGAACGTGTTAGTCGAACGTTGAGGTATGTAATTGATGACCATCAGACCATAGAGAGTGGCATAAATGTGGCCGTACTTGTAAATGTTGTGCTTGTGACGTTCCCAGAAGCTCATGATACTGGTGGGCGTTCCGGTGTGGGCAGAAGTGTTGAAAGGCGTTGGACAAATTGTTGAGTTGCATCAACAAGAGCACAACCAGTCCGACTGAAAGCAACAGCTGCCTTTGGAATCAGCCGTAGGAGTAAAAAGTATATTTTGCTTTACATACCTTTTGAGGTTCGTGCAGTGATTTCGTGCTTTAATAAATTTAATCCAATTTTGGCTGATAAGGGACCGTACTCCCTTTTTATTTAATTGTAACACACACGGCTCTTCGCGCTACCTTGTCTCCACACGCTATCAGCTTTGAAAAGCTCATGGAAGTCAAACGCATCGCATGTATTAGGCAGATAACTTATACACATACACACATACCCATGCATGAACAAGCACGCACATGATAGGGAGTAAGGCATGTATAATTTTATGAGCACATGGACTACGTGTCTCAGAGGATGTATTACAATCCGACGTCGAGGTCGCCATAGACGTGACAAAGCCACTCGAACACACTTTATTTCACATAACTTGGAAGTATTATGTGGAGATTTACGCAGCTTAAATGGTCGACTGTGTAAGCAAATATGTGAATAAAAAGTGAGTGCAAGACTTTATGCTGTGCACCGGAAAGTATGCTACAGCAGGCGGCTTTAATTACTACCTCTTCAAAGTCTATAGCAAATGTGGCAGTCCGTTTGGTGGGCGGGGCAAAAGATCTGTCATACTGGAAATTATGACCCGTGTCTTTGTTAATTTCCTACAAATTTCATTGCCGCGATTAAATGGTAGTAAAACATGAGCGTTGAGTAGATGATATAACAAAGACAAATATTTACTGTCACATAGGGGGGCAATATGAGCCGTCAAATGTTCACAACTGGTAAACAATTATTGGTTGAAATAATTAAACCTGGACTATATGTCCACTGAAGCAATGGAAGGAGAAAATTGAGCACACTTGTGGATTCACCTTGAGCAAATTCTTAGGATATGCTTTAAGCTTTACCAAAAGGCGATAAAAACCTAAGAATGATTACCTTCAAACCTGAATTCTTTTCATATATTTTAAAAAAGAAATATTACTTAACATTTTTCGCAGACAAGCTAGACAGTCTGAGAATCTCAATATTTTTGAATTAATTTACGCACCTAAGTTTAATTTTCATAATCTCTTATTTCCACAAAATTACCTTTGAGATATTAGAATGGAAAAAAGGAAATCTCGAAATAATTTCCGCCATTCGACGGAAATTCATTCAAAAACGTCTTTGTGTTTTCATACACGTGCACATACTTTCATGCATACTTATGTGTATACTTATGAGTTTGTTGAGTTGGGGAAACGGCCAAGAAATAATTAACAAAAAATGAGGCTCCACTGGAGATTAGATGTGCTAAAGGACAAAACAAACAAAGTAAAAATTATTTTTTTTCCTTTTCACACTAAAAGCATTTCAAGTTCCTAAGCTATCGCTTGGTAAATTACAGAGCGCGAAACGGTGGCATAAATTATAGAGCAAAATATAACATGTAATTTTTTTTTTGGTATTTTTATTTCAATTTTTTGTTTTTCCGTGGAATCAGTAAATTTTACTCTTAGACATGCAACATTCAATCATTAGGCGCATGTTCCGTAAAAAACAACAACAAAAGCGAGTAGCAAATACTGATTAATTAGTCTCAATAGACATTCCTCCATTATTAGCGATTGAAAATCACAGCCAAAAAGGATGTGGCTGATTAATAAAGGCCCAAATAACGGAACAAAACTGATACCAAGGCGCATCACCTTACCCGCCGGTGTCCAGTCAATAACTTTCTATCTTCTTTGTCTTCTTTGTCTATTTTCGTTGAATACTTTGGGATAAAATTTCAAAGTGAAAAGGATGGAGAGTCAGAGCAGGAATGCTAAGAATAGAACATTTACAAAGAAGTTAGTGTGGCTTCAAAAGAGTTTAGTGAACCTGATAGCTGACAGTTATTATTGAAGCATTCCGAGTGAATTTATTACAAATTATTATTGAACAAAAATGAAACAAAAGAAGTCGGACTAAAAGTATCTTTGCAAAATTTCGCATCGTTATTATCGGGCACCCTGTAGTGTATATACGTATTGTATATGTGATATACTTATATATATCAATTAAATTCTATACCTGACAAGTACTAAACAAAGCAGACGGAAGGCTCTTGTGTTAGCTACAGAATTAAGACTGTTTGCGTTAATGCCAGTGAGATGTTCCCGGCATCTTGGCGCATTAATTAATGCCCACTGCCTTCATGCACACGTTTTCCTAGTTACTCATTAGTGATTAGTGTTTCAGTCTTTTCTACTCCAGGCTTTTCACACTTATTCACAATTATCAATGCATATTCATCGCGCAGTATTCATTCAGTATTTTCTTGATCATTTTTTCTTTCATCGATTGTTCTAACGGTGCTTGGCGTTTAAAACTTTTGGTAAATATAAATTTAAAGCGAAGCAACTGTTTATAAGAATTTGCCGGAGAACTATCAGGGAAGTTGTTGAGGATGTCGGCATGCGATTTTTTCGATCAAAATTCAACTTAAAACACCGTGCTCATGATATTAGCTCATAAATTGAAATCAATAATGACACTGATGTGCTTAAAGGATCATAACTGGTGACGAATTGGGGGGTAAAAAATAGTTATGACATCTAGTCCAACACCGAAAGAGCCTGCTCAATGCAATTAAATATTAAAGTTGATTCGCTCATTTTCCGATTACCATAACAAATATATAATGAGTACTTACTACAAGATTGTATAGTTAATACGACGAGTGAGTATGCCTTTCATACCACCAGAGAGAATGTCTCTCACACCCGCTGCTTGAGAACTTTTACTTAATTCAATAAAACTAAAAGTTACGTATACGCAGTGTTCCATTGCTAAAACAAGCCAATGCAGAAGAATGAAATATAGTTCATATTAAATGAATTGTAACATAAATTATATAAGAATACATTCAATTAAATATCGCCTTGAGCCTCCGCCGATGGAGAATTTCTTTTTCCGCCATATTAAAGCATAATAATAATTTTCAAAATGCCTTGCCACTTTTTAATTGCGCAATTTCATAGCATTTTTCAAGCTTACTTAAGTGAGCATTTTGTTGTTGACTCTCATCGGCCTCTTTACTCTTCGTCTGTTCCCTTCCTCGCCGGCAGGGCAGTGTATTTCACTTTAAACAACAGTTATAACAGTTTTTGACATATTCAACGACACGTAAAAGTTCCTTACAGTCTGTTGCGTACTGTTGTTGATACATATGTACATACATACAGGCATACAAGTGCATGCACATAGCGAATATAAGAAAGAAAACAAAGTAATGATAACACAAGTTATGAGTAAACAAAATCATGACACCCGACACGGTGACTGCTGTGCGATACAACATCACTAAAGCACAGATACAAACACAAACGTACTCAAGTAGATAATGTATCAATAGAGAGAGAGAGTGAGCGCCCAATGAAGCATTAAATAATAGATGAGATGCTGCCAATGACAATCCTGCGATAGCGGGCCGCATGAGGGAAGTGCGGGAGAAGAGTCCAAAAAATAACGGAATATAGAAAACAGGCCTAACTGCCTGCCACTCGCTTGTTATTTGTTATTGTGTCGCCTGCCGATGTTTTTCGATTCTTTATTTCCGTTCTTTAATTAAAATTTATGCAATGACGCGTACAAGTTTTACATAACAAGAGACTGAATGCAAATTGTAGGTGTTGCTATTGCTGTTGCTGTTGCTGTTGCTGTTGCTGTTGCTGCTCACGGAGCTGCTCTCTATATTTCATTTACTAACTTTTTGGGTGTAGGCGTTTGCCTGCTTGGCTATTGGAGTGTGTTTTAATTTCGATGCCAAGTGAATTAAAGTTATGTCAAAACAAATATTTGTTAACTGTAATGCCTGTGGCGTGCGACATGTGGCATGCATAACAGTTATTTATTCTATGTTGTTTTCTGATACATAAAAAAATAGTTACAAAAATTTTTTGTGCAAGTGAAGAAATCCTTACAATGAAATTTGCATACATATACGAGTATTGAAAAAGCGGTGGAGAAAGAGACAGTATAAAAATTAAATAACGTAAATATGTAGCTTGTCTTTGAGAAGGCATGATTGAAAGTTATCTAGGCTACTATTTATTTACTAATTTCAAAAAAGAAAAAAAATAATAATAATAAAATAAAATTTTTTCAATCTTTAGATTTTTATGTCAAAAATTGAAGGTTTCTAAGACAAATATTATTTTAAAAAATGTTTCATATATTTCCTTTAGTGTGGATTGTGGATATATTCAAATATATTTATTTGATTAATTCCCTTTCTACTTTACAACTTTTTCAGCACTACTTAAAAAACAATATGACAAGTAATCAGTTTGATACTTGTTCCACACCATCTGAAAATAGTTCAAAATTAGCTCAGAGCGACCGAGAATTCAGTTTGCAGGATTTGTTTTGATCGTCTTTGGAAAATAGAGAAATTATTATACAACGAAATCAGTTCGGGACCACTGTGCGCATTTGGATCAGTTTATGATTTTCAAAGGTACAGAATCGTTTTGAATAAGCGCGGTTAGACTAGTTTAATAATACTTAATGATAATATCGGAGCTTTTCATTTTAGGATCGAACAGTAAAACTCGGCTTTAATTATGCCGGGAATACAATTTAATTCACTATGAACTTAAAACTTGTGTATTTTAGGAAAACTTTACGCACTTTGGAAGTTCCACGCGAATTACCAACAATTTCCTTAAATTTTTTTTTGTCACGGCCAATGCGCTAACAACACACACGTACTTACGCACGTTTACAAAAGGGGGTGAGAAAAAAGTTTTTCAATTATTCCGTTGACTTCTGCTATTTCTAAAGGATCTCCTCTACATTTTACGTTTTCTTTTTTTTGTTTTATTTGTCACCAACTTACCCGGTTGTTGCCACCAACAACAAATATAATTAACAAAGGCTGCGAGCAAGCAAA